AATTCCAGCCACAAGTATTCTTAAGTAAATCTCTACCAACTTTGCACACTGGCCTGGTTTAATTTTTACTGTTTTGACTTGGCAGATTTGCTTAAACTCTCTGAAGTTGTTAGTAGATTATGAAAAGCAGTTTTTAATAAACTTTAATAAACTAATTCTCAATAGGATTTAAGTCAGGGCTTTTTTTTCTTAAGCCAGTGCAACTTTCTATTCTTGTGTTTGAGATCATTTCAAGTGAATTTTCACCTCAGCTTAAGTCTTTAGCTTAAGCCTTTATGCTGGTGCCATAACGTAATGTTGCCACCCACTATGCTTGACAGCAGGATTGGTACTACAGTAACTGGGTTAACCATTTGGTGATGCTCAGTTTGGTCACATTGCTGTCTCTGTTTGATCTTTGCAGTGTCTGGATGGTACAATGCACTTTCTATTTCTTGATGATTGAGTAACTGTGCTCACAGGAATATTTGGAGCTTTTGGTATATTTTGAACTCCTGATCTGTCATAATGATTTTATCCCTGATTTGCTTTGAAAACTCCTCAGTCTTTGCGATCGAGTCTTTGCTTGAAATTCACTAGCTGACCAAAAAACCTCACAAAGATAGGTATTTGTATTCTGAAATCATGAGTATCTCACAGACAACTTGTGTCAACTGCTTGTGTGTCTCAATGACTCAATTAATTGTGTGGTTCCTTAAAGTACGTTTGTAGTACTAAAATAATTCAGAGCACAAAATTAATTTTGCCACAGTATTTTGAATATTTATGCATTCATCACTCTTACATTTTCCTTACATACTAATTATCTATGTACTTCTTTATTTTGTTGTGTATATACTGTAGCAGATATTAATTTCTACTTCAAAGTCTCATGACTGCAAACCTTAAAACAGTCAAATGTGAAAACTGTGAGTCCTTGTGAATTGAAATGAATGAAAGGACAAGATCTAACTAACTGAAAAAATGATTTCTGTATCCCAGGCATAATTTCTCTGATTAGACAATGTGTGTCAGAGAATCATGTTTTGGGTGCATTTTAAAGTCCACAGGATAGAAAGGCTAATTCAGTTAACTCTGATTGCTTCAAAGTAACATATAATGCCACACAATATTTAAATGCAAAAGAATGTGTTTTATTAATAGAAATCTGCTGAGTGTCAAATTTGTAAACAAATTCCAATGTATGATTGCTTAAATGTCATCTTCAGGAAATAAGATATGAGCTTTGAATATCTTGAGGCAAACAGTGATACTGCAATGAAATACAATGTTAAAGTGAGAAATGTCACAACATTATCGGAGAAACAAATATTGTTGTTCATTGCCAGACAAATTACTCTAGCCCAGAATTTCAAAACTGGTCACATTTCCTTCAGAGGCTTGCTACATGAGTAAAGCTAATCATATAAACTCATACAAAATTGTTTGCATCCAAATTGAAGGTAAAAAAAATAAATTTATACAAGCAAAGGAAAGGCACTTATTGGTTATTTCACTCATTGATTGTCCATGTGGGACTGTTTCACTATTAACTATTAACATTTGTAGAAAGTATTAATTTCCCCTGATTTTCATATAGACTAGATGTTTTGTAATATAGCTTACTGAATTGCCTAATTGCAACCAATTGTGCAACTGCTTTACATTTTAGTAAATCAACATTAATGATTGTGCCTTTTTCCTGCTGCTTCTTTCAAGACATAAGACACACGTAGGCTAGTTTGTTTTTTTAGATTATTTCTTAGAAATCCTGAAAATGGCACAACAGTTTGCTTGATTTTACTTTTGAGCTATTTTTTCTTTTTAATGTAGAGAGTAAATTACTCTTTGCTTCCAATTTTCTACCTAGATTGGATTCCTTTCCACCCTTCTCACAATTTTCATTTTTTCATTTTTCTGCTCTTTTAACATCAATTATTGTCTGTTTCACATCTTAAGTCAGTTACATTTTAGTTAAAACAAACGTGTTGAATTTCAATCAAGGATAAGTATCTAAATGTCCCAATCCAGGGAGATCATCATTTTAATGTAGTCATTTCATGGTTTATTACAGTACATGTTAGTCTTTATAAAAAGAATAACCTCAAATATTCAACAAATTAATAATACAAATGGTGTTAGGACACACAATTAAAAACAACAATTTAAATGGGAGGGCAAACATGAAATTACATTTGGAGGTATTTTGTGTTCTGTGATGGGAGCATTGTAAAGATAAAAAGTTGAAAAATCCACTTGCACAACAATTGTCTCAGCAGTTTCTTAGAAATATGATGTATCTTGAAGGTCTGCGAAAAATAGTAAAAAAAATATGCACAGTTAAAAACAATATCAAGTTACAATATGCACATAAGTATTCACCCCTCTTGCAAATTATCCACGTTTTGTTTTTGTCTTGCAATCATGATACTTTCCAATACGACTGTATGTTTTTTAATATAATCCAAACTCATAAAGCTAAAATATTTAGTTTATTTATAAATAGATTCAAGATTTAAAGAAAAATAGAAGATTCTCAATTGTATAAGTATTCACTCACTTTGCTATGGCAACTCTAACTCAGTTCAGGGGCAAGCAAACATTTTGGATGGTCACAGAATTAGTGTAATTGTTTTTCTGTGTGTGTACTCAAAGTGGTTTAGCTTGAGTTCAGTGTAAATGCCTCTATCTCTGTAAGTTTGTAAGTTGCCTCAGATAAATATTGCATTTCAAGCCACAATACACAACACACAAAATACTGACTTAAAAGTAAATTGACTTGCATTGACCTGCAGTAAATTGACTATGAGGACCAATGAACCTTCCAAGGAGCAAAGGATTAGCAAAGTGGTAGAGAGGCACAGATTAGGGGAAGCCTATGTATCATTATGAAATGGAATTTGCATCTTACCACCTGGGTAATAGCCTAGATCCAGCCGCTGTTCCGATCTAATCAACCAAGTAAAAAAAGGTTTGACATACAGTATTAAGTCAAACTCACAGTCCCTTTGTAAGCCAGATTGAATGACAAGAAAGAAGCCATTACCAAAAAAAGACTCATTTTAAATCTCATATGAAGTGTACTGCATACACATGGCAGGATTTATTGTCAGACAAGATAAACAGAATGTTAGGATATATAGTTAAAGTGCAGAATTTAAATCAAGGGAAGTCATGTTAAAATTGTATGCAATTTTGGTCACCATGATATAAAAAAGACATTGCTGCTCTGGAACTGGTCCAGAAAAGAGCAATTCAAAGCAATGTCCTTCACCGAAAGGGCAAAATAATTTTATCTTTTGTCTTGAACAGTTAAGACTACAGGGGGGTGTACTTACAAGTAACAAAGGCATTTACAAAGTTAAATTCCTCAGAATCAACAGTGAAACATGAATCAGGGAATGCTATATAATCAGGAGGATGTGAATTTGAAACTTTGAGATATGCAAATCAACTAGCCAATAGCAACAAAACAAGCTAGATGGGCCAATAGGCCTCATCTGATTTTGTCATCTTTATTTTATTCTTAAAAAAGAAAACAGAGAAAGTAAATTAATTCATGATGTACGGTGTGCATTTAGTTTCATTTATTTAATATGTTCTTTGTATTAAGTATGCAAAACTTAATTGTGGTTCCAAATTTTGTGAACTACTAGGTGGAAGATAACAACATAGGTGTACCTTTTGGTCTTTGCCTGTGCAGTCCAGTCACGTGTGAATGGATATAGGACTTAAGGGACCCTAATGTGAGTTGGGTAGAATTAAGAATAAGCACTTAACCTAACCACCCTTTAGGAAACATGGGGTGCTCAGTGAATTTGAACACAGATAATACTTTTACCTCCACATAGAACCTGAGGTAGCAAAATCAAAACCAGAGACAAACCTGAGGCGGCAAATAACAAAAATGTGACGGTGAGGGCGTAGCTGTAGAATTTACCAGAATACATACTTCTTGGGCAGACTTCGACTTTTGTACATTCCCTTGTGTACTTTACAAAATACTGTATGTGTTGCAGAATGAATCAGATTTATCAGATGTTATCTCGTCGCAACTTTTGCTAGGGTAAGGATAACCGATTAACTCAGCTAATAAGTGATTCTTATTCAGGTTGACCGTGATCATTGTTGCCTAGGGATGACCCAACCAGTGAGTACAGCTTTTGAGTAGTGGTGAATAAAACTGTTTGCTCAGTTAATCACCATTTTCATTAAAAGCAAAGTGGACTTACATTCGTTGAGCTAACCCAGACTCCGTTTCCCTCGATAAACAACTGAAAAACAACACACATCATTAAATGATAGCACACACAATTCAGGTTTCTTAGTATAAAAATGTAATGTCTTAACAGAAATGTACAGTGTGTTGATCAAGGGAGAGTGTTTGAAAAAAATATTAAACACCCTGTTTTAATACATGCATAAATATTTCTAGTTGAGTTATATACTAATTTACTAATATCCATACTTGGACTTACCCATTCCAACATTACTCCCAGAACAAGAAACTGTAATAATAAATAGAAAGAGTAATTTACTTAGATATACAGTAATTTGTTTAGCGTGCTACTAAAATAAACTCAATAAATGACATTAACAAAGCATATTTTAAAACATTTTTTCTTTCCTATAACTGTTGCTTCCTGATTTTCTTTTTCTTCTCTTGTAATGCATCCGACTGATACCTTATTAATAAGAATTATTTTTAATAAGAAGATTGTAGCATTGAAGAACCAGGTAGGCAGGTGTTGCTGCCTTCAATTAGAACTGTCTCCCCGTTAATAGTCCGATCGTAGAAATCTCAGTCACTGTATAAAATGTTTGAAAGGCTGTTTTAATTTCTTAATTCTACGATCAAATACTGCCTTCCTCCCAAAACTACTCTTCCCTTTTCTATCAACACGCCATGAACTGTAAATAAGAAAAATGGGACAGTGAGGGCTTAGCATTACCAGAATATATTCTTCTTGGGCAGAATTTGACTTTTGTGCCATCCATTGAGACTGGGACCACCACAACGCTGTAAACATCTCTGCAGGCGACCTCAGTAACGTCGCAGTAGCTGGCACCGGGCGAGGGGCTACAGGTGTAATTGGCAAGAGACCCATAGAGGTCAGCAGTGTAGTTGTGGAGGCTGCCTGTGGAACGCCAGTACACTCTGATGGTGTTGTTGCCAACTCTGTAGAGCTTGACACTCATGGGGCAGCAGGCACCTGACAGAGTGGCAGAGGAATTACAGGATGCAAGGAGGGAAAGGTGTTATGGTGTTATGTTATGGCAATGTTTACATTTGTTTTTCCATGCGCAAAATCTGTAAGAGGTTTTCAAAGGAACTTCAAACACCAAACAAACAAATTCACATTGGATCAATGCTGGTTTCAGTTGCCACTAATGCATCAAATCACTTTTTAACTGTAATGCTGTCAACTATGTAATATTTACTATTATAATTCATCAGAGTTGTACTTACTGGAGGAGAACCCATGGTATGTACACTGTGATTTATGACCTGTTCCACTGATAGCTTGCATGGACACTGTGTAGTTGACGCCACAGGTGATGCATCCCAGCAGGCAGTGCGTCTGGAGTGTGTGACACTTGGCTTCTCCATGTGTTGAGTTCAGCATTGTGATGTATGACTGAGCTCCTTTTCCAGGCGACCACGTCACATTAGTCATTGACTGTGTCGCTTGACTTACAGTAAAGTTTTCGGGACAACAGGGTCCTGAATGGGAAGACATATTTGGTACAGAGGAATGTTACACCCTTTGAAACCGTTGATATCAAAACTTCTTGTTGAAGGGGAATTTGGGAAACATTTAATAAAAACCAGTGGCTTCAATCTATTTTTTAAAGTAACAGAGAAGACCTCACAGAACAACTATTGCATGCAATCCACTCAAAGTGGGAAAACTACCTGTCTCTAGTGGCAGAGTGTAGCTTGGAAGGCTTTCTCCTGCAGATGTAAAGGCAATGGCGCTGACATCAAAGACAGAGCCACAGGGCAGATTGGTGATCTGACAGGATCTCCCAGAGGTCCTACAGGAGTATGATTCAGCCTTTCCAAGAGCTCTCACAGTGTAGTTTGCTTCCTTGTTGTCTGCAGTCCAGGAAACGCTGTAGTTGGACGAGGTTATCTGGGTGATATTCCAGATCTGGGGGGTGCAAGGAGCTGTAGGGCCACACAATATTGAAACTGGTCAGTAGGATTACAATGGCCTGAAACAGATGCAAAGTTGGGGGTCTTTTCAGGGGCTTGGGCACCTCAGCACCACAAGGTGAGCACCGTAATCAACGTCTCAGGTTCAGTACTGGGTTTTATCACAGGATGACCACTGCTGGGATCCTCTGAAGCTCCTGCACAGAGAATCCTGCAACCTCCCAGCTGCCTGCAGGCCAGAAGTGGTGTCTGCAGGGGGGAATCACATCTCCTCCCATTGACAATGAACCCCCAGTAATGTAGCCTCTGGCATGTTAAAAGTGAATAGCTCAAATGTGGGAGGATTAGAGGAATCTTTCAACTGTTTCTCATGCTTCCAGTTTCTGGGAACATCTGTGTGTGGTTCAAGGGTTCATAACTGTGTGCTGCTACAGTTCTTTGGAAAGCTTCTTACATTTCGTTTAGTGCAGAGCAACACATTTTAGTGTTCACACACCCAGAATATCCCCTACCTGTTTCGATATATTGATTTTTGCAGGTGGTATTGCAGCCACGGATTTCATTGCAAGACGTGATGATGACACTGAATCTGGTGTTACACTTTAGGGAGGACAAGGCACATACAGTAGCTGTGTCATTGCAGTGAACCTGATTAGTCCCATCAGCAGCCGTTGTCTCATAGATCTCAGCACCACGCACAGGCGACCATGTAATCTCCAAAGTGTCGCTGGAGACAAGGGCTGGCACAACATTATCGGGACAGCAGGGTGCTGCAAAGACAACATGTTAATATTTAACTGGCTCTTTAATCCCACAACAATCTTGACATTCCATTCAACAAAATATTCTGTTGTCTTATTCATTTTCATTTTAGGTATCGTGGAAGATTTGCATTCTTAAGAAGCACAAGAAGTAGTGCGACAAATAGACTTCATTCTCAATATTAAATGCATCTCATAATAGAAAAGCATTGTGGATAGGTGTTCTGGTTTTGAGATGTCATAACCTCAAAGGACACTAAGCTGGTGTTTTATTTCATATTAAGTACTGAAAAATGCCTAGTTACGTTAATTAAGACGTTATATGATAATTAATTGTCAGTATAAAACCTATTTAATTTCTGTCTTGAAAATTTATATGTGATGTAGTCCGTTACCAAGTCTATATATCCAATTTTCCCTGTTTTGTAAAGATATTTGAAGAAGAATTTCTTCTGTACTTTTCAAAACATTTTCATTAAATCACAAGACAGCTGTGCATTTAATTATTCATTTGATTAGGCAATAAACAGAACTACATATCTTATTATTAATATTATTTACAGTAATCTGTATAATACTATGTTATAAAAATCAACTCAGATAATCTTTTTTTACATCTGTAGAGTTTTATAGTGGATATGCTACCAATCCTTCTTCAACTGAAATTGTTCTAAACCTTTTCTTTAGAATCTATATTTTTCATTTAAAATGGTTTTAAAAACTGCTGTAGTATAGTTGACCCCTTTGATAGTCTACCCCTTTGACAGTTTTGTGTCTGTTCTGTTGAAGGTTCCACTTTCATCATGTAAACTAAAGGAAATATACAGTTTTGGGTTTAATACATACAATTCTAAACATCACTTAAACATGTTGCTGTAAATTAGGGTGATGCAGCAGTTATGAGGTTTGATGACAACAGTATATTGAACTGCAGTATACAAATAAAACAAAATATTAATTTCCATATAATTAAGGAAAATAAGTGCATATATTTATGTGTTTAAAACATTAAATAAAACAATTCAAGTTAATAAGCATTATCGCTCACTGTATTTACATTAATGCATTACTGATTTTAACAGTTACTATACTTTGAGTTATGTTACTATTGTCTATGGACAACCTTTTTTCCTTGCCTGAAGACTTTAATTCTACAGAGCTATTGAAACATAAAGAATAATGTCTCTTTACCAGTAGTGTAGTTTAAGACTTTTCCTGAGGGACTCTGGCCGGCACCATTATAAGCAAAGACGCTGATGAAGTATGTGAAGCCACATTCAGAGTCGTAAGTGCATCTGTCCAGTGTGGTGTTGCACTGTTCCTCCTTGCCATCACCTCTTTTCACAAAGGCCATATAGTATTCTCCATAGATCACCTTAGACCAGGACACTGTGAGATTTCCAGGGCTGGGTTCCTCTATCTTGATATTTTCGGGAGCACAGGGAACTTATAACACAGAAAACAACAGGAAAATTAGTGTAAGTGTAATCAGATATATGAATCGTGAATCACGTGCTGTTAATGTAGCTGTGTTGTAGTCACAGGGGTAATATCTGTTGTACCAAGATTTTTACCAAGGATGTGTACAGCATGTGTGTGATTTTTCCTACAAAATTGAAATTGAATTACATACATGTATAGAAGTGCATTACCACTCAATCATGAAGACTCAGCTATGTACGTGTTTTTCACATTTTTTCACTTTTGAACACCAGGTACATTTATAAAATACCTACAAGTTAAGAAGTCCTCAGGTTTGGAAGGGTTGCTGGGACCTGCTCTATTTGAAGCAATGACTGAGATGGAATAGTTTTGGCCACATGTCAGTGGTGATATCACACAGTTATCCTCAGATGAGGAGCAGTTCTGTCCATTTGAGCTCAAGGCTGTGAAATTATCTGCTCCTTCCACAAAAGACCAGGAAATCATAACGCCCATAGAGCGGCCAGTGAAGGAGACTTGAATCGAAGATGGGACAGCAGGTCCTGTGTTAACAACAAACTTAAGTGAGGATAAACAAGAGACAGTTTCAGAACATACTATCTAAAGAGCACAATACAGTATGTTTTCCTTTTTCCACCTCCACAAAGCCATGTGTAGTAAATGTGAAAAGAAACAAATATTTTGGTATTAACCAAAAGGATCCTCTACCACAAATTAAAACAAGACTCTTACATATACTTATTGGTGACACCTACAGCAATTGTTGTCCAAGTTGGTGGATGCTAGTTATGTCATTTTTACATTTCTTCTATCTTTATTTGTAGATCTAACTGCATTTTGAAACGAAGGCTTTCATAAGGCCTTTAGTCCAATAGGGTTAAGGAAAAGGGAAATGGCATAAACTATAAAAAAACATTTTTTTCAACCTTCCCATATCCAATATCTGACCATGTGAAATAAATTCATAACGTCACTGAGCAACTCCCAATGTGATTCAATAATAAGGTACTTGAAGCAGCCTGGATTTTTAAAGCCCTTCTGTATAGCACTGAGGGAGAAACAGTACTTACGTGTGATCTGGGTGATAGTGTAATCATCGCCCAGGGTATTATTGGAATCCCAGGCATTGCCTTTGATTGAATAGGTAGTCCCAGCTTCTAGGTCAGTGAAGGTAATGTTGGTTTCTGTGGTGTTCACCCTGACCCGCTTGTCTGATCCTACCTTTATAAGGGAGAATGTGTACCCCACAGCCATGTAGACTGGATCCCAGGTTACCACAATCATGTCATTAGCAGGAGAACTGGAATGGAGAATTGGAGCAGCAACAACTGTTGACACAAGAGTATGCATTCAATTGTTAATGACTCAATTCCTATTTGTTCCATACAATACCTTGTTTCTTTCATGTTTTGTAGCATTTATCTTATCTAATAGGAGAAGAAAACTGTTGACTGAAGATGATAAGTGTGAGCATCTAGACACAAGAATTGAGTAATAATAATAATTGCTTACACTTATATAGCGCTTTTCTGGACACTCCACTGAAAGAGCTTTACAGGTAATGGGGACTCCCCTCCACCACCACCAATGTGCAGCCATAGTGCACCAGAATGCTCACCACACATCAGCTATCGGGGGGGAGGAGAGCAGAGTAATGAAGCCAATTAATAGATGGGGATTATTAGAAGACCATGATTGGTAAGGGCCAATGGGAAATTTGGCCAGGATGCCAGGGTTACACCCCTACTCTTTTTGAGAAACTCCCTGGGATTTTTAATGACCACAGAGAGTCAGGACCTCAGTTTTATATCTCATCCGAAGGACGGCGCCTGTTTACAGTATAGTGTCCCCATCACTATACTGGGGCATAAGGACCCACATGGACCACAGGGTGAGCACCCCCTGCTGGCCCCACTAACACCTCTTCCAGCAGCAACCTTAGTTTTTCCCAGGAACTCTCCCATCCAGGTACTGATCAGGCTCACATCTTCTTAGCGCCAGTGGGTTGCCAGTTGTGAGTTGCAGAGTGATATGGCGGCTGGCATATGCTGGCAATGGTCTGGAGTACAGACCATTGACTGTTTAACGCTGTTCAAAGGCACAGTAGTCCAAAACTCAGGTGGACGTTCCATTTCGTTTAGAACAGTAGATCGTTTACTTTATGAAACAAACAGAGATGGGTACCAGCAGTGCTAATGTCCTGACATAATCGACTGCCCTTTGCAGCCCGTGTTTCAACATTATGTCACATTACAGTGATGCAGATGATGTTGAAAGGTAACTACTTTAACATAAAGTACTGCCTCTACTCTTTTGGAGTTTCCCCAACTGAAACTTAATTGCTTGTGTAAAACAAAAAAGAAAAGCCTCACTTCTCCAGTCATTAACAGGAAAATCACTACGTGCTTGCAGAGCATGAAAAGGAATCAAATTACTCTTTTCTCCTTAAATGTCTTTTAGTCATGCTTGGGGGAAAACAACCTAGTTCTCAGGGTTTACTTTCTTCATGTTGTGTCATACATAAAGCACAAGGGGGGGATACTGTTACAACCAATACAAAATGATGTCTCAGGCATCAACACTGCATATCAGACAACAATACTGCACCTCCACAAAAAGATGTCTTGTATAACAAGTGAAAAGTATTACCTCTTTAGCTAAGTAGCAAAAGTGAGTAGTAAGGAAACAGAATTTGTATACATATAATTACCTGCACATACATGCGTATTATATGAACTATATTTATATTAATATTAAATGTATTCATATTATTTGAATATTGATATAAAGACGTTTGCATAACATGTAAATACACAAAATATTGTAATAAATAAAAAGTTTAAAAAAAGAATACCCATATTTCAGTGCCTTCGGTTTTAAAACCAAATGTCAAATACTTTCATTTTACTTTTTTTCTAGATAAAGTGAGTTAAAACTTCATTCTCCTGTGGGGAAAAAAATCACGTACCTGATATAATTAGAAAAATGTATTTTGTTTTGTAGTGAACCAGACTGCTTGTATAGTGTATAACTTTATGTGATATGTGAAAGAGGACTTCTCTAATGAGTATTTGCTCATAGCTCTAGAGACAAGGATACCTGTCTTTGCTTTCTTAGACAGGGACGGCTGGCTTCTCCCTCCCGCATTGACAGACATCACTCTGATGACATACTGTGTGGAAGGCTTCAGGTTGCGCACGGTTCCCGGAGAGTCTGCGACTGTAGTTTCTATGACTGATGTCCCATCCTCGGCTCTCAGGACGTAACTGGTTGCTCCGGGTACAGGACTCCATTCCGCCGTGATGCTGTCACTCATTTTCGAATATGCTTGTTCAAGGCTGGGTACCTCAGGAGCTAGACAAATACACCCCAGTAACAGCTTACTTATTAAGCAATGGAGATCAGATTATTTTTAGCTCTCCCCATTTTTTTCTTTCATGTTTAATGAATATTTTCATTTCATGAATTTCTTTCATTTAAAATATGAATCTCTAAATAAATATATAAATGAAACAGTGCAATTAAATTAACACCCGTTGATTAAACATAATCGTATAAATATTAGTAGTCGTATAAACAACAACAAGCGCTTTGAGAAGCCACCTTTAAAGGCGCTATATAAAATAAAGTTTATTATTATTAACATTTTAAAATGCTAAAAGAACGTGAATAAAGAACATACTGGTTTTATGGGGGGATTTTGTGAAAAACTTACCTGTGGTTTGTATGATCTCAGCAGCGGACAGGACTTGGCCAGTGTTATCTAATGCTTCCACTCTCACAGTGTAGTACGTGTTAGGGGAGAGTGAAGAAACGGACCCGATCGCTATAACTCCGTTGAACTGAACGAAGACCGGTGTTCCGGGAGAGTTTTTAGGTGTAGCGGTGACCTTGTATGAGTGAACTCCTGAAACCTTTGTCCATTGAACCGTGATGCTTCTTGATGTTACCGTGAATGTAGATAAAGTTAGACCTGAAATGATCATACATGTTTTAACATTTGTACTGTAGAAAAGACTAAATTGAGTAAAAGAGAGCGTAAATGCGTCCGACATATGCAATCGGTTTTCTTAAGAGCTGAACACAAAGATTTGCAAAGCATCGAACATCCCGTTTGTACTATTAACAGATTCACTATTAAAACATCTTCATAATTAAATATTATTCCATTATTTTAGAGCTTACTGTATGTTAATCACGATAACATGAAAGCATGTCTAACATCCCTTGAGGAAACAGCCTGTATAACTAAGAGATTACTGTAGAGAATTGGGTCATTTATATAGAATCTTCTATATTATTTAAACACAATGTAATCAAGTCTCATTTACAAATACAGCCCAGTTCCAGTTTGTTTTTATCTACCAATGGAGATCAGATAAATTTAAGGTCTCAGCATTTTGTCATTTTTTTCTTTCATTTTGTCATATTTAATTGGCATAGCTAAGAAAAAAGTAAGGTACTGCACAATATCTATCGGGCAATTTCACAATCACAACACCTCCATTTTAATAAATGTTTGATTTACCTTTTTGAGCTTCAGTGATCTGTAAATTAAAGAAATGAAATTCGATTTACTTTACATTTCCATCGAAAAATTACAAAAGAAAAAAAGCAACCAAAGTTTGTGATGTGAATAGGAAATCAGCGCAACCTGTGTAAAAACAACGTTTTCGCAAAATAACTATGTTTTTAACTCCGATTAACCATAAATAAGCTTCATTTTGGAGAACTGTGCTATATTATCGGGAGGGACTGTTTCTTACCCAACCCCCCTCCAATCACCACTGCCTCCCTCACTGAAACTTGTCTGTGGTCGGCAAGGCTAAGCCGCTGACAGGTACTGAAAGAGCTTGTGTTCTGAATAATAAATTCTTCCTTTTTTTTCTGAGGAGGACATGCATTTACAAAAGGCCACTTTCAGAAGGGATGAACGACAGAATGTCCTTTGTACACTCATTAACGTTGTTACTCGCATTCTTTAAACATGTTGTCTGTACATTCACATAAACGCATAATTTGTATTGTTCCCAATGATTCTTACCTGAGACGTGCACATGCTTATGAAAACAATAAGCATAAACGATTTCATACTATTAGGTCCCATCTTCTAAAATGTCTTCTTTTATCTGATTCCAAAGAGCAGAAAGTCACCTTGGACTTAAGCTGTTGTTTCTTGTTTTCAAATCGGTGTTTTCGATTTGATGCTCACAGAGGTTATACTTTTTCTTTATTTTTTTACACTACAGATTTTTTTTGTTCATTCAGTTGAAATACTTTAAGGCTAGCCCCACCTACTGCAAGCGTCTAGACTTATCATTGGCTTGAAAGGGAAGCAGACCTTGACAAGTGCCGCATACAGACCTCTTCCTCGCTGGATGATTATTTAGTTATAACAAGAATGATAATACGGTACATTTACTATTGAATGAAAACAATATGTTCATGTACTATGAATTGAAATGTGTGTAATATATAGGAAGGGGGTAGGATAACATTTTGCACTCTAAAGGATCAAAAAAAGTTATACACAAGATGTACACATACACAATCAGTACACTGGCATTCAAAATTATTCTCTTCTTAACTGTGATGATTATAAATCCCTAAACAACAGGATGGTATAAAATTGAATTGTTCACAAGGAAGTATGAAATTCAGCAAATTATTATTGGAGGTTTGCCACCTCTTTTAGTTTTTGCATCTTTTCCCAGGACAGGTATTATTTTAACTTCACTTTCTATGCATTTATTGATTGTGGTCTACAACCATTTAGCAAAAAAAACAACGAAAACGTTTACATATACTTTCATTTCTTTCACTGGTTACCTTTCCATGTTGGAATGATGGAATAATTTTCAGTGTGTTTTTTATCCTTTCTTGGAGCTAAAGAGCTTTCTGCAGAACTAACTCATTTATTTTATTTATTTTATGGCCTCAGAGGAGGCCATTTGTATGGTACATTTGTATAGGCACAATATCCACTCAGAAGCCAACCTGTAGTATCAGGGTGTTTTACAACATGATAATGATGGATATAACTTAAATGAATAAAAATTAGAAAGGAAGATGGGTTCTGAAACTGCTGTTCTGAATATTTTTGAAGATTATTTAGCGCTGTGCTGAGAATAAAACTGCATTGCACTACAGCTACTGGTGTAACTGCTAACAAGGGGAATGTTCAGATGATAAAAATACTGGCCAGAATGATGGGACCATGTTGACATTTGATCGAATATTTAGGAAAAACAATTTAATATCTATTTACAAAACAAAACTCAAAGTGTATGCATTTATTTTACTTGGCTTTTACTTCATTTATCACCATGAAACGATTACCTCTGGTGCAGGAGTGTTCAATATTCACTCAGTCTGATGATTGTTGGATCATTGCCCAAATTTATTGGAGGCTCTGCAACTGTCAACTCCTCAAAATTGCTTAAAGACACCTTTTTTCTATTTCTATTGAGTTATAATGAGTCTTACTCCTGGTTTTAAATGGCATTTTTGCTTTTCAGAAAGCACATTCTCACTTTTTGATTCTGTTGTGTATTGTGTGTGTTATTGTAAAGCTGAGAATGCTTTTAAAAAAGTTTTTGGAAAAGTGTTTATAAAAGGAATTGTATTATCATTATTATTATTATTTTATTAGCCTGTTATTAGAAGGATGTGTATTGTACTTTAGATTTAAATTGAGCTAATGTATTATCGCACCTATTTACATTGAATCATTTTTACTAAGCTTCTGTAAATTGCCCTGAATAAACTCGTCTACTAAGCAAATAAATAACAATAAATCACAACAAATAACAATATCTTACTTCATTGTCTTAATGTCTTATTTCGTTGAGACTTCCAGGAATGCCAAGAGTTTTGACAGCCAATGTACTTAATGTTCACTTTAATGAGGATAGGAAACAATAATTTTGTTAATTATAACGTTAAGATGATTAACTACTGTTCATCTGTGTGGCAAAATGCAATGAGTTCTCTGACTTCACAGACCTCTAGGACTGAGCTGACATTGTACTGTGGTGACGTAACGGTGGCTTCCTGCAGAGAAACAAGATGGCAACTGGCTCAGAACACGGGCTGAGAAACATAGTTTGGCAAAGTAAGTTCTTCAGACTGTCAGGTTTTGCAGTAAAACAGTTTTGATTCACAGCCTTTTATTTTTACTAGGTTTCCCGTTAATCACGTTTTACTGATTGCGCCTGTATTTTAATGGCCGTTGATGATAAAGGAGCTACTGTAGCTGTTTCCCAAAATTTCCGAATGCGGAAGTCTGGAATGGTGGAGGAGAGTTGCTTTCAGTTTTCTGTGCTGATTGGGGTAAAAACATTTTGAGGCCACTCTGGTTTAAATAACAAACACCATTTTTTGCATGATTCAAGCGCATCGGTTTTTTTTTGTAAGCAAAAAACATTTCATTTAATCAGGCAACAGGTCGCCACATTGGAATTTTTTGTGATCTTGTTTCGTACCTGATAAATATTGATCGTGACGAGCTAGATTTGGGCGTTCAGGTTAGCTGAGCTAGATGGTTGAACTGGATGACAAAAGCGCATTGAATTGTAGCTTTCCTTAACCCTACCCAGTGTACACTAACAAAACACAGCTACACGTCGGTTGCTTTGAACCATGTTTGTTTTTCTATGTTGTATCGCATATCGTTTAATTTGTTTTTCATTTCAAATTAAGTGTAGCTTGAAGACATATGAAAAAAACCTCTTTATATTCTATAGATGATGCTCAGTGACAGCTTGGACTACAGCTAGTAGTCTAATAATTATTTCCGTATTTGGCTAAGAAAGGAATTTAAAGTGAGCCAGAAATCTATTAACGCTGTGTAAAAAAAAAAAATAAACCAAAGAAATTTAACATTTGGGATATCTAGATTTCCAAGTGAAACCTTGTTACCCCAAAGACTTTAAAAACATCCCAATATTTCTGGTTTCCTGGACAAAATAGTTTCCCTTCTAACAAAATGTATTATTTATGGTTTAAGTTTAAATCATTTAAAATCCACAATTAGGATGACTCAGTCATCCACAGAACTCGAATGCACAGAACAGCGATGCTTCGCAGATATTAACAAGAACAGTTTAATAGCTTAGCGCAAAAAGGTTATGTAACTTCTCTGTAATCATTGAAGCAAATAATCATCTTTATTATGTGCTTGAACACATGACCGTTCATTTGTGGAGAATGCAATATACAGATACACAAGAGAGTAAAGACTAAAAAAGGATGCCAGTTCTGACTCCTGCCTTTGTCAGTTTCATCAGATAATATTTTAACAGTAGCTTATTGTATTGTTAGCAGGTATTTGTATAAGAAATTTTGGAATGAGAATTTAAAACTAGTGAGCTAGTTAACCCACGGTTGTCATTTCCGTGTGCGTCAGATGGCATGTCCTAATTTTTGTTGAATAGTCTTACGTACTGCAGTGATTATTTCTGTTAAAAAGAGAAATTGTTTGTCTCACCAGATTGCTGAATCACTAGACCTTATCAGAACAGTGGAACAGTCTTTATGGGTCCGGGGTTGTTTAATGGTTACTTGAGAATATGGAAGGCTTATTGTTCCGCATTTGTAGTTGGAACTCAAAACGTTTGATGTTTTGGCTTGCAAGATGTTTCTGTATATTTCTTTCTGTATATTCCTGCTGTGTGCCTGTCATTCCTTATACCTCCTGGCATGTGTCTTGTCTAGTATAATAGTCTTAATGAGATGGTTGAGGGTAACCCCTCTTCAGGTTGACGAGGGAATTAAGCAGTGTCCAGACTACAGAGGTCAAGTGAACGTCTTTATTTTGGCTAAAGCACCATACAGCATGAGAGGAAGAAAAAAGTTTTTCTGTCCTTTCTCTTTCTCTGCCCAGTCCCCCAGCAGCGCTGTCTTTATAGCCAGTTAACAGGAGTTAAAATTCTCATTTCCACACAGCCCCCTCTTCCAGCAGCTGGATGACTTTCCTTTCTTGCTTTTATTTGATCAGAAATGCCATTTGTAGCTGCCAGTAGTTCACGCATTGTTCAGAATCTCAAGGACATTTTGTTAACAAACAGCTTACTGTACGCACGTTCATTGGTGTTTTGAGTAAACGTGTTATAGTTTAGAGAAACAGTTTCTTATTTGTAAATCATCCTACAGTTTCTCTATAAATCTGGAATGAATTGAGATTACTTTTTTGTGTGCAGGAATGCACAGACATGAGTAATGTAGTTTTGTTCAGGTGGGTAGCAGTAAAGATCAAAGTGAGTAAGCATTTACGGCATAGCTCTGTGTTATGTAGAGATAAGTCATCTAATAAGTTCTTAAATGCATTACAGTATATCTGTTGTTTAATACCCATGCTTTCACATATTCTCATTTAAGCATTTATTATTCCTGTTAATTAAGGATTTGTTTTATCTGTAGGAATAAAGGACACAGTGATTGAAGATTGCAGAAACTCTCGAGGATGGAAGGTATATCTTTGTCATACCTGAAGCTAGTGTATCATTAACAGTTACAATAAACTTTAAATTTCCTGGAATAAAGCTGTATTGTATTGTCTTAAATTTTGAGAAGGATTTAATCCAAATTATTTTCAGGTACAATGCTGGTGATATTGTCTGTCTTCAATGAGAAGAATAAAGAAGTACTGTATATTAGTTTCCTATAATGCTTTACTGTGTAATAAAATTAGTACATCATTATTGTAACACGTTTTTGTTGTAGTGGTTTTTGATATTTGGTAATATACAGTAGCTTTAATCTCCCTTGTATTGTGCTGTTACTCTGCTTAAATAACAACACAGTACTAAGGCTGTTCATATACCCAATGGCAATAAGTATTATAGGGTGTTCTGGATACTATAAATATTGTAAGAAGTTGTTCTTATGCTAGTGTAATTGCTTTTGAGCTTGATATGTTATTGTATGTATGTGTATGAATCTAATATAATTATATTAAAATGGTTACATTTTTATTGTATTTCAGCTGTTAATACTGGATCAGTTCACCACCAAACTCCTATCATCATGCTGCAAAATGTCAGATCTAACATGTGAGAGAATTACAAGTAGGTAACCAAATTGTGTGTTGGAACACTTCATTTCGGATTTAAATTAGGTTTTGCATCTTATGGCTTTACTGTGTAAAAGAAAGATCAAGGGCATTGATATTTTATGCAGTGCAGTTTGATGAAGTGCAATGTTTTGGGTTATAGAAGTATAGGAGAGCTTTTTGAAAATACTGAAGAGAGGTATGCTGTAGCTGTAAAAGGCTGTATGCTCTTGGTGTAGTACTGCAGAGAAACATTTTGTGTGTGAGTGTTTATTAATCTGACAAACGTCTCATTCGCAGTTGTGGAAGACCTGTTTAAAAACAGAGAACCGGTGCCCGAAATGAAGGCTGTCTATTTTATATCTCCAGTAAAAAAGGTTTGTGCAGTGTTAAGCTCCATTCCTCAGTAGAAACAAAAAGTGTTTTTGGTGCAGTATGAGAGTCTTTTAAAATGCTGTTGCGTGAAAGTAATTTGATATGATTGTTTTTGTGGACTGTGCATGAAGCTAATATCTGTCTTTGTTAAGACTTAGGTTTATAATCTGATGGGAACTTTCTGTCTGTTTTCAGAGTGTTGAAGCGCTTTGCAGTGACTTCAAGAACAAACCAAAATACAAAGCAGCACTGGTGTATTTTACAGATTGTAAGTATATCATTAAAATTATTTTGCTCTGAGTGGAAGTCTTTACTTCCAAGTTACAAATAACCTTGATTTTTTTAACACCTAATATATTTTAATAGGTGGTCTTTTATTTTTTTTTATTGTTGGTATGTATTCACTTTTAACTGAAGAGAGAACATTTTAAGTGCCGTGTTTGATTAAAGTTTGAATAAAATGCTTTCTCTTAGATTGTCCAGATGAATTGTTTAACAAAATGAAGACTGACTGCGGAAAGTTAATAAGAATTTGTAAGGAAATAAACATTAACTTTTTGCCCAAAGAATCACAAGTAAGTGTATTCTGTTTTTGTCAATGGTAACTTACTGGTATTCTTTCCTGAAATGTATGTGTTAACATAACTCCTTGGAGAATGATTTAGCTGTGTGAATTATCTATTTCTAAAATATATATAGTTCTTAAAATACTACAGGACTGAACTCACTTTCTTTACATCCTTACATGTACTGAAACATGATGAAATGGAATCTTTTTAATTTTGCCATCTATTGATGTATATCTGGTTGTGCTGAAAAAGTTTTCTGGGAATGACAAAACCTTATGTTTTGAGAAACGGAGTTCTTGGGGGGGGAAAAAAAAATCTTAAAGTGGACATGACCCTATTTAGGGCTCCTGAATTTTTATTACTGTATGATGTAGTTTTGGTCATTGGTGTGTTCATTTTGCTTATATATTGTAAATCTGTAGTCACTTATCTTTTCAGGACTGCACACCAATAGTTTAATCCAAGGATTAGACTGTGGAAAAATGAACAATGTTGCTCTCTCTCTGCATGTTGTTTCTGAACATTTGAACTATCCTACGTACATAACAAACATCAAATACTTTAAACCCTGGTCTCCCTTTTTTAGGTGTTTGTGCTTGACAATTCGGCTGCCTTCAGAAGCATTTACAGCAGCTCCAGTGAAGACAGACAGAGCACATTGGAGGCAATAGCTGATCAGATTGTAACAGTGTGCGCAACTTTGGAAGAAAACCCTGGTGTTAGATATAAGCGGTATATATGTTTTTTTGTTCTTAAGCATTGATACCCCTTTTTATGAATAGTTATAGCTTTTGTTGTAATTGTGTTGTATTAAACTAGTGGTTATTGTTTAATAAATTACTTGGCTACATTAACAATTACTGCTGATTAACACACTGAACCAACATAACTGTTCAAAGGAAGAGGTAGAATTTGTATAATCACTGCAGTGATATATTTTTAAAACCATTTTTTGTTGCAAATATGCAAAATAGGTAGCATCATTCACATTAATGTAAATGGACTGTTTCTGTTTATAAAAGGGAACCTTTGGATAATACAAAGCTTCTTGCTGAACTGGTAGACACAAAACTTGCCAAACACTATGAGATGGATGAAAAGTGCAAGAAGAAGGTGAGATTGTGTTAAACACTAGAAATTTAGAAACAAAACTGTCTTGATTATTTTGCACTTAATTGTCGTATCTTAATCAAATTGTTCTGTACTTGTTTTGCAGGGAAAAACACATGCACAGCTTTTGATAATTGATCGTGGTTTTGACCCTGTATCTCCAATCCTTCATGAGCTGACATACCAAGCTATGGCTTATGATGTGATCCCTATTGAAAATGATGTATATAAGTAAGTGTTTTTAACATCTGTCTTCTAGTGGATGTTTTTGTAGTGAGTACTGTAATGCAATAAAAGCAAAGTGAATTTACTATATTAAACAGGTTCCTAGGTCTTCTCTTCATCTTTTCCAAAGTTAACATGGCAATGGTTCCGTTTGAATGGTGCTTATAAGTTTTATTTATTAGTAGTGTAAACCGATTTACTCTGTATAATCAAAAGTAAGTTTCTTAATGGTGCAGCATGTATCCCATAACAAAATGGTTGAAAGGCTGATTTCAGAATGATCCCGAGAAATCGACTGTTCCAGAATGTTCCAGCAGGAACCAAACAGGTGCCTGCTGTTTTGATATCGCATTATGTCTTCAGGTACCAGACAAAAGAAGGACCCACTTCAAAGGAAAAGGAGGCATTTCTGAACGAGGATGATGAGCTGTGGGTCAAACTCCGACATATGCACATAGCAGAAGTTGCTGAGTAGGTAGATTGGAATTCTTTTATAGAATTACCATGTTCTTTTCATTTATTGCTCTGATTACATACTGATTCTGAATTCAAAAGCACAGTAGCTAAAAGTCGGAAGAAACAATGCAGTTTAGAGGTTTCAGCAATAAGCTGACATGTACTGTATCTATGAATTGTACTGAATGTCATAAGAACACGCCATATTGAACAGGAACTTTTGAAGTGACCAACATCTTTTCAGTTTTAAATGAGGTAAAATTTTATTACTTTGAAGGGCCAGGTTCCTTATAGGGTTTCTCCCTTTAGTTTTTAAAACTGTATGTCAGTTGCATTATACTGTGGTTCACACCTACTATATGAAGTATATTTTTAAGTTTATTGAAGTTGTATCCATTAAATTATTTCATGATAGACAAATCCCAAAGCAGCTGAAGGAAATTTCTTCCAACAAGAAGCGACCGGATGAGAAGGTTAGATTTTCTTATTTGTAATGTGCCCTTCTTTATTGATACCAGTTACTCATATTCCAGTTATGTGGATATTGAAGAATTAAATCATTGATTTTGAAAAAGGTGCTTCATATATTGTGTTCCAAGGAGAGTTTTTTTTTTCCCTCAGATTACAATTAGTGGTTTGTCTCAGCTCATGAAGAAAATGCCTGGTTTCCGTAAACAAGTCGCACAGGTCAGTGACACTATTTGATGTACGTTATAACTGTTTTTTGTGTATTCTAGCTTTGCAGAGTTAAATCGAGCTTTAAAGCAAGTCAGCACTGTTTTAAGTCAGAGGAAAGAACATTGTAGTGTCCGCTATGAAGGGGCTCCCCCTAGGAGCACTGTTAAGAATTGCAAGCTGTTAATAGTGGGAGGAGGGACTTGTGTGTTGGTTCTAGATATCGGGGTTTCACCAACCGTTAAGGGATATGTGTTTGTCAGTAATGGGGCGAGCACCAGCCTAGTTGTAGGCTTTCCTGGCTTGAGGGTCTGCCGAAAGGGCAAAGTTTCTATTCATTCTCCTTGGCTGTAGCCTTTTGTTGCCTTTGTGTTTTTATGAAGCTTGAGTTATGGTGGACCACCTCACCTCTTCATTCTCCCCATCAGCGCCTATCGCTTCAGTGTTTTAGTTTTATGCACCAGAAATGAAATGATGTCACACATTGAAAACGAGACAGTCAGTTTGGTGGGATGTCCTTGCCGCCGTGCAGCAGTCTATTGTCATTAATGAGGCACGGGTCGGCCCGACCCGATTTAAAATGATAAAAGTACTGACCCGAAGCTGGTCTGAACCCGCTCCACTAGAAATTACACTCAACAATATTCGAACATTCATTTGATCAACATTTATTGAAAAAGCATATCCAGATTCTTTGTTTTAAAGAGATTAAAGTAGCCCAGTCTTGTGACTGTCATTTTTGTAAAGTGCTTCACAATCGATGCAGATAACGTAACCTGTGCTTTTTTCTTCTGTTGTGCTGACGAGCTCGCCAAACCTCTCCCACCTGGCTCTTTTGTCCCTCTCTCTTTATTTTTATCTTGCTGTTCTGGAGTTGTGTCCTGATCTGCTCCAACAAGGTTGCCATTATGTTTTTTTTCTTTGTAATACAGTGTTGTCCGTTTGCTTACATTTTCTCCTGTTTTGACTTGTGATACAACCAATTAGAGCTTAAATATGGAAAACGTCCGTTTTAAACCTTAAAACCACTTTAATTTAAGATACAAATGATCGGTTTTCTGCAATATTTTGCTTTTGGTAATATATCAACCCGCGCATCACAAGTTGATGATTGCATGGTTACACTGTTTACGTTTTGATATGTGAGTGTGGTTCGACCGTTGCACTTATTATTGTTCGTACCATTTTGTTCTTACTTTGAGTTTGAAAGTTCAAAGTGTAATTTAAAGAAGAAGTCAAAGCAGAAGGGTTATTATGGATCACTTGCTCAAATCTGGGACTCTGAAACACAAACATAGCGAGACAGCGACAGCGCAAGTGCGAGTAAGATGCAGAATAGAAGTGAAAATGTGAGTGAGGTCATTTGTGAACCATACCAGCAGTGCTGTAATTCTAATTCCAACAGCTTGATAAATGTGACGTGCAAGAAAGCAGAAGGTGTGCTTGATGTGATGTCTTCGTCTGTTTCCAGACATGAAGATGTCTAAAGTTATCCAGCTTGGATCCAGATATCACTTCTCTGATTGCTCCACAAAAGCAGCTCCATTCTGTTTAAAAACAGCACATTATTAATCTTGTGTGTTGGATTCAGTATTAAGTTGGTTTAGTGAGTGGAATAATTATGGAAGTGATTGAAAACCGGTAAGACTAGAATTGGTGAAGCTAGGATTTTGAATACTGCATCCTGATGTTTTTGCAGAAAACCATCCATTTGAATTTAGCCGAAGACTGCATGAACCACTTTCAACTGAGCGTTGAGAAGCTGTGTAAGGCAGAACAGGTACGGTCATTTAAACCGGTCAATATTCAACACACTCCGTCAAAACTATGAAATGTGTTAAAGGAAAGCAGCAATATAAGCAGCATCATGATTTGGCAATGGTTTTGCAACCTTATGGTAAAATGTGGGCAGGGAGCCTTGCATTCTTCTATCAGCTCTTTTCTGTCATGGTTTGGATAATACTTAGGCATTATTATTGAAATAGGTGCATCTGTTCATAGCTGGAATGTAAGTAGACTTGCTATGCTGATTATTCAGACTTGCTTGGCAAAATGTTAGTGTATTATATTGCTGATGTTTAGCTTGCTTATAAGTAATTTAGTGCATTGATTACATAGAACTTTAAACTTCTTTTATTGAGTGTTTGTTCCCGCATGTGATGTTGGTAGAATAGCAAGTTTGAATATCTAACCGTATAAGAGCTTTCATTTATGGTGTGCTTTGGTCTGGTGGAAGGTGACACAGTCTTGTTGGTGTACTTTTATTTTCCACTTGTGCACAATGTAGACGTCTACCATGCAAGTCAGAATTGCCCATTGCTTCCTTGTCATGTGGGAACTAGAAGGTTCCCCATTAAGGTTAGTTATCAACTCCCTGGCTTGTAGTAACTGATCATGGACAGTTCTGTGCTCTTAGGACCTGGCAAATGGATGTGACGCAGAGGGACAGAAGGTTAAGGATCCAATGAGAACTCTTCTTCCAGTTCTGCTGCATTCTCATTCCACTGATGACAAGATACGAGCTGTGCTGCTATACATCTTCAGCCTAAACGGTGTGTTTTTCATGCTGATATTTTATGGGGGACATCAGTGTAAACTTAAAAGTTGTAAAACTAATTTTAAAATTAGCAGTGAGATTGTTTTAACCTTTACACCTTTCGTTGAATTTTGTAGAGTAACATTTGTTTTGTGAAATGGCAGTAGAAATGTTATATCCCTGTAAAGCCCTAATTTTATCCAAGTAGTCCTCAGTAATACCCAGAACAACAGAGCCTTGAATGCTAAATGTAGGAAATAATTCTTTTTTTTAAAGAATTCATCTCAACTTTTTTTCTGTTTGTGTTAATAGGGATAACTGAGGAAAACCTTAATAAACTGATTCAACATGTCAAAATTGAGAATGAAAGGGAAATTATTCTGAACTGGAAGGATCTTGGAGTTCCGATTATCTCCACTGTAAGCAATCATTTTATAGACCCATAGGTCTATAGTCTTTGCTCGTTGTGTATTGCATTGTTCTGTTTGAGATAACATGTCTAAATTGTTTTTTCGTTGTAGTGATATATATATATATGGTTTTATTAACGGATCAATGGAAAAATGCTTTAGAGCTTTTTTAAAGTGTGCTTTTTAAAGAAAATTAAAATGTTCTCCTTAAAACTATTCTCCTTAAAAGACTGACAAATCTGAAAAATTATATTTTTCCAGCAATCATTCTTCCAGCAACGTAAGCCAACAAGAAGAGATCGTTCTCATGAAGAAAGATACAATCTTTCTCGATGGACCCCTGTGATTAAAGATGTGATGGAGGTACACAGAATGTATTTTCTTGTTTCAACTGACTTCTGCTTCTTTAACCAGAGTTTAATTAGTTATTGGTTCTATTTGGTATCAAAGTTGGCTTTATTACAGTGAATTAACCTAGGTAAATATGCAGTGTCATAGATGGTTGTCAGTGTTTGCTGTTGAAAGCTAAAATGCAATCTCATGCAGGTGATGAACAACTGGCATGTTAATTGTAAGTAGTTTTATTGAAGTATAGTTTTGGTGTCAGTTAGTTTTTATTGTCTTTCCATTCTCTTCAATGAAGGTCTCTTAAGATAGAGTAACATGCTACATGAAGTTTTTAGTTTTGAAATCCCACAAATATGTTATGAATTGAATTAGCTGATGCTTTTATCCAAAGTGACATGCATTTGCACCCATAGGTGTTTTACTGGAGCATTATTTACTTTTACAAACAGTCTCCTCTGATGAGGGAGAAAGATTCATGGAGCTCTTTGTAGATACGTGATAGATTTGAACCGAAAATACTTTTTTTTAAAAAACACACAATGAGAGTGCTTCATGTACCATGGTGCATGAATTGGGAGCTTGTGTTAAGTAGAGTAAATCCAGTTCTTTGGATGAGAGACTTGTCTATTACAGATTAACACCCTTACCCAATACAACAGAAGTCTTCTTCACTACAGCATTTCGGGTAAAGCATCTTCTGAATGATCCTAATAATAATAGTAGATCTAGTAACAGGGGAGCTGAATTCTCTATTGATATGATCAAAGCTTTAATCACTTATTCCATTCTCCTCCCTTTTAAATAAATCAAGTGAACATCGTTTTTGATTTCTTCATAGACTTTGGGCACTGTACGTTGACTACTTTTTTAATTGTAACAACACTTCTTTAATGGCCATTTGCGTGTTGACTGAGGTCCAGCCTGGTGCAGGTTAAGAAAAAAAGTTGAAAGCCATTTGATCCCAATTTAAAACCAGTTATGGAGCAGGTGTCACTGTTATTAAATCTGTTATCATTATTTCAAAAATGACCACTGAGACGAATGGTAATCTAGGTCATTGCGGTGTTTATTTCTTGAGAATACAAGTACAGGTAAAACGAAGAGTACTGTTTTTAAAGCCACAAAAGAAATTTGCCTAAATGAAGAAATTTGATCTAAGGGTCAGGAATACAATCTCATTACAGTATCTAGGTATGGTCACCTCAATTGGCAAGGTAATTGATTTTCATTATTTATTGAATTATTTAAAATTTACTAGAATACCGTTTATAAGGTGGTATTTTATTATTTATTTTCACTTCATTTTAAGCCAGTTATGCTTGAAGATGAATGAATTAGTTCTTTTTTAGCACTGTATATTCTTACTTGACCAGTCACTGAGTATATTTTTTGGCTATGTTTTTGTGACATTTTTACTTTAGTGAATCAATGTAAATGCGATCTTTTTGTATTTAACTTGTGTGTTGCCAGGATACTCTTGAAAACAAGTTAGACTCCAGGGAATGGCCACACCAATCTGAATGCCCTTCGGCTTGGAATGGATCTGGAGCTGTAAGGTATGGATAGCTACTGTATATATATATACACACACACAATGAGCATAAAACTGCATTGTCTAGCAGTTACAGTAGCATGTGTGCTGCATTGGAAACAAACCAAGCTGTACAAGAAAGCCATTATTAAATGAGCAACATTGCATTGTCAGATTTGAACGAGCCCTCAGGAAGGGCAGCTAATGTAGACTATTGACTCAGTCATAAGCCGTACACTGTTGTTGCCTTCAGTAACTACACATAGTAGAAACTTACAATTCTTTATCGTTCTGCACATCTGCATCACACTGTCTGATATCCATAGAGGTGAATCAAGAAACTTGATTCATCACCTAAAGATTCTTGGCTCCCCTGCTTGTGGGTCCATCTGAGGTGACTTAGTCCAGCCTCCAGCCTATCAGTCACAGATGTATTGATAAATGGTGCATGCTGGATACTTTGTGTTTTTCCTGTTTTTCACCATTCTTGACAAAGACATTTCATCTTTATTTTTCTAAGAGTGTATATAGTAAAAGTTTATTTTGATGCTAAGTTGATATATACAGTATATATATTACACCTGCTAGTATTCTGCATATTTTTTTCTCTGGGTTGTGGTAATATGGCACAAGCTTTCAGTCATGATGTTAAAGTTGATAGCTTCGTTTCTTTCAAGAGATGACTGAGTAAGGCGAACATCAGCAAACATCAGAACATCAGAAATGCATCAGCGAACTGCTAACTACCAAACAGGCTAGATGGGTTGAATTGCTTTTCCTTGTTTGTAGCCTTTCTTATGTTCTTAAAGCTGCGCCTGGTGTTTGAAGCCATTTCTGAAACAGTAGGAAATAGACAGTAATAACAAGTGAGTGAGACTGTAAGACTGACCTTTGATTAATTCCATCAGCTTATGAAGCAAGTACTGCTGTTCTGAAATATCTTGTGTATATACTGTATGTGTACATTTTGATTTGACCCATGAGCCACATGCACTGTTGGGAGACTTTCTTCATAGCATTACCATGATATTTCCTATGCACAGTGCTCGACAGAAGCACAAGCCAAGCAATCCAGATGACCGAAAGGGTGGCTCAAGACTTATCATCTTCATAATTGGAGGAGTTAGTTACTCGGAGATGCGCTGTGCGTATGAAGTGACCCAAGGAGTCAAGTCATGTGAAGTTATCATTGGTAAGTATTGTGATGGTCAGACTGAAAACTCATATTTTTTTCTTTGTTCCCTGTGGCGGGCATATAAGGCAAAAGACAAGTCTCTACATCTGATTTTTTTTTCTAGTTTCAATAATTCTGTGTGAAATTAACTTCTACTTGTTCCATTATGATAACATACTACAGGTTAAATTATGAATATTTAAACCAATTCTCCCTTTTAATATGATATACATTCAGACTCTTTTTGTAAATTGAAAAGACAAATTTTGTATATTAGTTTTACAGGTTAACAATGTGGTAAAAGAAAAATAAAATAATGCTGTAATTTTATCCGACAGGCTCAACTCACATTGTGACACCCAAAAGCCTTCTGGATGATATAAAGTTACTCAACAAGCGTCCTGTAGAACCCTTTAAAATCATCGACGAAAGCTGTAATGCTTGAAAATTAAGATATGTGAAAAAGAAGAAAATAGTCTTGAATGGGAAGATTGAAGGGATTCTTTTGTTTCTGTGGGTTTTTGTATTTTTAATTACATCATTGCTATTAACATGAAAAGGCTTGTCTCTTGATATTTTCATAACCCTCAAAGTATTTATTCCATGTTGGAAAGCAGTGAGGACTAATTAGACTTGAAGATTTAAAACGCTATGTATAATTTATATATTCAAACACTGCCTGTTGGTCTAATAACCATTTTATAATCTGCTGCTGGATTTTCACTTTAAGGTAAAAGCCATCATATTTTACCATCTACCAAACAACTGACACGAGGCTTGGATTAAAAAATTAACAGTTGTTTCAACAGGCGCAGTCGCAAATCCACTAAGATTTAAAAGAAATCCTAGCCAGATTATTGCTACAGTATGTAAAGTAAAAGTTCATTTTCTTACTAATTTAAGTCAGAGGTATATTACACATAAATTATGTTCCATAAATGAATGTGGTTAAAACACTGTAACGATTGCATGTATTAAGCATTTTTATCTAAAATAAAAGTATTAGTTAATTATTTTGTCTGTTCATTTGATGTCCAGTTTTGTTTTAATACTTTTTCATGTACTACACAATCTCAACAAATTACTAATAAAGCATAATTTAAATATTTATAATTGTAACATTTAAATATTTTAATAATTCACAAACACTTGAATACACCATCACATTTTACACCCCCTAGCTCTTAATATCCAAATAAAATGAGGATATAGAAACTTTCTTTTTAATTTAAATTTTCTATCATTTAAAACATTCCTCACTGAGCTCAAGCACCTTGGGAAAGTTAGAACAAAATACTTTGGGACTTATTTTTGTCTATACAAGCTGGAAAGTTAAATAATCCAAAGCCTTTGGGATGAGGAACTATTTTGGAAAAATTATCTTTCATAGGTGGAGAATGTAAACCTTGTTCATTAATAACTGAAAAGAAGAGATTTGTATAATGTGTAAAACATTTGATAAGATACCACAACAACAGGGTGACATTATACTTTGTAACAAAATATGTAAGGTGGTATTATAGAGCAATGGCATGAAGAGGAAACAGAACAACTCAATGGGAATTTAATAAGATACTTTTTTGTCTGTGATATCCAACGTTAACAGAGCAGAGGTGTCATATTTAGCTAAAGGGCAATGGGTGGAACATCTTCTCAGAGGATCTTCTGTAATCCAATACACAAAATATGGCCTACTTTCTTTTCGCTACACATGATAGCATGTTACATATGTAATTAAAATTAAATTTCAAAGTCACAATATAATCCCTTAATTTTATGCGGGTAGCCTGTTATAGATACTGAAACCCAGATACAATATTAGAATCAAAACCTCGACAACACTGAAAGAAAATTTAAAGACCACGTATCAAAAGCACAAAAAGTTGGATTTTCGTGTTAGGTTTTAAGAATAGTAAAGTAAGGTTAGAAAAAAATATAATTACAGAATGCAAGGAAAAATTTAAGAACATTTAAGAGGTACATTATATTTACGTACAAATATTGGTTAAACAATACTGGTTTATTGGTCATAGAAATATTGGAGTTAATCAAACTAGTTAGTAAAACTGCAGAGCAGGGCCCCATCTTGTGTTCACAGGAGGGGTACATTTTGTACAAAGAAGGCAAAATAAATCTTATTTTAACAATAGAATTTTAAAAGTACAAAACACAATGAAGTGTGACATTTTTATATACTTCTAAAAGAATACATTTCTATAGGAGTTGTTTAAAAAGTTACTAAAACATTATGCAGCAGTGCAAGTCAAAAGGCAGATACAGAAAGCTGTACGTAAACACTTAAGGAATGCATTTCAATGTTGACATTCAAGTTAAGTCACACATCAGATGACTTTTCCTTCTTGTTTGCTTTAAGAGTCTGTATGTATAACTTTAAACAACCGTGGATTCAAATTCTGCATTTTTCTATGCAATTCTGCCTTGGCTAGATCAGCTGAAAGAGTTTTCACCATTCTGTCTGTTGTTCTTTTCATATATTGTGCGGCTTCTATTGCTTTGTCCAGCGTTCTGTTCATATCCTCATCCTACAAAAAAAGAATGGAGTATTAATAAAGTTTAAGGTAAAAACTAAGATTAATTTTGTTGTCCACAAAGTCTATTTCATTGAGTAACTTTTATCCTATACTTTATTATACTTTATTTTTTATTAAATTACCTTTATGAAATTCTAGTTTTGGGCACTGTAGGAATCTTTAATTTCTTGAAAATATTAACCCATTTATTTCTCATTTAAAAACACTTAATTTTTAAACCTTACCTTGTATTTCCTGCTATTCCTATTTTGGGTGTTAATTTGTGGCTTGGTTTCTGACCACTTCAAGTGCTCTTTAACTTTGTTGGCTAGAAGAGCGGAGTCTGATTGAGTGGAATGTCTCCTGTTCTGTGGAGCATAAGATTGCTTCACCTCTTTCAAGCTGAGTGTAAAGATGACATTTTTTAACTTGTAGAAATAAAACACTTTTGAGCACCACTGAATATAAAGTCCAGAAATATAAAAGTAAGTGGCACAATGACTATCATATATTAAAGCAAATTGCCAGATGTCTCTGTACTGCTTTTGTAATAGAAATACTTGCTTGTTTGAGGATATTTCTATAAATACTCAATTTTAGATTATTTTACGGACACTTTGTGCTTAATATTAGATAATGCATCATCTAACACCTTTTAAATTGATTTTTTATACATGTGCCCAGGGACACAGCCAATGAATGAATACAAAAATACCCTGTTTATTTGATATTTACCTAACAGGTAAACTGCAGGTGGAACCATTCTTGACTTGTAAAATGCTCTTATTTAAGTGGTTTTCATAAAGAGGAAAGTTCTTCTCTTTGCATTTCATTTCTTGCATGTCCATTGCTGCTAAAATAAAGCAAAGAGATAGATAAATAGCAGCAATCCATAGCCATGTTAGAGCATTTATATACCTGTATATACTGAAAGTTTATTTTGTTCTATACTGCAAGACGTGACTGTTTATTGTTTCAGTGATGATTAAACAATGGTCCTCTTCCTTACACAACAAGTGGGTTTTTCTGTTCCATACCCCAAAGAGCTGACTGGAGCTACTCTTCCCTAATACATTCAAGTGATTTTGGTGGGATTTTCGATATGTGCAGTCCTTATCTATGAATTAAAGTAATAGGGTTATTTGTGCACAAGCTGTTGTATTTTATACAGCAGTGGGGAAGCAGGGATAACTGGTCAAATAACTAATTGAAAATTTAGCATTTAACACCAGCCAAATCAATAGTAACTACTGATATAATAGGAGATGACAAATACTGGATAAGATCTACAGGACAAATGACATTATTCAAGAAAGTAATTGTTTGTAGAAAAATGTCTGTTTTATTTAGGAAATTATATGCTTGGAGCCATTAAAAAGGTAAAAAATGATTATTGAAATCATTTCAGTATATAATTTCCTAACATACTGTAAACACTTTAATATCTACTCAATTTCTCACATTGTAGATTGACTGTGGACATTTAAAAATCTTGTAAAAAATAGACACACATGAGGATGGTTTTTCCTTCATAGCACACACAGAATTTATATCACTTCTCTGTACTATGCAGATGCCCACACCACACACCCTAAAGCATAAGATGGGAAATGGAGACATACCTCTCAAGAAGGTATACCCTTCAGCAGCCTGAGGACAGCTGTTTTTTTTGCAGTTCTGTCTATCAGATGTGTGTGGCAAGGGTTGGGACTGAAATGCTGTTGCAGACTGTGACAAGTCTTCACTATCTGTACCTATGCAGAACAATGCAAGCAAGTCTCTGTTATGCTGGTTTTAAAAATGTAATGATTGAAGCAAGTCTCAGCATTCAATGAAAATATTCTTCCATACTGTATTTTACATAATAATTTTACACACACTTTATAATTTTGTGCAAAATGATCTTTCAAGTAAGGTACTCTAAGACCACTGCTGTTACTTTTGTATTCATCATTTGTATACAAATGCCAGTTAATTATACCCACTTCTGAATCAATAAGTGGAGTAAAAATGCACTTTCATGTTGGTAAACTATTAAGAAAAGTACCTTAAAAAGAATTACAATATTAATATTAAATTCAAATAATTAATATATTATATATTGATAAAAATAAAGGTGTCTTTGATCAAAAAAGCTTTAAATCAATACAATTGATCTGCAATATTTAGCCTTACATGGTTCCATGTCTGATGAAATCCTGTTTTGTCCATTGCAAAGGGAGTCTGCATTCCAGGGATAGAGTCTTCCTTTTTTACACCCCCTGTGCTTCTGGCCACTACAATGCCATTAAGAGAAAAATAAATGATAGACAATTCAGAGACAAGGAACATAGCAAGAATGTGTTTGGAAGGTACCAGAGGTAACCACCACTCCACAATGCCACTCTTATTTCTAATCCATTTAAAACACTTTGGTTAGAATACACAGTACTATCCTGCTCAATACAAACTCTAATGTATGTAATTGTAATAAGATAAACATGTTAAAATTTACTGTACCTATAACAACCAGCTTTATTGTTAGATCGAGATTTTGATTTGTATCTCTTTTCCGGTATGAATCTGTGGTCAATATAATCCATTCTCTTGCTTATCTGAGGCAGCCGGAACAAACTTTCTTCCAGCTTTTTCTTTAGTCTTGAGACTTCCAACTGAAGAGCCACAATTGCTTCACTGTTTAACACAAAACAAACTTGAAATCCAGTCTCTTTTATGATGTTAATGAGTTATTATGTGACATTAAGACCAATTAAGAATCTAACTTTTGTGATTCTATGTTTAAGGGCATTTTTCCATTACAAGTCCTTTTTACATTGCAACCTTACTTTATGTATTAATGTATGAAGAAATATAAATATTACTAGTACACAATAGCTCAGTAAAAATCATAAGCGTTTCTGAGAAATCTGTTTAAATTTTATCTTAGAATTCAGATGGTTTAAAGAAGTAGTATAGAAAACACTTACTTATGATGGGAACATAGCTGAGAATGCTTTTCTGATGTGGCCCAGTTTTTTTCTATGGTGTCATGAAGAATACAGCCACATGGAGAGGGTAATAGGAGATGTTCATCTGAACTTTGATTGATAACATGATGGGGGATGTATGTATCACTTTCTGAAATAAAAAAACAAAACTGGCTAATATTTGTTTTCTATGAAACTGACCAAAATAATACTGTTTAAATATTTAAGCAAGGTTTATAGGTAGGGTTAAGACTAGGGTATTTTTTAAAAGTAGGATAATTTCAAGACAAAGTCAAAGCAAAAAAAGTGGCTATGTTATTCTGAGCAGGGTACTACTTTTAAACTCTTCATACATTTGTTGTTGAGCTATACTAATAACTATAGTCATTGGAAACTACTGTTTATGTCCCCTTTTTTAAAAATAATTGTTTATCTGCATTTGTACCTAAGTTTACTTAATGGGTATTTAAAGAAACTGGTCTTTTTTATTTAATTGTAAATATACATTGTTTTACAGCAATTTATAATTGAATGTTATATCACAACTTCAAGTTGTAACTTCAAGTAACAATACCACTGTGATTGTGATTTTAATTTAAATAAACCACTGCTTAATTTTCTCATTTCTTTGCACATTGATGACTTTTAAAACAATGGTCTATTGCACACCAGTCATCATAACTTAGAACTATAAAAATAACTATCTACTGCCATCTGCTGACCAAAACACTGAGCCCTCACTCTTTTGTTGTCTTATTTAAAGAACAGTATGTGACACTTTACTAGAGAAGTATGTTCCACCTTTGTTAGAGATGGCTTGTGAGTCTTCAAGGTTTTCAATCCAATCCAATTTAAAACAGTTCATCATTGGCTTAACTGGACTGAAATTTAACAACTTCTCCCAACTTTGCAGGTGTTGGTAAAGAGACCTATGAATCTGTGGCCCTCCATGTCACTCCTGGTTAAAAACATGTTCATTTCAAAACTTGTGAGACATATTAACTTACCATACTTTCCAGTGGAGCCAATTTCACTTATGACACTGTGAGTCCAGTGATCTACTGTGCTGCCAGCAGACAGAGCAGCTTGTTGCATTGCTTCATTCAGGTCTTTTGAAGAAGAAACTTTAATGATGGCTGTCTGTGCATTGGAACATGAAACGTCACTGTCTGAACTGCTCAGACTGCTCATATTAATGGAGGTTGACTGTTGGTTTGAAGGCAATGGACACCTGCAGGAAACAATTCAAGGAACTATATTTATCAAATTCTGTAGCAAAGGTATTCTTATGGTAAATGTGTAGTTCCAACTTTTTATAAGATAGTTTACAATATGATTTACTGAAAGACCTTAAGACTATGTTTGTCTGTCCGCATTCTTTAAAAAGAATTTGAGATGCAGACTTTAATCATATTTTCATCTTACTGACTAGGTGAAAAAAGTCTGAAAAATTTAACAGCAAAGTGTTGATGTGTAACTCATATATAAATGAGGCAATCTACATTACATATGGATTTTAATCAGAGTGTAGAACCCTCTATTATGTCATCAGTATGGGTAATGTATTGATTTTTTTTAGTATTATGTTTGAAAGTTTAATGTTGTAGTTATACTGTAGTTTCAGCTCACAGAATGAATAGCAAAATTTAGATTTTTATTCTTCTGATTCTTTACTGATAGTAAAAGATAAATAAAGACCATTGTTCAAATTCAAATACCAATTAGTTAAATACAATTATTAGCTATGCATACTTTATTTAATGAAATACGCCTCACTTTCATAATATCACTACCTGTCAGCAAGTAAAAAGGTATTCCATTCTAGATAAAAGCACTTCTGATCTTTAAAATTTTAAAGTAAGCTTTCACTCCAAAGATTTTGTTATGCAATGTGCACTGTCCATTGGTAACATACCTCTCTGTAGCCATTTGTGAATGGGACAATGCAGTAGTAGGCCGGCTCTGATCCAAGCTGTCCAATCCACTGTCTGTTTCAGGAGCCACTATGCCCTGCTATTGCCCATAAAAATGTCATAAACTAAGATTTATAAACATTTCATTAATCACCATATTACACAAAATACAAAATGATCAAAATGTACAGACTGAAATCAGATTGATCTTACTTTAAAAACTTGCAGTAATAACTGTACCTCTAATGAATCCTGAAAATTATTTGAGATGCCGTGTATCTTTATAGGGAGGTTCACAGAGGAATGAGAAAGATCTCCAACAGTGCCACGGCAGAATGAAGTCTCTAACTTGTGTGTAGCTTGCTGGCTAAATAATAAAGCAATAAATATTGATATAAATAAAGTTAAACATATAATGATTTTCTATACATAATGCTATACCTTGCATATATAATTCATTTATTATTATTCACCTTTTATAGTAAACTATAGGAAATGTAGTCGTTTCACTGAAAACAACAAGGCAGGTAGAGTTTTTTTCAATTCATAGAAAACTAAATAAATTATTAAAAATGAAATTGCTGCGAGAACTGGGAGATGTTTAAAGCAATAGCAATAAAAAACAACAAAAAATAAAAACCTATATAGGGAAGAAATCCAAAACAAAAGCAATTTTTTTAAATGAACTACAGGCAAATGTATATACAATATACAGGCAAAGTATAAGGAAACGTCAGGTACATGGAATGTACAGAAGAGGAGATGTTGAAAATTGTGAGGTCTGTTTTAGTTTAAAGACTTAGTTTTCAACACTTACACTCCAGGTGTTGACAGCCTCTTCTTAGAGGCACCCATTGGTGATTTTGTCAATATTCCATCTTCAACGGTTGCAGCAAATTCATTAAAATCATCCTTGATTAAGGCACATTTTAGGTTTCCTGGCGGCACGTCAGACTCTTCATAGGAGTTACTATGGGTACAGAGGACACAAGCATAGGCTGAAAATGATACTGTTCATTTTCCAGTCACCCTGAAACAAGATAGCCCAATTGAGAAGAGATCAAGGTTTCAAGATGCAGTTTCCCAATTTACAGTACAACTCTCATATTTGACTGTTTACACATTGAAAATTGTTCAAGTAGGCCAGATATATTTCCATTGTTGTTACCTTATAATAATAATAATATTAATAATAATGCACCATATTTATGTAAGACTTAATCAAGCTATTCTAATACAGTAGCATTAAGAACATAATGTATAATTTTAACTATATTTTGTATACTATTTGTATAAAACAAGAACAAAATAATAAAATATTTCAGCCTTCTTCCATCATCAGAAGTATCATCCTTTGGGTTGTTTACAAAATCTGTCTTAAAACCCCTGTGTAATAAGACTTAGAGTGCAAGAGCAGCTGCAGTTTGAGCCCTTACAGTCCTGTTCCTGGCACCATAGACTGGGATCTACTGAACCCAGAGAAGATAAAAAGTAAAGTCCTAACAGTCCTTCAGTTTAGCCTGCCATATCTATTTCTGCTGCAACTTGACGCCAAGACTCGAAATATAATTTGTAAAATGTATTACATGAGAATAAATCAATATTATTTATTTATAAAGATATCTTTTTCATTTAGAATTTCCAAAACATAATCACTTCTAGACACTCCCAAAATATAGGTACTGTTAAACAATGTCTGTAGTACCCCACGGACATGGGATACATAGAGGACAAAATACAATACAATACCATCTTCAAGATGTCAGATACACTCCATAAAGATGGATCTTTCAATTATTTATAATTAAATATTTATAAATATTGTCAGATATATTGTGTTAGGCATTTCTTCAGCTTCATAACATTCACACAGTAACAACTGCTAAAGGATAGTGTGAAGCCTCTAACAGAAAAATATAAACAGAGGAAACCAATCCCTTTTTCCAGCCCTTGAAATCCAGCAGATTTCTAATATACAAACAACCTCACCACCCTCCCCCCTTTCCCAGGGGACAGTGTATGCACATATAACAGAATGGAGATGTAAATAAAAAAGAAAGAGAAACCAGGAAGCTTATATTGAGACTTCCATTCCTAGAAAAAGCAACTGTAAAAAATATATGCTAAAATATGTGTAAGTAGGGAAGAGAATCAAGAGTTAGGACATTTTGAGTAGGCAAATAAACATGCCATGTCATGTGAGTTAATAATAATTTAACTAAACAAATGTATAATTATAGATCCATATTTAATGTCAAATGGGAGAACAAGTATAATTTAAATCTGGAAGGTAATATGGACTCTTTCTTCATGTACATTTACTGTCACAATTAAAAAACTATTTTCCAAACAAATAATAATTATTAAATAATCCCGTGCTCCACAAATATGACTTAAAAACAATATTCAAATTAGTTTTCATAAAGCCTATTTAATGGTGAATTAACATTCACCGGATATGAGGAGACTAATTACTGTACCAGTGACTGAGGTTGAATAACGGTGTGCTGTGTTGTTGGAATGCTTCTGGAATAGGATCATTGCCTTGTGGAAAATCACTGTCCTCATTGACTGAGCTCATTCTTGGCTCATTTGGGCATAGACAAGGAAGGAGCTTCTGTCAAGAAACACAGGACTCAGCATGAGGTATTTAGACTGAAATAAAAGTTCATTTATTCCAGGTTGATATGATGAAAAGCATAATAACAGGACATTATTCATTTCTAACAAGCTAGCTTTAAATAATACTAGACATATTTTTGTCTTTTTGTACTGAAATGTAATAATTGAAAAAATGTAAATGTAAAATGTACTATTCGACATGTAGGTTTTACAACATTAATTACTCAATTTTATATATTACCTTGTCCAGAGTCTTTAATTCACAAGGGTAATCCTGTTAAGACACATTGAAAAAATAGGAACATATTAGCCTAGTGGAGTAGCTATATCAGTCTCCTGTCCCTAAGAATTGTTCTTTTATACATGATAGCTACAGAAAGAAACAATATATATTACAACTGACAGATAATAAGTACCTTGCTATATAATAATCATGAAATAGCTATTATGTGCATGAACATACAGATACTATTTACTTAAATCCACCCATTACTCCAGGTTATGCATTTTAAACACAACAGTGCATTGACATGCGATGGAACATACAGTAAGTAGTGTATAATCAAAATCTTAAGTGAATGTCTATTATGGCTTTATCAGTTGAATTGAAAAAGTACCTTTTATATCTCTTCTACATTTTTTTTAAAAGATAACAAAAATGGCTGCTCATTTGATACTTCACATGAAAATGAACAGGAAGGTAAAGAAAGGAGTGGTAAAAAGGACAATACAATAAATGATCTCTAAAACTAAATGCTATGTGTGTAATAGAGCTGTGTGAGTTACCTCATGCAGTGATGTATGAGATGAGATGGACTCAGCAGATGGCAATGGAGTCGATGTGGTGTAAGATGTTTGTGAAGAAAGCTGATTGCACACATTTTCATCAATCTGCTCTTTGATGTCTTCAAGGGACATTCCTATTCTAAATATCTGTCCTTCCACCTGCCTTTTTTAAATTCATACATCAGAAAAAGAAAGTCTCAAACACTAATTTAACACAAGGGTGATCATTTTTCTTTGTGCCATTTCTTGCCACTTTGATATCAATATATAACATTTAAAACTACAGTATATTCGTTACATATACAAGATCAATTACAATATTCATAAACACTCAGTAAAATACATTTCTTTCTATGTTTAAATACAATTCAATTGGGAAAGAATTATGAAAATGTTGAAAATATTATAACTAGCAATAGATTGGATCCTACAGTACCAATATTCTGTGTATAAATTACATTAATACCTTCAAGAGCCTATTTCAAGAGCCAAGGACTATCCGTGCAAATATCTTACCTTTCAGGATCAAATTCCCCAATGTCTTTAGACTTGCCCAAATAACTCTTCAGTTCAAGTGCACGGTGTTCTTCTTTTCTGGTCATATAACTCCTTTCTAACTTATCTAGTGCATCCATTAAAGTCTTAAAAACCTAAACATCAACAAGTACAGTATTATTTTATCAAATGTATTTTTATAAAGAATTGCGTATGTACAGTACTAGGTATTTGAATGTTAAATTAATTGCATTATTACCCTTTCAAAGATGGGATATTACCAAGAGGACTACAAGAATACCACACATGTTGTTTGTTTTAAAACAAACAAATGAATCAGATTAAAATTAAAATGACTTTGTGTGTGAGAGAAATGTGTAAAAAATTAAATATATCCCAAAATAAAACTCTTGTCTACCTCTTGTTGTTCATTGATGCCTAAAGACAATGAACTTAGGCAGCTTTTAAACTCTTCCACCTAGAAAACAAACCAAGTGATATCACCACAGTTATATTCATTCTAGTTCAAACTTCATTTTAAGAGCAGAAACAAATAATTACCCCTTTTACCTTTTGTATAAACTGACTTATCATTTCTTTAAGTTCCAGAGTCATTTTTTCTCCTTCACTTGGTCCTTGGGGATCAGTGTCTGAAGCAGTGCAATTTGATAGCTCTGCAGCTTTTAGCTCGTCTTCATCTCCACCTAATAATAAGAGGAAGACCCAGAGCAGGACTCTCAACAGTCATCACATACATTGTGTGTACTACTATTCACTAGAGATGCATTTCATATATAAAGTACCTTTGGTAGTCTAATTAAATGGCAAGATTATTTCATATGCTAAAGATGAGAAACTTTCATCTTTAGCACATGAGAATGCTAAAGCAACTCTCATATCTTAGCAATTCTGATTGTGTAGGCCTCATTTTAATAATTATATATTTGGATTTGTTGCTTTAATTAAATAATTAAAAAGCAGAGGTATACCTGTAAGAGCTGGCAGACTGGGCATGGAAGCTGTGGTAAAGGGTTCAATTTGAGCAGCAGCTGGCATTATTCCTGATTCGTACTCACTTGCATTCGAAGAATCTGAGAAGGATGGTGCCTGTTCATGAGTAAATATTCATTGGACATAAAAGGAAATAAAACTCTATCGTTATTTAATATCAAACCAAAAATTAGTTCAAATATAGGAATCACAACTATAGAAATTACCTTCGCTTTTTTAGTTAAAAGGAAAACAATGTAATATGTACATCAGCATTTTTTATAATCATTTACTGTTAATATTTCATTTAACAGCTGATTTTTTTTAAATACAAGATGTTTTGTAAATGTTCTTCGTTATTTGCTATTTGTTTTTTTTTTAACAAAACCAGTCACTACGGAGTGTCAGTTTTGCATTCAAGTCTGTAATGTCATCTCCAACAATTAGACACACCAAAGAATATTGTTAACATTTTAACCTACTTTAGCACCCAGTCTCATCTGATCGATTAGGTTTTCTGCTTCGGCATATCTTGTTAGTAATTTATCATACTCATCCTGTAAAAAAGAATATTAATGTTAATTCATTCAGAGGTTGTATTTAACATGAAAATAATGCTGAAATGTCAATACATTCAAAACATGTAAATAAGTCATGTGTTCCTAATCATTAACATTACTTCTTCCTGTCTATGCAACCACAAAGCCAAAAGGCTATGGCTTTTTGTACTACAAAACAGAGATTGCAACTAACCATTAGCTTAAAAAATTGTCTAGAAATTCAGTGGATTGTGTAGTAGTTTGAGTGCAAAAAGTAAAAAAAAATAGTTAAAAATAGAACAACGCAAAATTTATACTTTTATACGGAAGTCTATATAAACATATGTATTAACTCAAACATATACAGTGCCTTCAGAAATTATTCAGACCCCTCCACTTTTTCCAAACTTTGTTGTGTTGTAGATTGAATTGATTTTTTTTTGCCATCAATCAACACACAATAAACCCCATAATCGCAAAGTGAAAACACGTTTTCAAGAATGTATTAAATGCATACATTTAATGTATTAAAAATAAAAAAAAACTGAAATCTCCCATTTACATACTGTAAGTGTATGTAGTCCACCTGTGGCCAATTCACTTGATTGGACATGATTTAGAAAGGTCCCACAGTTCACAGTGCGTGGCAGAGTAAAAACCAAGCCTTGAAGCCAAAAAAGTTTAAATTCAATCCATTTTGAAATAAGTCTACAACACAACAAAGTGTGGAAAATGTGGAGGGGACGGAATACTTTCTGAAGGCACTGTAATGTACCATACACAAAATATGCACAGAATTAAATGTTTTTTTTTATCAGGAGAAGAATGTGAAGTTAAATTTATATTGCGGTTGTAAAGGTAATTACCTTTAAATGTTTAACAAGTTCTGGAGTCTGTCTTGGGTCATCCTGTCTTTTTTCAGAGTCCTTAAAAACAACGGCTGTTTGTTGTGGCTGAATGGTGTCAAGCACCTTCCTTATGACATCAACATCTGGTATGGAAGAACCTGTAGCTTTACACAGCAGTCCTGGGGAAGATTTTGTCCTCAGAATTCCAGATGTATGCCTGATAGGCTTTCCATTATTATTTCCCTTAGGGATCCTAATTTTTGAAGCTACTTTGGAAAAATCTGGAAGAGGATAATGAACCTGACCTTGTCCATATTTGATTTCATTACATGGCCAGACTCTTCCTAAAGGTGTCCTTTGTGATTGGATATATTCTTCATCTTTTAACCCTTGGCTCTCATGCTTGATACATTGCTTAGATCCTTTAGTGTGAGTTACTGTATTGCTGCTGTTGGCTCCAGGGCAGTCATCAGTGTTAGTTTTATTCAAGTTATTGGTTTTATTTGTGTTGTTGGACTCATTACCGGAGCTAGCCTGATCAGTTGCTTCATCATCCTCAATTTCCACATCATTACAAAGTTCCTTTTCGGTATTGATCATATCATTATAGCTATGTAAATTATAGTGCAATTTGACTGACACAGATTTGGTCAATACCGTTTCAACACTCTCAGTAAATGAAGCTTCAGGCATCGTCTCTGCTTCAATGTATTTGCTTGAATTTAATAAATCTTCTTCAGAGAAGTGACGAAGTAGCACTTCTGCAATCTTTGACTGGGGGGCATCAGGTTGACCGATTTCAAAACTAGTGTCTCTATGTTCAGTATCATCCCTAAGTTGTACATCATTTCTGCCATTTTTGAAAGCTACAGGTGTGGAGTTAAGGCCGAGGGCTTTTCCAGAGGGATAATTTTCAATCTTATTTACTGTTTTGCCAAACTCTAATGAAGCGAGAGAAGGCGTAGTATTTAAATCCCGGGCAGCTTGACAAGCGTTGCTTACTGGTCGTTGTTCTGCTTGCTTGTCATTGAATCTAGCAGGTGTTAATTGCTTTTCATTAATATCTACATTATGTCTGAGAGTAGCAAATCTATCATCGTTATAAAGGTCACCATCATACGGAAGGTCTTCTTGGTCTTCATCGCTGGTGTCTCCAACTTCACTGTATCTCCGACCTGGCCCATCCTCCATTGTGTTCTGTCTTTGCTCAGATATCCTTCTTATGCTGCTTTTATTGCAAATTGGCTGATGATTTAGACTGTGGCTCTCAGAACCTCTTTCGGAAAACATTTCTTCATCTTGAAAGTCTTCATAAGTGTCAAACTGTTCTATGTTGTCTGCAAAATAAAAATAGTTACAATTAAAAGTCCAGTATTTCCAATGAAATATGTATTTGACTTGGTAATCATCTCAATGGAACAGCTGGATATGTTTAGATTGTACTCTGGATTCCATTCAAATAAAGGAATGTGCAACAGCATTGAGAATAAAAAAAAACACAGGAGCTGAATTGAATTTCTGCATCTTAAGTATGTTATTTCTCATTGCAACTGGACATATATGTTTGATCATCTTTAAAGGCTGTAAGAATGGCTTACACAAATCCAAGTGTAATGTTACAGCTGAGTAGAAATTTTAAACCTCTTCTTAAATTTCCTTACACGCTTGCTTATCAAGTAGTTGTTCACATGACCCTTATGTGTATGAGCTGATCGCAGGTTGATATTTTTATAGTACAATGGATTCATTTTAGTGTTTTTACATTTATTAATAAAGAATTTCCAGGAAAATATTATTTACCATCTTTGTTCATTTGTTATTTGTTGATTATATTACCTCTAGTTGACTAATTATTGTCTTATATCTGTCACATAACTTCAGTATTTCTTGTAAGGAATATTGATCTTCATATAGTTTCCAAAAACATAGAGAAACAACCCCAGTTATGCCTTATCAAGGAGCATATTTCTTGTGAAATTGAACTTATCATCATAATCTACGAAACTCTCCAGAATATATCACTTCAAATCAGTTGTATTGCTTTTATTTTTGACAATTTGTCTCGGAACTGGTACTGTTATGTAACATAATCACAGACATAAAACAAATAACCTTACCATTTAAATTAAGACTTGAATCTTCAGCTGAATTTTGTGAAAGGCAGACAATGAATGAATCCTGCTGGTCACTAAAATGGAAACTGCTGTCATCACTGATTTCAACTAAGATATTTTGCTCAAATGATTTCTCCCATAGCACAGAACCAGGTTTCTCTATGAAATCGCCATCATCTTCAGAGTCCTCATCATATCTTCTGGAATTTTCCTCAGATTCTGCTTTGAAGTCCTCCCCTTTCTTGGCTTCATCACTCATGCCTAGATCCAGGACATATTTGCTTTGATCCATGCCTTAGCAGCAAAAACAGAGATATTAAAAAAATTACCTGCAGACATGCTGGAAAGAATGAGAGTCAAATGATTAGTAAAATTAGTGATGTTCTTCACAACTATTAATCTATTCCTTATTGCAGGTGGATGCTGATGGTATTGGGGACTCTCCTCCACCTGTAAAGCACTTTGAGTGGAGTGTCCAGAAAAGCGCTATACTGTATAAGTGTAAGTAATTATTATAATTGTTAGGATTATTTTACTGTTAAATTATGTAAAATTACAATATGTTACATAACTCACATTTTCATTTCAAATAAGAACATGAGCTGGCGGGATGAAACTTACTGATAGGGACACATCTGATAAGAGTTTGGGGAACAGACCATCGTTACAAAGCAGTTTAAGGTTCTGAAACTTCAGAAACAGCAGTAGCTATTTTCTCTGCAATATGTGACAGCAATAACCTGTTCTAGAATCGTCTTCCTGTCTTTCCCTTGATCCATATGCCATCAATAAACAAACATCTCCTTACATTTTCACTTCTTTTATTGAGAAAATAATAATCATGTTGAATTTCAGTAGACCAATTATTCTTCTTTCCTAGATAGCCTGTCTGCGCTTTCTAGATCTGAGAACATAAACATTAATTTGAACTTTAGTCGGTGTCTTGCATATCCAACAAAGCTGATATAATCGCATGCACATTATCACACCATTCATTATTTGGAGATACAACTCGACAGGCTTTATAATTACTTTACCTGCATACTTACTTTAAAGGAAACGACCTTTCATCATCAGCTCATCCTCGGTAGGACGTGTACTGCAACTATCAGGCTGCCCATACGGTTACTGACGTTCACAAATTCAATTAATGGGCTTATTTTCTGTGTGATACAGCGTCTCCTCGCCAGATAAATTTACGCCTGAAAGTGCCGTCAGGTTGATTAATAATGCAACCCCATTCGCCCACCATCTGCATTGACAGATACACGTGTAAGGGGGAGGTGCTATGTTGCTATGGCAAATGTGAAGCCACATCAGACCTTTCAAATACGTACCTGATAACACAGTGCTGTACTGTAGTGCTATGCTTATACTGTAGTACAAAAGCAACAGCCGGAGATGTAAAAGATTAAAAAAACATATGCACTTCTGCGTCCGCGACATGTGTTTCAAAAATAAAAATAAATTGATAAAAAGTTAATTTACCAGTTAAATATTGTTCATTTCTAGTGACAGTGCCATTAGAAAGCTGGGCCCAGAAAGGATAAAGAGCAGCCGCGCTCTAGATTAAATCAAAATGGTTATTGCTGACCCTTTTATTGCAAACTTGTAACCGTTTGAAAGTCTTTTCGGAAGTACAGCCACGCGTTTACTCAACTTTAAAAAAACTTATTTGGTGTTTTCTGACCAATGAAAATGTTTCGACTTGTTTACCGTCTGACGCGGCAGAGCGCGAGGGTAAATATTCAAATCTGATTGGACGCGGTCCTGACACTGAGAGGCGTGGCTCTGTCTGGCAAGGGCCTTTCGTTTTTGAACTCCTTCAACCGGATTGGCCACTGGACTTGGCCACTTACAGTTAGTCGCCCTTGAACGTTTGCCGAATCAGGACAAAGTTGTCCGAACTAATGGCGGAACGTGCCGATGACTGAACTCTAACCGTCACAGCCAACTTTATTGTGCAGATGGGGATGAAGGCGTGGAAAAGAGAAACTTGATTTAAATAGATATAGAAAAGCGTAAAAACAAGAAACACCCTCGATTTCAGTTTTAGGTGAGTAAGTTGGTTGTCTGCCGATCTTCAGTTCGGGTTTTCTGAAGTTATTCCTGCTGTCGCCAGTAATGTTGTGTTGGAACAGTATTGATTGGTTGTGCATTCATGCTAGTTTCAACATGTACAGACTTTCTTACTGCTGTTATTTTAAGTTCGTATTACTGGCCGATAACTATCAGGCGGTGAAGGTAGATCGACTATTAATTTCTTATTGACTCTGTGTTGAAAATAAGATCACTGCTGCTCATCTGTAGCGAGGGAGTACCGTATTGGATACAAACACCAGAGGATTTTTTTCCCCTCGTCGAGAATAGTTAATAATATTAGCTAAACAATCTGAATTTTGTATTTGCTTTGATCCATGCCTTAGCAGCAAAAACAGAGATATTAAAAAATAACATGTTTCGATTATAGAAAAAAGTTTAAAATCAGCACATGGTAGAGAGTTTACCAGTTGGTCTATGTTTCGTCTGTAATGTTGCGTTTAGAGCTGGGTGGTTTTGTTGACAGCAATATGCACATTAAATGTACCTACTCTTGCGAAAAGAAGTATATGCAGTTTCAAGACTGTATGTATAAAACAATATATTTGATTTTGTTGTACAGCTTTGGTGTTCTGGTTAATGAAACGAACAGATCATCTGTTTCGGAACTGTCCGACTCGTTATTTTTGTATAGTTCATGACAGCCGTAAACATATTTTACTGTTTTACTGTCGTGCACCGTCAGATTTGAATGTTCTATTGAAATGCTATTAAACATGCCTAATTTGCGTAATGATCGTCGTAGGCGATAGGAAAACTTTAAAAAGTTTAAAAATGTACTCCATGCAAAAGTTAGGGGAATGGGGGATGTTTAACAAGCTTTTCGGAATTGAATTTATTTGCAACTTAAAAATCGTGTGGGAATTTGAAGAAATTGTGCATTCACGCACAAAGCAAACAACCCCAAAGATACCCGAGGTACTGAGCAGCTCAGAAATAGCTTTAGATAAGATAGAATTAGAGCTTTTTTTCGTTTTTCACTTGCACTGACTCGTGAATGTTAACAGATTAATCGAAAAGTTGTTGGGATGTTAGGCAAACGTCAAAAATAATCGGATCTGTCTTTCACGACAAGGCAATGCGATTGCTTTTCAAACCAGAAAAGAACTATTCCTTTGAGTACAGCCGTCGAAGATGAATGTTTCTATGCATTTACTTTAGGGCACATTCGTCCCCCCATATCGGTAATAAAAGAGAGGAAAAGGCCTACCGTGGACTTTTCATCTGGTGGTGGAGGTTATGGCAATAGAGTATTGTCTTCAGCCATGAGCAAAGATTAATCGGGTCACCTAACCTCATAAATATGCACAAAGAGTGGTTTTCACTCTTGTTGATTTATCTTTCAAATTTATTAGATGCATTTAGTCAACACTTCAAATTGATAATGGTTATGGACCTGCTAGTAGTACAGGGTTATGTTTTGGTGATATAGATTAATTTGAGGGTATGGCAGACTGTTAGATGTTGCTTTACCTGACAACCATTGGCTAGTCTTCCAGTAAATACTCAGGAGGAATTGCTCAAAATGTGTACAAAGAAGGAATGTCATCATGTTTAAGACTAGATTCTAGAGTCGAGTACAGACTTACTGTATGTACAAGTGATATTAGCACTGCTTGCTTCATTTGAACTAACTTAACTTTTAACTTTTTTTCCCCTCCAAACAGTACTGTAAGCTGCAGAAGTAACACACTAACTTGTACCAGGTTAGTAAAGCTTACTGTGTCCTGCCCTTTGTCTTGCTGGGCCGTAAGTGACGTAGTTTTTATTGGCTTGTAGCAGCATGTGCTTGTCTTGCTTGGGAGAGATTCTGTAGATTTTAAGGATTAAGCATGCTTTTCTGTTTTGCCAAAATGAAAGTACAAACACAATAAATTGCATTTATCACCGTGGTAAGTTCAAGAAATCTGATTCAGAACCTTTATTTTTGATGGAAATCTCCCAATAATGTTTTTTCTCCAAAATTTCCCAAAAGCTGTTTGCCATTGCTTGTAATTAGCCTTACAAGATAGTTCATCATTGTGAAATTTCCTGTTCAGCTAGTCCTGTCTATACCTGTCAACACTCCATATAATTATTTCATTGTTGCGAATGTCAAGTACTTTATTAAAGTGCCAAAATACAAAAATGAATAATCATTTAAACATTTTTTAAAGAATGGTAATGTCATTTTCATTTTCCTTCAAATACATAACATGTTCAGTCCAACAGCACTGAAAACTTCTCTTCTCTAATTCAGTAAGCAGTGCATATTATGGCACAAGGAATGACTTAATCCTACTCTGTATAAAATGTTAAAATGACTACTAAATCCAGTTCTTACATAAACTATTTTAGAAGCATTCTTCTTCAAGCATTTGACATCTTCTCAATCACAGTGGCAGTGGACTAAATGCAGTTTGCCACCAAAATCAACCTATACCTTCTCCTCTGATGTTACTGCAAGCAGTCACTCTTGTTCTGCTCTGCTATGGTGTTTTTCATGTGTGGACCCCAGCTATAGAGGTGAGCCTAGGCCCTATATTAGTCTCCCCCCCCGGATATATATTTTTCTCAAATGAACTCTCACTTCATCTACTTTCAAGAATGAATAGAACCCCTTTGAGACTGGGTTGATTTAATTAACCATTAATTTGTGAACCACCGTTCTAAACTGCTTGGTCATATCAGTAGTCTTTCGGTTCTGTCGGAGAATAGACCTTGGGGATAGTTTTTGGAAAATGTAATATTCTGAACATCAAAATTAATTTCTCATTCTATTGACTCACATATGTTTCTAGGAAAATAAAATACAGAGATTTTGACTGTTGACGTTCTTTTGATTAATTGACCATTCGTGACTGACAGCGAATCATTTGAGTGACTGTTCCGTAAGCATGAAATTCTCAGCTGTGAGAGAGTTGACAGCGTTTTGTGTGAGTTCACTGTGCAGTTTTAATGACCTGCTGAATGTCAAGCCTGGAGGGAAAAAAAAGAAAGGGACCACTATTCCCCTCATCAATAGAACATTACCTTTGTACCATGAACATTGTACCATCTGTATGATGGAAGTGAACTCATGAGTGGTGAAGCCAGTATTTAAAGGGTATCAAGTAGAGCACCCTGATGGATTTACGCAAGTATATGACTATATTAATCGTCAGAGTGTCTTGTTAAGACAGACACTCTGCATTAGTTGATGGCAGCCTTACTGTATGGTACTACATGACAATATTCCAGCAGGGCAATGCGCTTCCACATGCTGCAACAATATAATGGGAATGTGAAATCTGTCCAGTGGATACCTTAGTCTCCAGCCTTGAGCCCCACTGCACACTCATGGAGTGAGCTGGGATGACTTGTGATATCTAGGCTTAAGAGACCAGTGAAGGCACAGGCTGTCCAGGCTTTATGGGAGGAATAAGTACAGTATCTTACAAGACAAGACATCATCACCTGGCATAATGCATGTTTTGAAGAATTGCAGCTTGAGGTGGTGGCCATACTGCTGCCAGCTTGTGACGATTGTCAGTCAGACATGTTGATGATTAATATTAGCACAATGAATGTACTCTGCCCTCATCATGTCTGTTTAATAAAATGTCAGTGCATCAGCTGTAAAATTGATTCTAAGAATTTGAATTTTGAGTTTGCTGCAATTAAGAGTGATGTTTCTTTTGATGATCAGCATACATCTGAAATACCAGTATAATTAAAGAAGAAAAGATGTTGCACGCTGTGTATGGCTTCTCTGACTCATCCTCTTGTGATTTGGGAGAAGAAGCTTAACAATTAATATTAGTCCTTAAGTTGTCAGGTGCTTATTAGACAATTTTGCTCTTCAAAACCACTGCCAAAGTTAGACTTATTTTCGTGATCAGGTTATGGTCTGTATTGCTTCATTTATACTTTTAATGCAATAAATAGTTAAATCAAGATCCATATCGCTTTCTTGAGTTGAAAGGAGTCCTCTGCTTGTCTGGTACCCTTGTGGCAAATTTTCATTTAAGATGAAAAGCTTATGTTCCAGGTGTGCAAAAGAAAAATGTTAGTTTTAATAGTTATAAAGGGTTCTGTTACTAGTAGGGTTTGCTTTATTTTTTGTGAGTTGAGAATTAGTATAATGTTTAAGATATGCCTCTTTCTCATTTGTGTATCACACCACAGGTTATTGTTTAAGCTGATTAGTTGTAGCTTAGAAAAGTGATGACCAAGTGGGATTTGAAGCCTCGATAATAATCTTGTTAAATATAATCACACAGGGTGTTATTCACAGCTGCTAGGATTGAGTCTGTTTGCTTACCTTGACACTGTTTAATTTAGCTTTCTACGGTGACAGTTCAAGGACCCCAGCCTACCATTATTAAACTTTTCTGGAAAAATGTACACCTTTAAAATAAGAACAATATTCTATTTCTATGACTTTAAGAAATACAAGAGTCATTCAAAAACAATGCTCCTGACAATTGCAGTTAAATTTATTTCTTCACCAGTACTGACTCCTTGCTGTAGCTGGTGGAATTTTGAAATTGTACCCTCATCCCGAGGATGTAAGTGCACACAGGATGTAAGGAGAAGGCATACAGCTTTTTTGCTGCCTCACAGCTCTGGAGCCCTGTGTTTAATCCTAGACCTGGGGTGCTACTGTATCTGCGTGGTGTTTGTGTGCTGTCCTGATATTTGTGTGGGTTTCCTCCAAGTGCTGCTGTCAACTGTCACAGTCCAAAAAGACACTGGTAGATTAATAGTTCTGGGGAAATTGGCCCCGGTGTCTCTCTGTGTCTCTCTGTGTCTCTCTGTGTCTCTCTGTGTCTCTCTGTGTCTCTCTGTGTCTCTCTGTGTCTCTCTGTGTGTCCTGTGATGGACTGGCATCCTGTCCTGGGTGTATCTTGCCTTCCACCCCTTGCTTGCTGCGATAGGATCCTGCTCCCTTGTGACCCTGAATTTGATGAAGCAGTCAGACAATGAAAGGATGCTTCATTGTTGACTGCTTCACCAAGATGAGGCACACTTGTTCAACAGTGTATTGCCTCTGCTTTGATGTTAGTGCCAATGAGTGGAGTGTAATGGTAACTGGGGGGAAAATATGTATATATATATATGAATATTTTCAGGTATTTTTGTGACTTTAATTGTACACTTGTAATAATTTGTCAGAAAAAAAGCATATTACTTTTGGGGTGACCCTTATCATATTTTTGTTACACCAAAAACAAAACAATCGGTAAAAGGTATACATTATGTAAATACCGTATGAACAATTCTTCTTAAAACTGGCTAATAGTAAGCCTCTTTGAAAAGAAGACCTTGCATAGAAAAGATCAGCTTCCTGTGAATATAAGGTCCTTATTAAAGTTTCGGTTTTAAGTGGGACATTTCCATTAAGTGCCACAACCTAACTATATAAGAATGTTCATCTGTGAATCTGTATACAGATAAAAAAAAAACCTGAGTAAATTTAGGTTTCACAAGCTACATTTCTGTGTGCCATAATCTGTTTGAAAAACATGAAGTTTGATAAGTTGGGGTCCTAACTATTGTTTTGTTTAAATTTACATATAGGTTTAACCTCTCCCTTCAAACACAATTAATTGAAATCCTTCAATGCTATCTCTACCATACTCTCATTCTGTTTTCATTCAGCTTGCAGTGATGTTATGTGCACATTTTTCTGTATCACTCTTGGTCTTAAGTGGGTTTTGTATTTTAAGAGAAATGCAACAGAATTATTTCCTGAGATATGTGTGAAGTACACAGTAGAGTGTTAAGGATTAAAATACAGTGTCCAGCCTGTATACACCTTATGCATTAGTCAAGTCAGTGATGCTTTTAAAAGTAAATCATAAATTGTCTTGTGCAGCACAAACTATTTGTAGTCATCATCTCATTAGTTAACTTAAAGTTTTAATTGTGGACTTCAAAAATGAGTTATTATCAGTGAAGAGAGCTTTATTCTAAGAACTTAAACTTAATTCTAAACAATTGTATCCAGTGCTGTTGGTATTCATCATAGATTAAAGATTAATGGTACCGTTTTTTTACTTCTTTTGCCTTCTTGTTCATCTTTGCCCTCGTTTAGTGTTACTGCTTCTGTGGTCTGCGGCATCTTGTCGGTTCACTAGTCTGCCACATAAAATCATCTGCTTCTAATTATGCAAAGATGAATGTTTTGTTGATGTTAAGGCTAACATCAAGCTGTATACAATTGTTGCATGACCAATTGGGATCATATGGTGTGTAGCTCGAGATGCTGCTTGAGAATATTTTATTAAGTGTTCCCACGTCTCTGTTGGCAGTTGTCAACATAAGCAAAAACTAAAGCAGAAAAGAGTTTATCTATGACACCTCTGTCCCAACTGGTGCGCATTCTGGCATTCTAGCTTGCTAAAATCCCCATGGTTACTGTGAGCTACTTGCTCCTCTCTCATGGTGATTGACACCTTGATCTCGCAGTCGGCCTGCTTTGCTTTTGCACATTAGCTGGGTGTTGCTATGGTGCTTCATGTTGAAAATGAGGCTTCAAACACAGCATCTTGTGTTCCCTTTGCAGAGAGCAGCTGAACGGGACTGAGAGATCCACTTGTGCAAGGACTTTGGACATCTTATTTTTGTTACAGCGGCAATGTCCGACATCCTTGATTCTTTAGATCCTAAAAGCAGTGGCAATGACAGAGGAGCATAAGCTTTTCCAGTGCCAGCTGCTTTTATAGCCTGGTTCACAAAGGTAACCTGCTTGACAGAACCTGCCAATACATCCAGGGCTTGCTACCGGATTTTATTAGGACTACCGCACTTATAATGCACTTCAATGGATGCAGGTGGTATTTTGGTTAGCATGCGGGATGAAGACCATTCCTTTCATATTCGCTACAGGTAGGACTGGATATTTAATTTTTAAAATTACTTTCTGCTTTGTCCTTATGTAATTTAGCTTGGAGTAAAGTTCTTTCCACATTTGGTATTATTACTAATGAGGTGGTTAAACTCATTATTATAGCTACTATGATTTGACTTTAGTAATAGATCAAGCTATTTTTGAGTTTCTATAACCTCATATGAATATATATGGAAATAATTTCGAATTATATTGGAATTCCTGTCTAAAGACTGGAATGTGAGAATAGCACTTGTTCTTTACAATAGTTTCGATATGATAGTACTCATAATCGTTCCCCCAACAGTTCTTAAACTTATATGGAGTGTCTCCTGTTTTCTGTGTGGTTTGCATCTGCATTTTATCTAGGTATTTTAATAAATTTTCTCACTGGGACAAGGATGGTTTAATATAGCATATAGTATGCATTAAATCATTTAATGGTGTTCACCTGATGTCTGTTAATATACAACTGAATCCATTAACATTTGACTTAATATCCCTTATTTTAATTTTCTATGAGTTGTATCCTAACGTACATAAATACATAATTTTCTAATGCTGTAAAATTCATATGCAGGATAAGACAGTATTGCTAAGAATGTTATTTATATAGGCATATCAGGAGTTCTCACTTTATTAATCATATTTCTCCAGTAGCAAAAATTTGTTTTTGGATGTTCTTTGTATGTGGTGTATTGTGATATATTACTAAGGTTAAGAAGTGAAATTGATAGATGTTGTACTATAGTTAGCTCTTGGATCAATATGATGAGGAGTTCTGTCATCTCTATGATTACGTGAAGGTATATAGTACATCATTTTGCCTGACAGGATAATGGGGATGCTTTCAAAAAGCCAAGGATTTTACAAAGGCATATTAAATGGGGAACCTTTAGCGTAGCAAAGACAATAGACTTCCTGTTATTTGGATGAAATGAATCAAACCATATGTTCCTGCTTTAATGATTTTTTGTGTGTGTAGCTTTTGTTTTGTGCTGTGGTATGGGTCGCATCGTGCACCTGCTTCTCTAGAAACATAATGAGGTAATGCAATCCATGGTCTGAGCGCATGAAATGGAATAGCAAGCAAGTGTGTACCAAGTTACACCTTTGTCAATATTTAATGGCCCACTGAAACATTGATGATGAGAAACTTGCTGTATTTGTAATGTTTTGTTTCCTCTCTTTTGGTTCTAATATACAGTAACAATTTAGTTTATAAAGAACGTGTATTAATAAAAAGGAAGTGGCTATATTCTCTGGATAAATACTAATGTTCTACATTGACTTGACGTTTTCTTTAATATATTGCCAGGTCCCATTAGTATCTTTTTTTTTTCTCCAGAAACTGCATTAATATGCACTTAACAATTCTACTTTTTGAAATATTCACACGGTGGTAAAAGTAAAGTAGTGGATTTAATTGGTAACGACCTTTCTTAATGCATTATTGATAGCGCAAAGAAAAGTAAGAACTGTCTACATTTGCGTCTGTAACATTTTTACTGCTCCTTTTATTATTTTGTTCCCTTCCCTTTTGAATACAATGTGTATATATAAGCCTATAATTAAAACCCCAAGTTTTAGATAGACTTAAATCTTAAAATCATTAAAGTCTACAAGACCTAAATCTACAAAATCCTTACGGTCTGGAATTACAAAACACATATATAGTTCAGGTGGGTAGCCTCGTCAGCATGTGTAGGCTGCAAGGGAACAAGTAATAAGTTTATTCCATGCTGAAAAAAAGAAGAAAGAAAACGCAACGTTTCGGCCGTGGAGCCTTCTTCGGCCTAAACGTTGTTTTCTTTCTTCTTTTTCTCAACATGGAATAAACCTATTACTTGTTCCCTATTAATCTGTATGTTGTGTGTAACCATGTTATTTTTTGAAGTCTTCTAATTTTATTGAGCAAATGTCCTATGTGTGCTTATTGTCAATGACAGAGACAGGTGTAGCACAAAGAGAAATTGTATCCAGCAGGTCCAGTGAAGCAGAGTACTTGGCCAGTACTGCTATGTCTACTATTCACATGCATCATCAGCTTTTTCATGAGTGTAGTACCTGTCAGATTAAAACCTACGTCCTCGAGTTGTCTCTGGGTTTGGAACTGTAGTTTTTAGTGTTGTATAGAGCTCAATTGTTCCCTTTTATATTTTGACTGGTGAATGATAGAAGGAGCTAAATTTGTAAACTGGTTTCACTTAGTGCATTGGCTAGTAATCGAGGCATAATTTTGTCTTAGTTTGTACATTACAGAATGTGAATCATCTGATATGACAGTGATGTGGGTGTACTTCCTAATTGTAGTTGCATTCATTGTCTCTTAGGAGAAAGAGTGTCATGTCAGTTACAAGTAAAGCTGAATTTTGGCTTGTTTGCTTTCAAATACAACACAAAATGGAGCCTGAATATCCTACTGAACTTTTCAAAAATAAGGCATGTGTCTGACCCAGATATTAGCAAAAATCTAGTTATTAAAATTCAATTCTGAACCTGGGGTGATGTCTGCCTGGGGGTTGTGTGTTTTCCCCACATTCATGTGAGGTTTCTCTGGGTGTTCTGATTTCTTTCCATAGTAGAAAGACCTAATGGTAGGTTAATTGGCTTCTGAGAAAATTGTCCCTTATGGGAGTGTGTCTGTGTGTACTCTGCGATGGACTGGTGTCCCATCCAGGGGTGTATTCTGCTTTAAGGCCATTACTTGCTGGGATGGCCCCTGCAACAAGTATTATTACTTTCATGTTTAGGTCACAAGAGCCTGATTTCACATTGGATATGGTCATACATAATGTGGGGGAAAGGAGCAAAAGGAACTGCTCTCTCAGCACCTGATTCTTTGCAGAGGGCATTTTCAAACTACACATACTGTACTAACATTGATGATTCTGTAGAGGTAGATCTTTGAGCTCAGCTTGGATTCTGTATTGAATAGAAAAAGGTTTTCTCATTATACACAAGATCTGATGACCAGACAAAGCCATTTGCCACACATCTTAAATCTAATTCCTTTTAGCCATTATATTGATGTTATGTTCTCTAAAATATAGTAACTCTCTGTATGTTTCGTTAACATTTATATACTTCTAAAACTTTTGGGTAATTTAAATTGACTTTGTTTAAAGCAGCTGTATGCAACTCAGAGCAGTGTATTAAGTTCAAAGGCAGTTGTTACAAAGCACATTAATATTCTCTAGAGCTGCTTAGTGTGACTATAATCACTGCAGTGGTGCTCTTCTTAATCACAAGTGACAGACAACATCAGGTGCCCAAGTAATGGGGGGTGTGCTGAGATCAGATTAACTAAGATTATGCTAAACAGTTATTCCTGTGAAACCTAAAGTTACCCTGGTCTTAACATCTTTAAAGATTTTTGTGGTTAAAGCAGTAAACTGCAACTGGGAACATATAAAGTATATGAATCAATTATTTGGGTCATTATTTTAAGAGGAGCCCTACAAGTATTTGCGGGACTGGAGAATTTTCTATCCACATGAGTTATGTGTATATACACTAGAAGCCTGTATGTGTGGAATATTCCCCCTTGGAAATCTTGCCACTTACATGGGACATTTCTACATCGTGTGGCTCAGAATCAAAACTGGAAAACCATCCAAAAACTAAAGATGTCGGTTATGTCCATGTGCTTTGATTGTGTAAATCGGAAAAACAGCAGGTACCAATTTTAAGTTTTGATGTTCTGTTTTGTGTTTTTTTTTATTCCTAGTGAAGACTAAACTGATGCTATTATATGTCTTTTATTGACTTTTAACAAGATTAAAAACATGACATTTTTATTGTAGATAGTGAATGTTTAGTATGTTATAAAAAGTTATTTTTTTAATATTTTGTATTTGTTTCCTGTTATGTATGGGGAAGTAAATACTGAAAGTTATTTCAAAATTCTAATAAAATGTATTAACATTTAAATACAAAAGTAGGTGATTCACATTAAACAGTAGAGGTTTGAAATCTGCTTTATCATGTAAACTATTTTAATAAACATTTATATCTCTTACCATTGGTGCGTTCCTTTTGATTAGAACTGTCTAAAATGTATAGATAAAACTTTCACACAATCACAATGTAATTTGATATATTGTCTTGGAAGTATTCATGTGATTCAAGGTGATGGTAATGCTGTTAACACTGACAGGTGAAACGTTAAGAATAAAATGAATCCCTGTCCTAGTCAGAGAAAAAAGTTTGATAGTAAACCTAGACGTCCACCCACAATGCTTGTAGTAAAGCATCTAGATTGAGCATAAGGGAATTATTTTGAGAAGGAATCATAATTATGGGGTAAAAGTTAAATATATTTGAATAAATATTCATAGCTTCAGTATATGAAACAAAGTTGCTGACAAAAACATATTTTATATAAGGTGTTAAAGGTGTTTGTGTTTTGCACTATTAATATAATTAACTTTGTAGTTAAAAACAATATCCAGTTCCTGTTACAATTACAGGTGTGTACAATTACCTGTGTGTACACACAGGTGTGTGAATTTAGATCTGTTATTTTTATAACATTCAAAATGTTTTATGATACACAAAATTAGTAACTAGAGAGTGAATGTTTGGTAGGAGCTGTGTTCTAGAATACAGTAGCCCTCAATCTATCAGTCCATGGAGAGAGCTATGTTTCCATTTGCAAACACAGTTTTTGCAAGAAATTTCAGATGGAATCTGCTGGACCCTCAAGTGCCCAAGAACACCCTGCTTACCCAGACTCCTCCTCTTTTAGTAAAATTACTTTGCTGGTCCCTTCTGCGCTATTCATGTACATAAAGCTGGGTATTTGAAGGAAATTAGAACATTTTCACTGTGTAGCAGCATAGGATCAAAGTTATTTTTATATCCTTATTTTCAATAAAGTGAATCTAAAAGTTTTTTTTTAATGGTATACTGGATATTACATGCACACATGATAGATTTGATCAGTAGAAGTTGGTGACAGAAGCCAATTTTTTTTTATGACGTTATAACACACCTGCATAGATCCCAGGAACCTGATTGCATAGTAATATTTTTCTGAGCTACTTTTTTTTGGAGGGAGAGAGAGATTCATAATGTATTTCCCTTGCTTAAAAGCTGAAGTAGCTGGTATTCAGACGTGCTGGCCTATGATGACTTTTCATTGATTTTGTTTTTCTTTCCTCTAGAATGGAGGCCTCCTGCCTTGAGCTTGCCCTTGAGGGAGAAAGGCTTTGCAAAGTGGGTGATTACAGAGCTGGCGTTTCGTTTTTTGAGGCTGCGATCCAGGTTGGGACAGAAGACCTCCAGATACTCAGTGCTATTTACAGTCAGTTAGGGAATGCTTATTTCCACTTGCACGAGTATGGCAAAGCACTGGAATACCACCATCATGACTTGACTCTGACCAGGTACAATATAGTGATCTGCTCTTCTCCACACATTGCCTCACTGGAATGTGTCCCTAATGGTTTTTCCCTGCTTTCTACTTTTCTTCTAATGCAGTGCCAGTGTGTTGCTTTTTCTTTTGGGTGGTAACGAGAGTTAACGGTGGTATTTTTATTTGCAGAACAATTGGGGATCAGCTTGGCGAAGCTAAAGCCAGTGGCAATCTTGGCAACACCTTGAAGGTTTTAGGGCGATTTGATGAAGCAGTAGTTTGTTGTCAGAGACACTTGGACATCTCAAGGGACTTTAATGATAAGGTGAGATGTTGTTTTTGTATTTATTAAATCTTATGATTCGTTGTATTGTTTTGAATAGAATGCCCACGTAAATAATGTAAACCTTATCTTAGGGGAGCTCAAGTATATTTTTGCATATGGAATGAACCAAACCATGGATTAAACCATTATATTTTAACCATGTTTACTTTTTGTTCTCTTCGGTCATTGTGCTGTGTCAGGGTTGTCTAGTCCTGGTGCTGGAAGGATGCAGCAGAACTAGAGATAACTATTAAACTAGTCTGTGTTTAATAGTTGCACCCCTGTGCTGTCAATACTAGACAGTAGACTTGAAGGGCTGCGCCTTCGCCTTAGTCTGCTTATTGAAAACCTAGACAGGAATTTTGCTTAACGAGAAAGACCTCAGATGTAAGACCTGAAGACTCCATCGATGAAAGAACACGGATTTGGAAACAAGAAAAAGCCAATGTGTTCTCAGAAGCAGATGTACCGGCTTTCTTTCCTCATGTGTCTTATTTACCAAATAGTGGGACTCGGATATTTGTCACAAGTTCTTGAAATTCTGTGACAGGTTGGGGAAGCCAGAGCGCTTTATAATTTCGGCAACGTTTACCACGCCAAGGGGAAAAGCATCTGCTGGAGTGGGGCAGATCCAGGCGAGTTTCCAGAAGAAGCTATGGCTGCTCTTCATAAAGCAGCGGACTATTATGAGTGAGTGATCGAGGGAGGAGTGCATACATTGATAAACTACTTTTTTTTTTAATCAAGTTAATTTAATTAGAGACATTTTGATTATTTCTTTTGTGTTATTATACAACTGTAGTGTGCTTTAACTATGATGTGAATAATCTACATTTTAACCTCTTGATGTAGTGCTGCGATTATATCTTATTCACGATTTCTCAAGCCTATTTGGTGCATTCACGTGATGAAACATTTAAGAAGAAATCAACAGTGGTTCCTTGCACAAAAATGTATAATTTTTGTTTTGACTTTTATTTTTTTTTAAGAGCAAACTTATCGATTGTTAAGGAGTTAGGGGACAGGGCAGCTCAAGGCCGCACCTATGGAAACCTGGGTAACACACATTACCTTCTTGGACAATTCAGGAATGCTGTGAAATCCCATGAACAGGTATGGAGTATTGGGAAAAACTCTGAGACATTGCTTATTCGATATATATTTGTTATAATTGCAGTATAATAATACAGTACATATTAACACTGTTAATTTGATGGCTAAACAACAGTTAAAGGGATAAAAGTTTACTGAAGCTGTGTATATTCACTACCAAACAGGTTTTTATTTCTCTAAGTGGAAGTAAAGTGATAGTAATACTGATCATCTTGACCAGAATTGTTATATTTATAATCGCAAGCAACATTTTATTAAATAAGTGTTATCATACTGTAATCTAATTAGACACATTAAAATAATGGTTTACATGTGAATTATTGATTATCTCGGTCTGACAGCTGAGGTTTGGTTAGTTTTAGTTGCATACAGCAGCTAGAGTTGTATTAAAACTGATGGGAATTTTTGCTTAGTTTAAACGCTTTCCACATTTTTCCTCATTTTCCTTTTTTGTAGCGACTTCTGATCGCCAAGGAGTTTGGTGACAAAGCAGCCGAAAGAAGGGCTTATTGTAACCTGGGAAATGCGTATATTTTTCTTGGGGAATTTTCACTTGCAGCTGAACATTACAAGTAAGTAACTTGGATCCCCGTCTTTTCAGATGTTTTTCTGTCTGAAGTTAGTATGTACAGAATTAGGAAAGCTACTCCATGTTAATTCTTATAACTGATTATTAATAATGTAGACAAATTGTTTTACTTTGCTTGGTAGTAGAGCTGGGCGATAATTCGATAACGATAATTATCGCGATATAATTTTCCTCGATATAATTTTAACAAAAGTTCGATAAATGTTCGATATATGTTTATGCTTCGCCATAATATGCGCATGCGTACAAAATACTGCGCGAGTGTGTGTGCGTGTTGCAGACCGGGCAGCTAACAGATTTGTTTAATGTTTCTGCTGTTTGGCAAGTGTTTGTTGTGTTCTTAAAATAAAAAGTTGTTTAATTTACCAATTAACTGTCTGGTTTCTCTTCAACTTTCACTCAGGAGAAAAAACTCTGCCTTTAAACTTGAAAGAAATAATGATTTGACATTTATCGTGATAATTATCGATATCGACTGATATGAAAATATTTATCGTGATAATGTTTTTGGCCATATCGCCCAGCCCTACTTGGTAGATAATAGTAGTTACAAAAGCTGTTAGCAGGGCACTTGTAAAGCTAGGATGGTGCTTATTATCTTTGTCGCTCTCATCATTTATTTGCTCTCATCATTACTTGTAGGAGAACACTACAACTGGCTCGACAGCTGAAGGACAGGGCTGTTGAAGCCCAGGCGTGTTACAGTCTCGGAAACACTTACACCCTGCTGCAGGACTACGAGAGGGCAATAGACTACCACCTTAAACACCTCATTATTGCCCAAGATTTGAATGACAGGTCCGTGTGCATCTGTGTTAGATTATCAGTGCTTGGATTACTCATAGCGTGCATCCGGTTTTACTTTAACTGGCGACTGACAATGAAATACTGAGAAGCAGGCTTGTTTCTTTCATGTTAACGTATTTTTCATTTTCCGAATTTGTATTTTTCAAATGTTCCCAGCCTAAAAATAAGATAACACTAGAAAATCTAAATCCCATTTAATCTTTGTCTTATAAATTGAAATATTAGACAAGTTAAATGAGAGCTACTTCATTTCTTGTCAAATTGTCGGGGCCTCATAAGAAGATTCTTGCTTGGCAAATTGCTTTTACAGTACCTACGTTTCCTACTCCATACTGATAAATATTTGATACTGACGAACCTCTGAAAGCCTAATGCACTGTTTTTTAATATGTCAAACATAAGTTATTTTGAAATTTTCTGCTTATGTTTCAATGTTTTCAATTTGGTATTTTAATGGAACCATTCATGATGTGCATTTTCATTGTGTCTTCCTTCACTGCAGAATTGGGGAGGGGCGGGCATGCTGGAGTTTAGGAAATGCCTACACTGCACTGGGGAATCATGATCAAGCTATGCACTTTGCAGAAAAACATCTGGAAATCTCAAAAGAGGTAGGTTGATGTACTTTATTTGATGGTGTTTATGTTCTATACTTTCAGTTCTAGGGACACCAGCGTGGCTTGATCGGTAAATATGCTTCTCCTAGGGCAGGTTGAATTTTATAATCCACATATTGAAAGTTTAAGCCTTGCTAGAAAACTGTGAATAGGACTCTAAATATCAGTGTACAAGCGGCTGAGATTAATTGTTGTGGCCATCTCAGCTTTGAGATCTACAGTACTTTGACATTTGTGAACTTCCAGAAGGTTGTAGGCTTGCTGTGCTGTTGATGAGGTTTCTCCACTTATCTGTGATGCACGTCTTGTTCTGGGCAGTGTAACCTCATTCTTGCTCGTGTTTGAGGAACACTCAGGAGAGGTGTGAAATTCAATGAAATTCTGCATTCGATGGATTTCTAACAAGAAAAGGAAAAATTAAAAACCTAACCTGTTAGCACCCTTCTTCTGGCCTTTGAGATGTGAAATCTAAAAAGATTTCAAGGAAGGCTCTTGTTTTTTAAATGTTTTAAAAGATTTCCCCAAACCATATTTGGACATTTATTTTCATTAACTTTTTTTCTTCTCTCTGTACAGACTGGCGACAGAAGTGGTGAGCTCACAGCCAGAATGAACGTCTCTGATCTCCAGATGGTCCTGGGTTTGAGTTACAGCACAAATAATTCAGTTCTATCGGAAAACCACGAGATTGATTACAACTTGCATGGTAAATCCCAGCCCACACGTTCTGATTTGTGTATTGTAGTATTTGCAGTATTTGTATGAAAGATATTTGTTTTAACTTTGTAAATTTTTAAAAAGCTAAAGCCTTTTCTTTACAGAGACTCAAATATGAACGTTCTCTTTTGCAGGAGCACGGCCAAGGGTGGGCAGGCGTCACAGTATGGAGAACATGGAGCTGATGAAACTCACACCTGATAAAGTCAAGGTACAGACTTTTTTTTCTGTGGCCTATTCAGATACTTAACAGGACACTAGTTTCACTTTCTAAAATCAAAATAACATTTTTGTGAGATTTAAAGTGCATGTATTTTTTTTTTGCAATGTAAATTAAAATGGAGCTTCTTTCATTTCTCAAAGGGTCAAAACTGGAACAGTGAAATGCTTACAAAACAGCAGAAACCACTCCTGGCAAAGTCCAAGCTTTTCTTTCTGAAAGGCAAGAAGCACAAAAATAACGGCTCCTCTACTAAAGTTCTACAGGATACCAGTAACACACTCGAGAGCGCTGATGTCCAGGAGCAGGCTTCTCAAAAGGCAAGCACTGATACCTTTTAGCATTCATTTTGTATTATGTATAATTCTGCATAATGTACTGAAAGGGCAGTCTAATCAAATACCAACTCCTTATTCAGAAATTGATTAGATTTTGAATCTCAGACTATTCTTGTCAGTTTTTTTTAATTAAACTATACCTAAAACATATTATTCTATTTTGTCTATACTAGAAACTGTAACATAACGTATATACTTAAATGTGTAATAAACAACTTAAATATTAATTGTGAATTGTAACCTTTTACAGTTTCCACCTGATCATAACACCTGATTTTTCATTGTAATCTAATGTAGAATAATATATATTAGTGTGCAAGAGCTATGCTAGCTGTCACTATAGTGCAGGGGCCAGCTAAACTTTGTATTAAATGCTGGTGGTTTAGCATACAACAGAAAAACAGAACTCGTGTTTATTATAGATTTAAAGGGAAGCTGTCTGTTCCTTTCAGTTCTATTTCAGATTTAAATGTAGACAGGGTTATGGGTGTTGCTTTCTTGCTTAAGCACCTCTCTATAAAAGCACTTTCGGAGTTGCACGTACCACAGAGCGTGTTCTTCAGTGGTGATTCCCTTGGTTCAGTTTATATGTGATTGCATAATTAATCTGACATGCTCTTCATCATTCCTGATTAATGGAAGGTTCAGTAATTTAACACAAGACCAATCATTCACTAGATAGGGTTGAAACAATCTTAGTTTCAGGAAAGCCTGTATATGGAGGCATGGAACATGGAGGTAACCTTGTAGGATTTTTTCCTTATAACCTATATATGAATTTGTTTGGGGTTTAATATATGAATATATGAGTATTTGTTTCTCGGAAATTCTTAAACTTAAACCATAAAGCAGAATGTAAAGTGTAGTAACAAGCTGTACTCTCATAGGATAATTGGATACTTTGTCTCTAAAAGTGACCACTTTATTTCAAATTGTTTTAATATGTTTTATAACCTAGTTGAACTGAGAATGTCTTATTGATTTAACTTTTCTAGCTTCTCAAATCGCTTATTTTTAGTATTTAAACTATTAGTTTTATGTAAGCTGAGCTAGTGTTTTATCCTGATTTGTGACTGTATGGGCTAATTTGCTAGTCAGCAAGTGTGTCTGTCTGCTGCCGAACGACTATCAAAGATCAGGCAACATCCTAGTACAAATAATGTAAAATGCACAGATATGCCAAATAGTGTCTAATATTTTGACTCAATCATTTTGCTCTTTTGTTTAGCTCAAACAAAATACATCTGAATTGTTTCATCATTAATTGTGCCTCCAACCTTGTAGGTCCATGTATTAAAATTCAGTGCTCCAGCATTTTTTTTTTATTAGCAGTTAAGTGTCTTGAGTCTGCAGACACGTTTCTAAAATGGGCATTAAGAAACTGATTTAATCTACTTACTTCCTTGACAGATTTACAGTATCATAAGCTATGCATCTAAACACCGTGATGACAGTTTATTAGGTCATAGAGATATTTGCTGAACAGTTTAACAGTGCTACCTCATGTTTGCATACTGTATGTGTTACAGAGAGTTAGTCCTGACATGCTTGGAGACGAGGGATTCTTTGACCTGCTCAGTCGATTCCAGAGCAACCGAATGGATGACCAGAGGTGTTCTATAGAGGACAGCAAGAGCAGACTGTCGGTGCCATCAGCGACCTCCTCCACCCCCCCCAGAGCAATGAAGAAATGTAAGTTTACTGTAATAGCCTCTCTGTTAAAAGGCTTTTGTATTTGTGTTACTGTTTAAAGGACAAAACTCTTGTATTTGAAATATATTCTTGGAAATTGGGGTATCATCAGAATATCGGGAAATGACTTGGCAAATAAATCAACAAGTAAAATAAATAATCATAACCTCCACAAATTGTAAAGATTTTTGCCAAAGGCAAGAATATACCCGAGCGGTTGGTATCTTTATCTTTGGCACTGCCGTGGTGAAAAGTAATAATTCAACCACACTGACTTTATTGCCAGTGACAATACATACACTAAAAAAACAAACAAAGTTTCAAATGAGGCATCCCAGAGGCCTTATGTCCTAACCACTGAGAAAAACCCCAGATAGCTACCAAGTGTTTGACTCTTGAATAATGCCTACAAAGGCCAAAGGAAGAGATAAGCTGCCTTCTGAACTTAATGGAAAACAACCTGTGGTTTAATCTCTCCCTTTCTGTAAACTCGGATACTACCAAATGAATGGGAACCTATCTCTATTCTTAAAATTCACACTCTAAACAGGAGAGGTAGTTTTTAATGGAGTGATTCTTTAAACAGGAAATCAAGAGTTCCCTAAAAACCACAGAATATCAAACTCCAATCTGATCTTTCAGGGTGATCTAGAACAAGGAGCTCCTGCCCTCTATCTCTTGCCTTTCTTTACCCTCTCTCCCTCCTCCACTTTTCTGTACCTGCTTGTTGGTTATCTGCGATCTTCCTGGACTGTTGATCAATAATTAATTATTTTCCCAGAACTTAATTAACTAAGGTAAACCTTATGATTGCTTTGATCACTAAATCTGGAACCACTGCATTTTAGCAAACATCCCTGTGCATTGAAGCTGGAAATGTTGACACTAGCCAGGTGTTCCCCATTGTACCTTAGACTTAGAATTTTTCTTAAAGCAGTTGTGAAAACACACTTTATGACCTGTAGCTGAGGTATAGAATACAGAATAAAATGTTAAGTTTAAAAAAAAAAACTTTCTTCTAAATGCAAAACGTTTACATTTTTGTTTCCCCAGCACATTCAGTGTCAGTTGTCTCACCTCACACTGATCAGTTCCTAGACCTGCTGGCAAGCTCTCAGAGCAGGCGGTTAGATGACCAGCGAGCAAGTGTTGGCAACTTCCCTGGCCTTCGAATCAACCAGCAAAACAGCCAGTCTGTACTCAGCCATCTAATGGCTAATGCAGACAACAAAGAGCCGGATGAAGATTTTTTTGACATGCTAGTCAAGTGCCAGGTAGGAGTTCTTTGAATTTGGTAAGAACTCCTGGGGCATTAATGGAGATTTAACTACAAAACAGTGATGCCTAAGGACATATTATCAAGACTTTTATGTTTATTTGGTTTCATTCAATCGTCTGCCTTATTGTACTATACTGTTATGATAAGAGCCTGTCGTTTAAACGGATAGCGATAATAAACGTTTTAGATAAATGCACACGTGGACTTGATGAACCTGATAACCTCTCATTTGTATTCGCTCTTTTTAGAACAGCAGTATTTGTTCTCTAAGCATTCTCTAAGCATTATTTCTACATATTAGAGATTATTATTATAGATCTAGCAGTAGCTCAAATGCTCTGGAGTTTGTTTGCAAAACGAGCACAGAATTCCTGCAGGTCTATAAAAGGAACATGGCTGGTAATGGTTCATGTTAAAGAATCATAAAAAAGAATATTCTTTATAACCTCAGATACCTTGGTTTAGAAGTCGTGATCGCCAAGCTTAAGGGCACATATTGCACGTGACAAAAGCCGTTCATATTTTTTCCTTCCACAGGGCTCAAGACTGGATGATCAAAGGTGTGCCCCACCTCCTCCAGCAGCCAAGGGTCCAACAGTCCCGGATGAAGACTTTTTCAGTCTGATCATGAGATCACAGGCGAAACGTATGGACGAGCAACGGGTGACCTTACCATCTAGCACAAAGCGACCCAGTTCCAACTAAGACAGCGTGTCGCAAAAGCTCATAAGTGAATTTTGTATGCACTTCATGCGATGGAAAATACAGTAAACGAACAGTTTAATCACAGGTAGGGAATGTTTACTTATTCTTCAGGGAATCTATGCACTGCCTCGCATCAGAAGAGGAACAGCATAAATGCCTACTGAATGTTACTGCAGCAAAAACAAGACTGTATCTTTTGTAAAATTTATGGACATTTGAAAACTTTAATACTGCACAGAACAGCATTTTTGTTTCCAGAATGTTTGTCTAGAACGCAGACTGCATAAACTGCAAACTTTATAAACCACACCAGTCTCTTGCTAACTGCCATTTAGTTCAATTTTTGCTTTGTGCTGTGTAAATACCCCTAGATGTAAATTGCCTTTTTTTGGGGGGGAGGGGGGTGGAATGAGGGAGGGCAGGCAATGTAAAATTAAAAAATAGACCACCTGGTACTCTTTTATACCTATTGAATTTTAATTATTTGAGGAATAAACCTCATTTTTCAGCACTATGTAATTTTGGTGTAGTAATTTTAAATGTTTTTAATCTTGCCTATATTTAATTTCCTTTTGGACTTCTTGTCTTTTGAGGACAAAGATTAGAAATAAGAGGCCTTTTGGCCCATGTAACTAATTTTGGTATGCTAGGGTATTGGCATTGTCCCCCATGTAATCATCTACAGTTATGTTCAAGATTTAACAGATTTAGTTCTATTAAACTGTCAGTAGGACACTCCTTTAAGCTCAGGAATACACCTAGTCCCTCTGGGTCTCTGGATTGCTTTTAGAGCAGGAATATGTATATTGTAACATGGTGACCAAAATTGTGGCCAGTAATTTTAAATGGTCATATTAGTGCACAGTAAAGCTCTAACATAACATTAAAAAATGTACATTTTCACAATTTGTAAGATGTATGGAGAACTTATGTTGTTTTATTTGATGTTTCCCTGCATTTTTTAGAAGATGAAAATGTCAACATAAACAACCATCTTTTTATAAGTCACTTCTTCTAGCTTGATTTTTTTTCCTCATTTTACTTTTTTTATTGCCTGCATGTAGACCGTACCTGCATTGTGTCATCTGCCAGGTGTTTGCATTTGGTTTAAATGTTGTCAGTCCTTCTGAATTTTCTTCACCTTGGTGCATTTGCTGATCCTTCTATTGGGGTAAGATCTACAAATGTGAAGTACTATAATTACAAACTATAGCAGAATTTAATTATAAATTAAAAGCAGGGATGGTCTTCAGCTTCTAATAGAGCTAGTAGTTACTGTCTGTTAAATCAATTTGAGCAGTCGCTCTATTGCTTTGTATTAGATCTTTATCTAATTCTATGCATTTCTTTGAATACCTACCATGTGTAATTTCAGTATTTCTCATAACAGATTAACTTCATCAAAAGCCTTCTGAAAATTATACCAAGCCACCTAATTTTTCTGTCTCTTTCTGTTCTTGTTCTTATAAGTTACAAGTATTGCCATACAGATGATCCTCCAGTTTAGTTCTAATTACAGTTTCCATAACCTTAGATGGAGTAGCTTTCATTTATTCCATATAATTTAAAATCTTTTTCAACCATTGGTCTAGAAGTGTACATTTTGAGGGCAAACTTGGCTGGTTTTGCCTAGTTTAGAAGCTGCCAGATTTTCTGTTTGTGACGGTGTGGTAGCATACACAGATCCTTCATGTTTTGCACCAAGAGCCAGAGCAAATTATAGCACTGCTAAAAGGAGGTTGTAAATCCCTTCCCCATGCTTAAATCGATTAAAACACTCTTCCCATTGCAAAAAGGGCAAGAGCCATAGTCTAAGGTTCATGAGCCTTGAAATGGGGAGAGGGAACTACACTGTGGTGAAAGTAAGGTACAGTATGATATTGTAGATCTGGATTGTTAAAGTGCCTTTACACAGGCTTTTTGAAACATGACTATTACAGAATGAACAAAGTAGTAAATGAATATCCACACAGCCATCAAATGTACCTTTGTATTTGTAAAGATTTCAGTGCCTCTAGTTTTTACATTTTATTATGCTAGTATTGCAATTAAACTGCTGGCTTTGACGTGGGCTTTTTGTTAAAAAATAAGATAATACCATGTTAAGATTTGCAAGTGGAACCAGCCTTAAGACAGATGGTCTGGCTAAGGTGCATCTCTAAGTGGCCAATGGAACTTGGTGTAAGATTGCTGAGGAAACAGGCAATACTAATGACACCAAATATGAAGGTATAAAACGTTTCCTTTATATACATTTGTGAAATGTACCAATATATAATCTGTACAAACAGTATCAAATTAAATTATGTATATTATTATATGAAAGGCTGTGTTTCTGGTACGGGTGACTTTGTGAATCCATCATCTTGAATACCGTCGGGTGGATATTTTGAAACCTGCAAAAAAGAAAACGGAGATCCTCCAGTAAAAAGTTGTAAGGGTACACCTCCAATTAAAATACAAATTTGATAAAATTCTAGACTTCTTTCCTGCAAAATATTTGAGTCTTGTCACTAGTCTGATGGCTTAAACTGGGCTAAAAACAGGACACCACAACAGCTGAAGATCCCTTTCATTTTGGATATTGAAATCCCTGCATTTCAGAAGCAGCTTTAAGACTAATAAAAATTCTCCTTTCTTAAAAGCACAAACTTACATTAGTATTTGCATCTCCCTGAGGCAGGTCTGTACTTTCATAATGGGAAACAGTCTGCTTGGACTCATCTGTCTTGGTGAAAGAGCTGTTGGACAGTTGGTCTCCAGAACGTCTACAGGAAGCTTCCCCTCCATCAATCCTTTCATCTTGTATTTCACAAACAGCTTTCTCAGCAGACATGTTGGACGTGTGATCCATACTTTGATGATTTTCTTCAGCAGGAGGCAAGTGGTCTCCGTTTTGGTTGTCTCGATATTCATCAGCAGCTTGAACGCTTTGGGCTGCTTCATGCTCAAGAGGCACATTTTCCTGATGATGGTAGAGCTGCCTTTGACATCGTCTAAAGAGACGTTTTATACAAACAAATGCCTGAGAAAAAGAATGAGACATTGTAGAAAGTGCACACTGGATTGTGGATTTGTACGTGAATAGCATTAATTGTATAGAGTTCACCAGAGCAGTATGGACAAATAATTTGTACATGAAAATATTTCCTCTCTAAAACTGCCACAGACTTACTTTTATCATCAATAAATACAATATACAGCACCTGGTGAATATTTCCTCTCTAAAACTGCCATAGACTTACTTTTATCATCAATAAATATAATATACAGCACCTGGTCTTTTAATTTACCTACCAATAAAGATGTGACAAAAGCAGGAAAGGCCCAGAATTCATAACATTTCAGGATATCCGTAAAAATGGGATAAATGTTATGTATTGATGAGTCCCAAACAAATGTGAGAACTGTTGAACTCCATGTCTGTAAGAAAAAATCAAAACCAAGACAGTCTGATTTATACAGTTAAGAACATCTTATTAAATTCAAACCAGTTTTGACCTGATTTAGACATGCATTAAGAGGAGCAGTATGTATGCTTTTCGTGTGAAGTAATCACATATTTTAATCCTAAAATCTTATAACACTTCTGTGTTTTCATTGAGAGAGGTTTAACACTAACTTCAGAGGCTTTCTGGTTTCGCTACTTGTGCAAAATTTATACTTATATAAAACATACCCTTATATCAAAACACACTCAGGATTTCTCAATATTTTACAATAACTACCAAATGTTTATTTAGAAATACCTTAAAATGCTATGTTATGTATTACATAATGCATTACGTATTTCATAATGTAATGCAATTAATGTTTCACTTTATGTATTGCATTTGTCTACTTCTACAAGATTCAATTAAAACAATTTTCAGTTTTACTTAATGTCTAGCATTTTGAAAAAATGCTAAAAGGGATATAAAACTTACTGACAAAATTCTTTCACACTGCTCAGCAAACACTAAGAGCCATTCATATGAGGTACTGTGATAGTCTTCTTCCTGGTGCTAGTACAGAGAAAAAAAAATGACTAAGCTTTTCCCATCATATTTAACACTTGTTTTGCTTCTGATATGAAAATGCATTTGTTATTATTGTATTTTTCTTTGCTGATATTTGTGCTCCCCTTTTGCTTCCATTTCACAGCTTTTCTTTTCACTCTGTGTGGTTCTGAAGTACGATACATATCATATGTACTGTAACTATTGTACCTGTGTTCACCTACTTCACCAATAACCCCATAATTCCAGACCTTGGGGGATATACCGAGAGGCATTAGAAACACAACAAATGTATATTTAAATTGGAACCTAGTATATGTATATTGGAACTTGGAATAAGTATTTGTTGCATTTTTAATTTAAGGAAGAAATTGCACTTCTCTTCACACCAAGCAAATGAAAACAGGAACATACATAATAAATATATTGTACAATAAGTGAAATAGAACTGTGCAATGAATATTCTGCTTAACTTAAATTGCTCCCTATTGAAACATGGCCATAAACTCTATTCATAAACATACATCCACCTCCTAACTGCTTCTTCCAATTCAGGGTTGCAAAGAAGCTGGAGCCTACCCTAGCAAGCAATGGGCGCAAGGCAGGGTACACCCTGGATGGGACGCCAGTCCACCACAGTGCAGACACTCAGACAAGCACACACTCACACCTAGGGCCAGTTCTCCCAGAAGCCAATTAACACAGCAGTAAATCTAGACTCAAAACTTTCTGCTTTAGAAGAGCCTTTCCTTAACTGGTTCTGTTCTTTATCCCTCTGCTCCTACTGTATTCAGTACCCCCATCTACTCTCTCCTCTCACTGTGATTTCTCATTGAGCATACCTTGTGTATAGTGTTTTGTTGTTCTGGTCATTCTGTACAGAACTATGAGAAGCCACCTTTAAAGGTGCTATATAAAATAACGTTGTTGTTATTATTTTAGGAGGGGACCAACTTGATCCTCCTCTGAAGAGCAGCAGCCTCTTGGGTGACATGCAGCAGATAATATACACCAACAGCCCCTCTGCACTTTTGATGAGGTGGAGATGCACAAAATTACTTCACTGCTTGAATTTAGGAGGGAAATAGAAGGAAATCAGATTGTGCTAATCCAGAAAAGGAATTCAGCCAGGACACTAGGGATAACACCCCTGTTCTTACAAACAGTGCCAGTTGATTTTAGCGTTCCAGTACTGTATCTTTTAACAATACTTTTGTTTCACAATCCAATTCATGTTATCAGGTTTACACTTTATCATGACATTTTGATAGACCGCTGTGTTTAGTAAAATATTTAATAATTGTCTCACAAATTGTCTCTTGTCCCTTGCAAAATCAGTAAGGCAAAGTTTACCAAGAACTTTTTTTTAAAGAAAAAGAATTATTTCTGATTATGACATCCTTTTATTTAAAAAGACATTATTCTAATGAACCTTAACTGTAAAGAAACGGAAATCCATGACAACTTACGAAGTCCAGCTTTTGGATGCTCTCTATCAGTTCATCCAACTTTCTTTCGAAGACTGAGTTGTAGCCAGATGCTGTCTTTAAATCTACAGCTATGTTTTTCAGCTCTTCAACCTCAAGAAACAAATGAAAAGCTTCATCTTATTTAACAACCCACTCTCAGTCAATTAGATATATCGACATAGACAACAACTGTGTTAAATCGTCTTTTTTAATCCTTGATAAAATCATCCATTTGACATTTTTTACAGGTGATTTTCACAGTTTACCTTGTTAAGTGAGTGGTTACCTACATCTTAATCAGTTCAGTTCCAGTTTTCCTCAAATCTCTTTCAATCTGAAAGCTCTGAGATACCTTCTGCTATTGCAGCCTATGCATAGTTCTCCTTGTCCATTCATTTTCAGTACTTTAACTACATTTTTATCGTTTCATATACTGTATAAGCAAGATCTTTTGGCATGATCCAATGCGCAAATATTTTTTAAAACATAATATCCGTTATGTTACTAATTTCCTTCTATCATGTTATAGTTTAAAACGTGCAAGAATGTTTGTTTAAATTAAATTTAAAAAATACAGTAAACCCCACATGTCTATTTACAGTACATACCTGTTGCTGTAAAATGGATAGCTTCAGACAGCACGCAGATGGATTAGGACGGATGACCAGATTAGTTTTATCCTTGCACTCCTTATGGTCTTTTATGCAAATATTTTCAGCAGTGTCATCCTGTGAATAAAGAAATACATTCAATTAAAAAAATCATCGGTGTAGAAATTTAACAAAACGCATTAAAGCCGTCAAGTAAACAATTGTTCTAGTGCTTTATGATAGAAAAAATGTTAGGTTCTTTCTTAAAAAATGTGTTTTGAAGCGTGTGTTTGAGGAGGGTTAATTTCTTAATTACTCACTTACATGTTCTTTTGATTCGTCTGCTTTTCTCATACTTTTTGAAGTAGAGTCGTAGTTAAGCATGTCAGTGGGATCGATCCATTCATCACCTTCGACCTGTCCGTTCACTGCCACCAGCAGTCCGCATATCATCACAATCACTCTCATTATCCCGTCATAAACTAAAAGAGATACACGTTTATGAAAACATAGGCTGTCATAGTATACCGCCATAAAACACAGTCAAGTGTAGCATGGACCAGTGAAACAAGTATCATGTAATCTCTTACAATCCTAGCCTCTGGCGAGATATTTGAATACAGTCCTGGGATCTTAACAGCACTGAGATTCCCTGCCGCTTGTATCCTGACAAAGATATCGGCCTAGTTACTCTAAGTATTTTACAACATCTTCAGCTTGTCAGTTTGTCTTATTCTAACAAATCCAAACTTTTTATAGTTCTACCCTAGAACTGCATGTCTGGTCTTGTTTTGTCAGGTTACAAGTGAATGTGTCTAGAAAGACCTGATTTCGTAACTTCTCGGAAAGCTGCTGAGTGAGAGGCAAAATCCTATAGAGTCTGAACAAAAATCCAATTGTATCACTGGAAATCCTGTTAGAGGATCCATTCTGATTCAGCTAAGTCACAAACCCAGAAAAACATACTACAGATATGTGGCCAATACTCAGTATTTTTTAATGCATTCACGGAAAAGTGTAAAACATTTATTTACCGTACTACGATATGCACTGCAGATACAATGGTACCTTATAATGCAAAGAATGCCTTATTGCACTCCTTGTTTTCCCTTAATTTCTGTCACGATGCACCGTTACCACCATATAAACTTGCAAACTCGATCAAAAACCACTTCGCTCAGTTCAGCCTCCTCGTCCTTTCGCTTTCGGTTTCTTCCCTTAGTACTCGCAGAGCATTGTGGACTCTTTTAATACCGGTCCGGCGGAATAAAAACGACATCGAGGAATTTGCGGCTAAAAGACATACTAGCAATCACATATACAGTACTGCATATTTGATCAAACTGAAAAAAAAAAGCTTTATTCAACTTAAATCTAAATCATTTTCTCGGTATCCAAAGATATTATTTAATCTAAATTCAATTGAGACTGAAACTTAGTTTTAACGACTCATATATATTGATATTTTAAGTAAAACAATGTGATATCTTATTACTAAACATAATACCATGTTGCTACAATGTGTACAGGACGTGTATTTAGACAGGCTGCGTGTGCACATGGAGATCGTATCTTGCGCGCTTTTGTTACGTCATTTAAATCCTGAGCAATCCATTGGATAACGCAAGAATAGCTATTAACCCAGTACTGTTTTAAATCGTAATGTATTTTTTTTACTAAATAAATTTTAAATGATATCTGTTTATCTTTGATTATATATCTCCTGATACATGAAAAATTAATGAATGGGATATAGTCAGTTTATTCCATTGTTGCATTTATCCGTTTTGGTGAATATTTGATATACAACGGATTACTTTGCACAGCACGTCCTCTTTTTTTGCTGAAAAACATTTAGATACTAACACACTGGTACAAAACAAGTTTAAGAATCAATAAATCCAGTCTTTGAGCTTCTGAAAAATTTAACCATACACTATTATATATATTTTTAATTTTTTCCCCCTAATAATTATTAGACTTAAGACATTAGCTCTGCCCTTTTCAATCATTCAGGTGCCCACTGTGGCAAAAGAGGATGGCATAATGACCAACTTAAATTGCAATATTTTATGAAAATGCTAATTTTAAATTTTTTTGTAGTAAACAAATGCAAGAGTTTTAAGTACTTTCTTGTATATTCTTCTTACTTCTACTGATTTGGACTGATCTACTGATCTACAATGTACATGGGTCTTTATTCCAACATATTCAGTAGGGTTGTTACCCCAGTGTCCTGGCCAAATTTCCTCCCCTGGCCTTTACCAGTCATGGCCTCCTAATAATCCCCCCAAACTTACTTCATCACTCTGTTCTCCTTCCCACTGTTAGCTGATTGGTGGGCATACTGGCACACTTTGGCTGATGTTGCATCATCTGGGTGGGGGCTGCATAATGGTGGTGGTGGAGGGAAGTCCCCATTACCTGTAAAGTGCTTTGACTTAAGTGTCCAGAAAAGTGGCATATAAGTGTAAGGAATTTTTATTATGATCAAGCTTTAGGTTGAATTTACATTTTGTGGCAGTGGCATGTAAGACAGAACAATCTGTATTAGTGCCCAGATTTCACAGCATTTCAACACTGTGAAAGGAGATACTGGAGCCTCCCATAGAGAGTAGCAGATAACCACACACCTCTAAACATTTTTTAAATGCTCAATCATCTAGTAACAAGCTTTAGAAAAGTAGTATAAACTCAGTTTTATCCTCAGGAATTCTCGCATTAACATTGTAACACAACTACATATTTCTTGAGTTTGTACGTATTCTTCCTCAGACTTAGCTCTCGATCATTTATTTCCCATTTTGCACTTTAGCAGTTGGCGATTTGCCCACAAAAAAGTGTTATATCTTTAGGCCCTCTTCTGCCAACTTTGCTAATTAGATAGCACTCTAAAAAAATATGGCACATACTGTAGGCTCCAATCCTTGCTAGATTCTGAGGATTGAGGAAAGACAAAGGACTTGTGACTGCCTTTGTAAAATAACGCAACAGATACTGTTGCAAAAACACACTATATAAAATCAACTTTCAGTTTCAAAAATAATTTTCTGTACATTTTTAAACATTTACAAATACAGACTATATATTGTCAAATGTATTCCTATTGTGTTTTCTCTTTGCAACAGCTTCTGTCTGGTTTGGGGTCTTCAGTGCTGGACTTGCTCTTGTTTTCAAGTGGATTCTCATGGCCCTGAAAATCAAAACATATGTTTAGAATTCAAATCTTGTGTGTTGACAATCAGCCTTCTATTCTGTTTACTCGAAGGACAGCACACATGGCAATATCTCATGGGCTAATGGAAGTATATGACCCTTAATAGGTTTTAAAGGGGAACTGTAACACTATTTTTATATTTATCGAATTGTTAAGAATTTGCACTGATAAGTGCATTTCAAACCACAATGAAAGTAAAACATACACAGAAACGTGAAAAGTCTCCAATTTGCATCACAAAATAGAGAACATTTTTTAGGTAGGCACTGAGCCATATTCTGTGATTCAGAAGCAACAAAACCTCCAGTGAGGTGAAGCGGCCCTATGACACTGTAAACAAGCACGATTGTGAATACATCTCTTTTAATCTAATAGAAATATTGCTCTCAACTTTGAAAATATGTATTTGTCAGTGAAACCATCTCAAATACTAATGAATCTAATTGCATGCAGATTACATTGGAACATTTCTACGGCGAAACGTCTTTACCTTTCTTTGCATTACATTAGTCATTACAGTGACTAGTGAGTAGGAAGGGCCACCTCAGCTCACAATTCTCGTGAACTCGTGACAAGATGGAGACCATACATTACCTTTACCAAGTTCTTGATTTAAAAAAAAACTGAATTCGGAATTTGTAAACTATTTTGTTTGTTACCAAGATTTAATAACCACTCTGAGAAACTAAAACTGCAGTTCCCCTTTAATATCAGCACTTGGGCTTTCAATCAAAATGGTATCATGTAAAAGAAAGTGCTCATATAAGATAATTATAGCCATAGTAAAATTTTGTCGGCTGTTTTTTACAATTTATTAACATTTCGTAGAATAAAAGTTGTATAAAGAAATACTTGTACAGGCAGTATTTAACTCCACAAATTGTTCTCACATGTCTTTTTAAATGTATCATTTATTTCTCCTTCATTGTAACAATATAGGCTGCCCATGAACTAGCTCTCAGGCTCATAATGTCAAAGCCATTAAATATCAGCATTCCGAAACAAGTCATATTCAACAAACTAAAGTGAAAGATTCCGGTGATGTTATAGTACAACAAACAGTACTAATGGTTATTATATGTGAAAACTCAAGGGATGCTATTTACCCACTTGTATTTAGGATTAGCCTCTCTCAACCTGAGGCAGTAGAGAAGCAAAATAAGAGAAATTAACCACAAATTGCACTTATATAAGTTACAAAAAACTTGTTTATATATTTCTATACAGATTGTCATATTATTTCACTTGTAGGCGCATTCTGATGGTAGGTTTACATCAAGAGTTTTACTTTGGTTCCTGGAAGCAGATTTAAACTTACATTTGTTCTTCTGTCTTTCTTTGCGGATTCTTCCTTCTCCTGCAGATCTGGTTCTGTGTTGCTTTCGTCCGGACTTACAGACACCGAGTGTCTTATACGGTGGTTTGCCTGTGAGCCACTGTCACGGCCTCTAGTTCTCTCCCCTTTCTGAAACTCTGTCTTTTCTCCTGCACCTCCGTCTTCCACTGTGGTGGCTGCGTCGCAGCAGTTCTGTCCCTCCGTTTCAGCGGGATCGGCAGGGGGAGCTCCGTCAATCTCTTCGTCGCTAACCACAATGTCTGCTGGTCCAACTCTCTCGACACGATGGTTGCCGCTCTGCTTGTTCTGGTGGTTGTGTCGGAAGCGGACAGCTTGTTGATCCTGATATACCTGCCCACTGCCCACAGCGCCCAAATCGCCTTGCGCCTGTGGGTGCGCCTGTGGGAGCACCTGTGGAGTGTGGGGCTGAGCCTGGACAGCAGGAGGTTGGTCATTGTGTCCCCGACGATGCCAAAAAGCCACATTGTGGATAGCTGCCTGGGCACTGCCATACATGAATATCTAAGGGGGGGGGGGAGAACGTATTTTTCTGTGTAAGTCATGTCATTTGCCAAACCGTTTTATACCATACGGTGTCGCAGGAAGCCGGAGCCTGCCCGACAAGCAACCTGTGGATCCTCAGTTTAACGTCTCACCCAAAAGACGGTGCTCACTACAGTATAGCGTTCCCGCCACTATACCGGGGTATTAGGACCCACACAGACCGAAGGGTGGGGACCCCCCGCTGGTCTGACTAACACCATTTCCAGCAGCAACCATAGCTTCCCAGGAGGTCTCTCATCCAGGTACTAACCAGGCTCAACCCAGTTTAGCTTCAGTGGGTAGCCAGTTGAGAGCTGCAGGGTGATATGGCTGCTGGCTTCCGGGTACATTTCAACCCCAATATACAACACACAAGTCCTATACAGTTTACTGTAATACTACACCACCCCAGCCCATACAGAACCGTTGTAAGCAAAAAACAACAAGTCCTACTTATCCTCTGGTCTATTTTTTGCATCACTAGGCTCTGCAACAACTTCAACAGAATGCTATCCTCTTTTTTTGTGACACATTCAGATGTTCTTTCACTGTGTCATTAGTACGCATCTAAAATTTCAATTTTTCCCCTTGTCGTCTTATTCATTTGCCTTAATTGATGGAAAATGCTAAAATGGAATCAAACAGCAAGATGCACAATACATTATTAAAAGCTGATAGTACATTAGACAATTTTGTAGTCAGCATGTACTTAGATAGACCTGATGCTTAAAAATGTCTAGCCACTAATGTGCTGTATTTCAATACCTCTAGATAAACATTGAAACCAGGCATCTATATGACAACTGTACCTGACTTTGCAGTAAGCTTTTAAGGTGGGGTTTAAAAAGTACTCTCATACTTATCATATTATTTAAATCAAATCTGTATGAGCTAAAAGTATTAAACTTTAAAAGAGCAGAAATTCACTTACCAGGATAGCCGCTACAATGGTAAAAAGAACAGGAATCTGAAGTGTTACAGGGAGATCCTTTAGAAGAGCTCTGAGGAACTCACTTATACCTTGACCTAAGTGTTTCAGCGGTTCAGTAATAAACGTAGTGATGGTAACAGCAATTGCCTGAAACAGAACCAAAAATATGGATACAGGATTTGCTTGCAATCAAGAGATGCATGTCTACAAATCAAAAGGGAGAATGTTCTTATATCAGACAGAAGGTAAGCAAATGAGGAAATGAGGTGGTTGTCTTTTCCTTACAATTTAATTACAACAGTTTGTAGCGGCAATGCTTGTTAATAAGACAGATGGACATCTGGACTGCGTTCCTAAGTGTCAGGAGTAAGTGACTCATATCTCACCTTGATCAACCAATCAGGGACTGGCAGGGCTGGGTAACAGCAAGTGGGTCTCCAATGCCCGCCAAACTCTCAACCAATCAGCACACATCTGTGTCTTGAGCGCAAGCTCAGGTCGGGGCTCTCCTTGGCCATTTTTGCGCATCCTCAGAGACAATCACGTGACAACTGCCGTTGTCTGCACTGGGACTTGGACTTTGTTCTAAGCGCGAGGCCGAGGATCCTGTACGTACTCAGAATTCTACCAACGTGAACGCTCCGCTTGATCAACGGCAGCCTACAGTTGGACCCTCGTTGACAACCTGAATAGCTTATTCAGAAGCAGCGCTTCCCGGGCAAAAGAGTGACTTGTGAGGACTCGCGGTCACACTCTGTGCATAGAGACTTTCTACTAGCCAGCCGGACTGCTGGTAGATCCCCTCGGAGCAACGACTGCCCTGCGCGCCGCAGTTAGATTCCTCCGCCCGTCCTACTCCGAGCTGCACCTCGACTGGTTGGCCGGTAGCCAGAGGACGCCCATTGGACAACCGCTGGAACAGAGGCTGCAACACAGCCTGTCAGCTGGTTTGTTGTTTGTGCCGGTAAATTCCAAATCCATACACAGTGGATAAGTAAACCCCATGTTCTACATTGCGTCTCGAGAATTCAATTGTACCTCAACACAAGTTGTTATCAATTTAATTCCTGAGTAATGTATTTACTTCCGAGTTTAGAGTAACAGTGGGTAATAACACTGATTAGCGATTTGGTAACCGAACGATATATATTGACATATATTCTCTGTTGTGTATCTCTTTGTGTTTGCATCTTTTCGAGATTATATACGTTGTATATTGATAACCCTCACAGTAAGGTCTGCCGCTTGTATCCAGGCAGACTAGTATATGTTTGGTGCACAATTTATGTTAATAAATGTATCTCGTGCATTGAACCCGTGTGTGTGCCTTGTTAGTTGTTCTGACGATTTATTTTCTAAAAGCCACAACGAACCACTTCGTGATTACTGCTACAATTAATAATTGCCTCAGTAAAACCATCAAACCTCTACAAGTGTAAGAAGCTACAAGTTCATCAACTGCTTTTCAATTCATTTGGTGAATGTTAATAAAAAAAGTACAGGGTAGTTGAGACAAATAAGAGAAGATGAAAGACTTCAGTTTTATGAATGTGTATTAAGCAGGGACAGGGTGGCTCATGTACTTTGAGCATGGCCCCAGTACTGCAGTCCGTGTCTGTTCCCAATGTGGAAAAGTCCTGGGCATCTCAGCTCATTAACTTGCTACAAGGTAAGCGATTGTGGTGACACATGCCTATGACCCGAACCAGCCACAGGGTTGCACACAAACTCACTCATATACAATGGAAAGAAGGGTTACCTTGGTTGGAGGTACCAATAAAATGGGATTAACCATGAGGACCTCGTAATATTTTTTACAGGGGTCATCTTGCAGTGTCCATGTGCTTCTGAACCACTCTACAATTTACAGGGAAAAATAAAGAATCTTCAATAATTAAATATTACAAGTCAAAAATCATGTTTCCGGATTTTAATAACAGCTAATTCTTTTAATTTTATTGTCTTTTTTAGGACAAATTGAGAGCACTACAGCTCACAAGGAAATCAGCATTTTTGGGATATTTTGGGATTTTCTGTACAAACCCAATTTGCAATCAACCACTGTTTCTTTCTGTCTCAAGTCACAGCAGTGATACCTGTACTTCATGCACAACATGAGGATGGCCGGACATGCTCCTCTGATGTTTACACTGATTTAAATAGATAAGACTTTACTGATCCCGAAGGGAAATTGATGTATTTATACTCATTAAACAACAGTCATTGTTTGACACGTCACAGGCTCCATGGTGCCTTCCAGGAGAGACAGTGCTGACTGGAGGGGCAGGATCTCTTGTGAACATCATTGCATGCCAACAGGAAACCAGAGAGTCACATACTCCCATTTTGCCAAGTGTTGAGAGAACCTGACTAATACAAATCCAACCCATTAGTACGTCATTGCTTGGGAGAATCCCAATCAAAATCAGGGCAAGACCCAGGTTACGGCTTCTACCTTTTGAATCATAACGCATAACCTAGACTGGAAGCTTTTCTAGAGAAATTCACATTTTGAACAATGAGCCCAAATATCTAATTTAGTAAATGAACTCACCAAGATAACAGGTTAAATCCTGTAACCCAGACCTGGGCTATGTGATTGAGGTGTCTTGGAGTTACCCAGATTGGGCAAGGTGAGGTTGGCTAGGACACATTCTTGCCATCTAACAGTAATTTGTGGGATCTGCCTGAGTCCCGTGAGCTTGCCATGCCCTCTGTGAGAGTCTTGAACCCTTCTAATTGGTACTAACTCTCCCGTAAAGAATGGTTGAGACCGCACCATGCATTAAGCTTGGCTATACACTATAAAAATGCAAATCACGACAGGAGTTTCCAATTACTGACTTGTATCATGACATTCACTAATTATGTAGCACCCAGCACTGAAAAACTTAACTCCTCACCTTTCAGGTTATCCTGCCAGTCAATCTTCTTCAATCCAGTACACTTGTCATTGATGGACTCCATTTTTACAATATTGTTTTGGTGCTCAGCAAATGCAATCTACAACCCAAAGTTAAGATTTATATAGAAAGAAGATCAATGTTTTGTGCATACAAATTACAAAACAAAACTTTCCTATCTATAAAGAAGCAAATTAAATTTTGTAAACCCTCAATTTATCAGTTTATAGAGAGTCAAAATTTGATAGTTCAAACTTTGCAATCTGTATGTGAGAATGGGAAATTGTTAAATGACAACTTTAAAACTTATTATATTTTATGTATAAAATAACTTATGTATTTTTATACAACAGCTAACGGATAAACGGATGTTACTATACCTTGTAAAGATACATCCAGTTCCACAGAAGGCTGATACAGAAACAAATGGCAAAGATCCGCCTGAACTGCATAAACAAAGAAACACTACTCCACAGTTCAGTACAGATTAGCACCACAATGATTAATACACAGACACACATCTGGAAAACATTACAGAGAAGGCATTAGATACATGATACATAGTTTTTACAGCACATACTACATTTATTACACTTATCTTCACACAGCGAATCAGATACTATATTAATTCCAGAAAGTTTAACGATTAATTATAGTTGTAAAACTTAAGAACATCCACTTAATGTCAAAAATAATTTATTGTTGTCTAAAGGCATACACAAAACATGTGTCAGGGGTAAATAATAACATGAAAATGAATTCACTAAAACACATTGAAAAGAGTCCCTCACTTCAGTACACTTAAACAGAAACTTTTCTCACCCGAACAACAGTGTCCAGTTCCACACCAAAAGTGTCCTCGAAGCGCCATTTCCAAGCTTCATAATCATGGGGCTTGAAGTTGATTAAGATCTGACTTAGCGCTTCATCCAAAGCCCCTGGTTTCAAACTCTCATCCCCATCCAGAAGCTTTCTAATCTCAGAGATCGACTGTCTTGACAAAACAACCTCAGCATCATAGTGGACGTAACCTTTGACTTCATCAGGCTGGGGAAACGGAGGATAACAAACCCTAAAACACCACTTATCTTGGAATATGAATGAAATTAATAAAGAAGGATTTCAAAACTGTGTCAAAAAGTCTTACAAATGATTTACTGTTGTTGCTCCCACAATTAATCCAATGAAATAAGTCAGGTATTTTTTCTTGTGGTGTAAATGGAAAATAATTTAGAAGAATTTCTTAACGTAAAAAGTAATGAAAAGGAGACAGGTCTACAGAGTTCATCTTAGTATCCTGATTCTGTTTTTACAGGCTGGATAACCTAAAAGCCGGCTGTTTACGTAAACAGTAAACCCTTGTTTTAATGGACTTCAGATTTAACGGATAAAATCAGAAATACCGGAATTTCCTTGTCATAACTGGGAAGTGCTCAAATAATAAAACAAGGTAAAAATAAATACTACAAGAGTGTAAAATTCAGGAATATCAATAGTGCCCTTTAGTGGTAGGTCATTTTCTTATGATGTGTGTTGTGTTTTCTTTGCTTTAGTATACTTGCAGTATATTTACAATGCATTAAATCTAGAACTTGTGTTCTTAAAATAAAAAAAGATATAGGAACAATTTTCATTGACTGTGTTGATTGCAATTGTTCAAAAAATATTTCAAATTCCCCGGAAGGCTTTAGGATTTTATTTTTTGCTTCTTCCAATTTTTTTTTTGGGGGTTAAAAAACGTTATTTTTTCTTTTACCGTTGTTTCGGCATTAGGGGCCCCCTTTACCCCTTCAATCCATTAAACCAAGGGTCTACTCTATATTTATCAGCTTCTATGAGGGCAGCACAACTTACAAGGCCGAGTTTCTGAATATCTTTCAACAGCTTGTTTAGGTATCTCCTAAAAACAAGATTGCATCCAGACTGTTTTGAGAAAGATGCAATCTTCTTTTTATATTCTTCAACCTGAAACAACAAGACAAGACAAAGGGGCATTTTTTCACTTGACCAGTTTCATTTAATCTAGAATGAATTTAAAAGAAAACTAACCAAACAATCTTTCTTTCTCATCTTTAAATTTTGCATTTTGCTGTAAGCAATTCCCAAAAAACAGTGTGAAGACACAAAGCCTTTTGAAGGTGCAAGTCTGTTAACACGTCTAAAATATTTTTTTATTTCTAGTCTTCAATATGATCAACATTAGGTGTTAACCCATGACCAAACCAAGCACATCACAGACAAATCTGAATGAGGAAAAACATTTTAAAGTCACTCTACAACAGTCGAGGTGGCTCCAGTTAGTGTAGAGCTGAAGAAGAAATTAAGACGTTACAAACCTCTCTCTGTAAACTGTCAATTTTGTTGTTGAAGTCAGTTATATCAGGACATGTCACCAGCTGATCTGAATCTTTAATATATTCTCTTCTTTTGGTAGGAACATTGTTATAGTTGTTAACCTAAAAGAAAACAATAGCAAACTGTTAACAAAAATGTGGGTCAGTTAAACTGTATAATGTAAGACTGTATATGGTGCGACTATAATCGTGTTTGAAAATCATACAATATTGGAAAACACATTTGTTTAGAATTCACTCTTTTTGGCATTGTAACACAACTTAGCAATAACTGCGTCACCACGTCAACAAGCTTATGGAAAAGGGGTAAATACGAGTCAAAACAGTGCGTAACCTCTGTCTGCTTCCTCATAGTTTTGGTTGTAGCGTCGTAATTGAGCATGTCAGTGGGATCGATCCATTCGTCGTCATCCACCTGTCCTCTCACAATCAACAGCACGCAGTACAATACAGCTATCCGCATTCTTCCCCAGCCAAGAGTAAAAACACAGTGTTACTTCATAGTAATGCATACTATGCATTAACGTAAAAACCATAAGCACATATGATCAGTATAAACACACACGGCTGGATATCAATATAATTATTGCCAAAAACGCAAAGAAAATAGACGATATCAAACGGTGGGTATAACCCACACGTTTGTGTTCCCAACGCTTTCTCATGAATCCAAAACTCAAGTTTTATAGCATACTAGATGAATCTAAGTACAATAAGCAGCCATCACAAAGAACCGCTAGTACATTTTCGGATGATATTATATACAACTATATATTTTTGTGTGGTACATTTACTTACATGGAAAAAAACATGCAATACACTTCTTTTCTAATCCTTCCTGTTGCAAGCTTTGACCTGAAATAAAAGCCGGAGGTACGCGAAATTGCTCATGGGAATGGTAGTCTTTATTCATTTTTCTTTGCTTTCAGTCTCAGTGAATTCGGAATAGGAAGAAACTACAGTAACCAACAGCTACTGTATGTATTCACTAAAAATGTGATGTTTGTGTTCTTAGAATGGTGTACAAGCCATTATGCATGTGCAAGTAATTTTTTAATTGCAGTAGCGCAAATTAGACTGGTTTGCAGCTCGCACATTTCAGTGAAAACACGAGGTACCGTTGTGAGTTTGAGAAATAAATAACTCCGCTATTCACTTATACTACACTGAAGCTTACACTACATGGTGGCACGCTTACTTAATTTAGTGAAAAAAGACTTAATATTGACTCATTCAAAGGGGTAAATATACAACCGAAGTGTGAAGTGATCTCATTTGAAAATTAAAATGCTGGCTGTACTTTTGACATGGGTACATTGTTCAGATGCTGTTTTCTGAACACTTTTTTATTTTGTTATATACCTTCAGTCTAAAGATGATGAGTTTGTTAAAAATCTTAAGTGTCTCGTCCTTAAAATTAACATATTTAACAATGCAATCCCCAACAGTTTACGTAAAGGAACCTGGAGGATCATTTACTTGACATCAGTGCAATTTTGGTGTGCAAGAGTTGCTTACAATTTTTGAAAATATGTGCATCCCTGTTTCATGTTTCATTTTAGACTTCTGTTTATGTATATAAAGAATCTGGCACCCAGTGCTACAGTCTTCCTTGTTACTACAAACATGCAAAATAAAAGGAGGGTCATAATTTTGTTCGTGTAGTGATACAATGGGACATTTAACATGTCTGTACAGAATAGACAGCATTTTATTTTCTTGTTAGGTTAATGCCAATATCAATTAAAAATGAGAAGGAGATGTAATTATCTTCCATTCTGTTGCTTTGTTATTTCAGCGCAATGAGAGTTACTAACAAGTAGAAATACCAGAACATAGAAGTATTTGTAAATGTAATTTTTAAATATTGCATATCTCAAACTTTTCCAATTATTTTTTTAAAGAGAAAACTACACACATAAAACATGTTATAAACTACAAGGCAATGTAATATTCATTCAAGACTATTACAGGGAAATGTGTTAAACAATTGATATGCAATGTTGATTCAAATTAGTAGAACAGAGAAGGAAACAGACTTGTTTTTGTCCTAGTAAATAGGTAGGCTGTCGTGGTTTAGGTTGAAACCTAAACATTAAAAAAGTCAAAGCATGAAAACTTGGGAAATTCAGTAAATCAATGGCTCATTATCAAGGTTAGCCAAAGTAAATTCCAATTAAGAAGGATGTTATTATTATCTCTACAGTCAGAACCCATAATTAAGTAAATTATAATAAAATAAACAGCAAAGCCCCAATAACATAATTGAATTTTTTAATTTCTTAAGAATTCCACAAAACTCAATGCACTGATGGTACACCAAACTTTATGTTGTTTTATTCAATTAATCATGTAAAACAAATAGGTCAGTTTCTGTAACACAAAAAAGCAAAAGGTTTAAGGTGATTAAGTGTCAGAAAGGCCTTTATTGAGATTAAACAGCAGTCACACTTCCACTCTTGTCATGTTAAAAGACTTATAAAAGCTACCTTTTAAGTTCACAGTCTTCTCATAAAATGTAAACAGAAACAAACTACATTACAAATAAATATAATAAATCTACCTTTATTTTTGCTTTTAATTTAAACAAAAGAACTGTACAATACGAAAATAAATCAGAAACATACATACAATACAATCTGCAATTTCTTACGAAACAGCAATTCCTTTGTATATAATGAACAAAGTGCAAAAGTAACAAATTAAAAGAAGCAGATGTGTGTTGGAGAAGAAGTCATCTCTTTATTTCTTTTTAAGTCATGCCTATGTGGAATGCCATGCTTTTCTCCACATATTTAATGGAAATGGTTATAAAATAAAGCTGTACTCTTTATTCCATAGGCTAAGACTGCACCTTCAAAATGGAATGTGGTTACTTTTTAGAAACTGCTTCAAACCATCTGCTGTGCAATTATACTTACCCTAAATAAGGTGAGTACTACACTCAACAAAAATGGGTGTCAAGTTGACCAAACTAACCTCAAAGTTCTTGAGATATCAGTATCTGAATGGCCTTTCAGCAACAGAGAGCTGTTAGAAATGGTCTTTAGTAGTCTTATTTAACAAGCCTAATATTAATTTTGCAAGCATTCTGTAACATACTGAGGTGCCCTGTGGCAGATGACACATTTGTTTAAAAAAAATCAAACACTGATTTTGTTACATAAAATGGAAACATTTCTAAAATTGTTCTTTTTTTAGACATTTACCTTATTTACAAAGAAGTGATTGAAAAGAGTTTGTTCAACTAATTTTAAAACCAAATGTTTTCTCCACTAACCCTGCTGATTTCTAACCATAATTACTAGCTGTGCTACAAAACCCACTTGGCTTCTTCACAGACAGACCTCTGGACAGTTATTTTTGTCAGGAATATTTATGGCCATATTTGGCATTGAGTAAAACTGCAGTGGCAATAACTCCTTGCACATTTTATGCTGCTAAATTTATTTGACTAATTTTTATCTTAGCCCTTGCACTTACTGCAAAATATGGCCCAATACATCATGAATATAAATAAAGCTATTTAATGAAGCTAACTTATCAAGGCACCATTTCACTAACATACTGTGTTTGGGACAGGATTTTTGTCCAATTCAGGAGAGATGAATCCTTCAGCAGTGCCCATTACATGGGACAATCTCTGCTGACGGTGTGCAACTGAGCTTTTGTGCATTCTGTATTAATCAAGTGTTGTTAACATCAAGGAATGCAACAAATAAACCATCGGCACATTGTTATTAAGCTTTTTCAACCATATACACACTTACAGGAAACGAAGAGCCATTACAAATGATTTTGCAAAAGGACTATAATCAGTCACAGAAGCTGTAATGCTTGTGGAAGACTGTAAGCACAGCAAAATAATACAAAACACCATCATCTGCACAAGCATAGAGAGAGACGCACACATTTAACATGAGCATCCACTTTTTTTCCTTCCTTGGGAAAATGTCACGTAGGCTTAACGTCTGATGGGGCCTTTTCCAGTTGATTCAAGGGAGAGTCTGTGTGCTTTTTCCACCTACCTTTCCCAACGTTGTGAGTCCTATGCATTGTAAGTCCATAAAGTGACAGTTCTGTCTGCTGATGAGGACAAGAAGGAGAGGTCCTGTGTGTGCCATCTACACTGTATCACCTTGTCTGCATGCTCGCCAACCACACTGATTGGAAGCTGCTTTGTAAGGTCCCCTAAGAAAAATGTGGAATACAAGAACTGCATTTCAGAAGTGAACATTTTGGGGAAGAAGGAAACAAGGATTTGCTGCTCTTAACTTTGGCTCATTAGCACAAACTAACAAAAAAGGGATGGTGAATGCTTGTTTCCTCTGGTTTACTTTCAATTTATTTAATGCTTGCAAAAGAGGTTATATCAGAGTGTTTTAAATTTGTGATATACTGTACATAAAAAAATAAATAATACATATTATAAAAATGTTAAAGACAGCAATCATGTATGGCCTTGTCACCTCACTACATTATATGTACAGTACATCACTGTTAATAGACTAAAAAAAAAGGCTCAGCCTTGTCATATGTTTTATCCTGTTGATGAACATGGATATGGATGTTTGCCCGTTTATGCCTTCCGGCACTTAGTGGCACTTAGTAACATTTTGGTTTTTACGGGACAGGGTTGTTAGCCTTGTGCCCAGCGTCCAACATGGAGGGCCTGGCACCTGACGTGGGACAGGAACCCACTACCCTGAGATTATGAGTCTCATCCTCTACCGACAGAGCTAGCCGGGGCACTGTTGATGAACATATTCTTCTTTTTTTGATCGTTTCTAGAGTGCCTGAGTCTCGCCTTACCTTGCAGGTCAGTAATCATGACTTTGGTGTCATAGGAGCCTGTGAGCAGGTAGTGAGCCCCAGGGGAGAAGCGCACAGAGCGGACGTCGCTGGAATGAGGGCGATAGGTCTGCACCATCCGCCCTCCTCTGATGTCATAAAGCATGCAGCTGGAGTCTTCCTGACCTGTGGCCAGGAGACGGCCACTGGGGTCCACAGCAACAGAAGCCACTGCACTGCCTGGAGGACCGGCAGCACAAAGACAGTCAAGCAACAAGCAGTATACATCTGACTGCCGGTTTAGAGCAGCACTGTTCTTTTCATTTCACACTCCACTGAAAATGATTTATTTTAACTGAAATGACAATCTATGAGAAATTGCTCTTTGTATTAAGAATTAAGTATTAGTATTGTAATGAAGTTTTTATTGCACGCTGTTTGAGCTGTGCTGTATTTGAGTATTATTTAAGTTTGCTATTGCTGCTGCTGTTGCTCTGTGTTTAAGTTGGCGTTTCCTTAATGCCTTTGTGTTGGAGCACACATGCAAATAAGGATATCGTTGCACTTGTGCATGTGACAGACTGAACTCGGCAACAAAAATAATGGAACGCTGTCCCCAACTGGTGAAAATGAATTATTACAACCTGTGCTATTTTCTCCCCAAAGATGGCCTCTGTTGATTACAACCATTTTTTAATTGTAGATTATAAAGTACGTTTTTAAGGCCTTTCTAACAACTGTACCATAGAAAGTAATAACGACCGATACCCACCTGACCCATGAAAAGCTGTGCCTACTACTCGAACGCAGCTGGGAACTCTCAGATCCCAGAACCTCACTGTCTTGTCCTGTGACCCTGATGCAATCATCCACCCACCCCAGGTGTACAGGGACAAGATGTGACCTGAACACAAGTATGCAAGACGTTTTGAGCATCCATAACCAATGCTTACAAGTAGAAATAACTTTTTTACACTGTAAAGATAAAAAGCAAATAGAGCTCACGACATACATCTTTCTAGACATATTAGAAAAGCTTTAAATTTCCAATAAAAAGCTACAAGAAATGTTCCAAAAAAAAGTGCATTTGTGTAAAAACTACAAAAGCCACATGTTCTTTGCTGAAAGTAAAACACATAAATGTATTATTAGAACCTAAGAATCAAATAATTCTGTACTTGTGCATTCTGGTTACACTTGTGTATGTTAGCTGTCTGGGAAAGGGCTTGTACCTGTGTGACCACTAAGCGCATGTAGTCCTTGGCCCCTCTGGCAGTCTGTGGTGTAAATATTGCAGTCCCCAGCCCCTGCGCTAATTAAGATGGCACCTCCACTTTCGGGCCCTTCCATGAAGGCCAGATCTCGAATGGTCCCATCATGCATACTGAACTCCAAATCTGGACCTGCATGAACAAACAGCTGTTTAAGGCAAACACCCTAACACCCACATGACACTTATATGGAGATGAAATACACTGGAGTTTAACTAGCTGTTGTATTACTACATGTTCAGGAAAGTACCTTTCTGCATGCAAGATCATAAAAGAAGTTACAAATGGAAATTTCTCCCTGGCCTTTGTCATTCATGGCCTCCTAATAATAACTCGCTTCATCACTCTGTTCTCCTCCCCACTGATAGCTGACATGTGGGGATGATTCTGGCCCACTTGGGCTGCCGTCACATCATCCAGGAAAGTTAGAACATTTGTGGTGAAGAGGAGTCCTTTGTGCTTTGAGTGTCCAGAAAAGCGCTATACAGTTTAACTGTAAGGAATTAATTATTATTAAAGATGCTATTCAGAACATCAAGCTTTTGGGGCTCCTAGTAGCTAAGTGATGTGAGAATCTCATCTAACCTTTTTTTTTATAAAGAAGCTACAGCATCAACTTTTTAAACATGGTGGAGTAGCTTATTCCACAGTCCTAAAACTGTTTACGTGTGCTGTCAATATGCACTTTCCTAATTCAGGAAAACTAACTGCATTTCTAATATGCAGTTTACATTTCTTTGCTGATTCTGAAGAATTTCACTGGGCTGGCTATGTCAGTGCTTTTAGTGATTCTGAATACTTGAGTTTGGTCTGTTCAGTCTTTTTTGTTCAAGACTAAAAAAATCAGTTCATTGAGCCCTTCCAACTAGTGCATTCCTTTAAGGCAGAGAATGTGTCTAGTCGATCTTTCCTAGATTGAGAAACAAATTATTCTACTAACAGCTGTCTTCCATAAAGACAACATTTATTCTAGTGGAATTATTGGCATACCTCCCTTTCTGACACAGAAACAAATCTCACCTGTAGCGTTACAGGATTCTGCATTGAATGGCAACACTTTGACATATTTATCATTGGAGCCTGTTGCTAGCAGCTGTCCGCAGTGACTCCAGGCCACACAGTATATTGACCCTTTGTGATGTTTGTTCCTTTTAAAACGCACAACTGGCTGCTTTGGGGAGCTGCACACACTGTTGAAACAAGAAGCAAAAAATAAGATTTGTTCTACTATTTTATAAAAACATATTTTTTAATTAAAAAAAATCTATAAACGTGTACAAAGAAAAGGGCTGAATAAGGAAAAAATCTTGGCAGAAGATAGCTTTCTCTGCGTTCAACCACATTTCTTTAAATATTACAAAGTGATGATGCTGAAGCAAATTTTACTAAACATTTCCCATTTTTAGGTACAACAGGGAGAGGTTTATAAGGTGTGGCTCTGGAATTTCCCGAAAATATAAAAATGTCTCAGGGCTTGCAAAGCATATAGTGTGATATACAGGGAGTCTAGCCCATGCATGTTTAGATTTGTATTTGTAACACCAACAATACAAGGAAAATAATTTTTGGCAAATTCCTGCCAAGCTCTGCAATATAGTAGATGATGCTATTTAGTGAGAATCACTAAAACGAATCTGTCCTGCTCTTTTATTCCCTCAGCTGTGGGAATGGTTTTCTAAAGCGCATTCTTTCCCAAATTAGTCGACTTGCTCTACAACAAACCAAGGGGGAATGGCTCGAAAACTGCATACCTTGTGTCGATTGTGTCTGGGTATGCACAGACCCGCAGTGTTTTGGAATTGGACCCGACAGCATACAGAGCTCCGCTGGGATGGAAGGCCACAGCTCTGACAGCTTGTGTGTCCTCCAGGGTGCTGACTGCAGCAAACTGCATCTTTGGTTTCTCACCCTTGAGCCAACAGAAAAAGGACACCATTTCTTGAAAAGGTTCATTCCTGAATCTTTAAACACTATTACAAATAACTAGCCTGAAGCACCTATTTTGAGTTCTTGTTGCACCATGAGTGGGTGGTGTAAATTAATCTGAAGCCAAGGAAGAATCCTTAAAAATCTGAAATGTTTACAGAATGAAAATGAAGATATATATTTTTTTAAAACCCCACCTGTATATTAAAGTCAATAAAAGTCTTATGCTATAGGTGAGTTACAAATGAAGTGAATAATCAAAGTCCCTAGACATTATTGATAATGATACATTACTACAGCTGGTATTAACACAGTAAGGTAACACAGTAAAGAAATTATAAGCCATTTACCATCAGACCCTTACTTAAGCCATTACTTCAGATCCTAAGCTTTTCACAGGAGACTGCATGAGCATCCAACATACAGTACTCTCCATGAATCCAAAACACAGCTTCTAATTCACTGCTGATCTTTTTTGTAAATTCTAGTGTACTGTATATGTCTCGTGAGGTCTCACCTCTTGACTCTTGCCACGTGTAGAGGAATAGCCAATATCCTCTAGTAGGGGTGGTTGTGTGGCCCTGTCTTTTGGAATACTGGCAGGACTCCCACTGTGCAGAATCACACAAAATCAACAAGCTTTCCATTTACTTCAGTTACTGCATCGCTATATAAATCTTTGCGAACTGAAGTGACACGTTTTTACTCAAGGCAATACAAAGTTTGAATGTCAACTGGATCTTTCTAATACAGAAGAATCTGAAGTCGGTTAAATATTTGTATGTTTTGCAGTTAATATGGTAGATTAAAAGTTTTGTAGTCATGCCTTACTAATATTACAATACGAATATTGAGAATATTCTATTTTTTAACGAAACCATGCAGTTAAATTGCAAATGTGAACAGGTGCAGGAAATCTTTAAAAAAGTACTATTGCTGAAACATGACAATTACATTTTTTCTTTACTTGTATTTTAGTCAAGTTCTTTTTTTGACATACAAAAACTATTGAGAACAATGTTGCCAGTCACAGCAAAGCATAAAGTATTTATTTTGTTACTTATAATTATTTTGCAGTTTGATAGGGGGGATATAGTGCTAGAGAGAAAGATGGGGAAAAAAGAAGAGAACTTGTGTTTTGGAATGTTCTTTTCATTATCGTTATTGGGCAGTAAAAATAGCCCACCTCTCCCAGTTTCTCTCCAAGACCTCCTTTTTGAGTCTCAGCCGATCATTTAGTTTTGGGAGAGGATAAATACCTGCTTGGAAGTATCTTTGGAAGGGAGTTAAAAAGCCATAACATGTAGATGGCTCCAAAGAGACCCACCAACCATAGAAAAGTGCATCGCCTTTGTTTCAGAGATTTACGAGATAGAAATACTAAACATTTTAATTGGAAAAAATGAAGGATGCAGAATTCTAAAATCTCACAAGAGCTCTAAAAGTGGCGAGAGGTTTATTTATGGATTGCTCCTCACCTCCGAGTCACCAAAACTGGGGACTCATCTAAGGAGGGCATCCCCTTCGCGCCAGCTTTCTGCGGAGTGCTGCTTGAAATTCGAGCGATGTCTTTCTGCTGGCCTCTCTCAGCTGTCAGGGCCAAGCTACTTCCAGGTGCAGGGCTGCAGGCTGCCGTTCCATTGCACTGCTGGCTCAGAGCCTGCACCTCACCGCCCAGATTGTCCATCCCCACATTCAGCTCCTCCAGCTTCTGAATGGACCTGCAACAAACAGACTTGTTTATCTGATGGGTCTGAAATCCAGGCCCAATTCAATGACATGATGGGCATAGGGGAGGGGGAAGTCTAAGCCCTTTGACCATTTAACTTATCGCATTAACAGAATTGAAAAAAACAAAACAAATATACAGTATGAGAGCCTTTAAACATTTTGTTTCCATCTAAAAGTTTCCCTTTCTGCTTTTGGAAATATACAACAAAGCAAAATAGGAAGTGAACAAAAACATCTAAGACAATGCCTTTTTTACCTTATGCACACATCCTACTTAAAAGCACCTGTATTTAAGGGTGTTATATTTGAAATATAAGCTGTTACCCTTACTGCTCAGGTAAGGGCAAGTGAAGTGCCCAAGGATATGGATAAAAAGCATAATGAATAAAATGTAACACATAAATGGAAATGTCCATAAGCAAAGTTAATTTTAGAAGGGAAACATTTTAATAAGTCAATTTAAAATGTTCACTTGATCTTGCTGTTTATATAATAATCTGTACTAATTTCACAACAATTGCAACATTATTTTAACAGTACTTACTAAAAGAATTGGATAGGAAATATACGGAAGTAAAAAAAGTTATTAATTGTTACAATACATTGTTAACAGAGAAAAACACAACTATTAAAAACAGTGTATATATAAGATGGCTTAAGCATTAAACCGATATTGCTGGGTGCAAAGAGGAATCTGTCTCTTGTGACTGACTCTGCCCTGTAGTGATCCCTACTATCTGGAAGACCTGTATGAAGATACAGTTGGCAAAGTAGAGCTTCCTTTAGACAAGGCCTTCAACTAATGTTCGGTCATAATGCAGAGACTGCACACAGAAAAACAGGAGCCAATAACAGCTCACAATCAGGAGCTTGAATAAAATCCAGCTATTCACATTAAGCACTCCTTAATACATTAAATGTGCCTTGACTTCTATAGCATAATTAGAAGACACTCATAATGAAAAATTAACGTTTTTTCTTAGGTATTTCCTTTATTCCTTTTTGTAAAATAATTTGAACAAAGAACTCCTATTTCACATATCTTAGAAAGTATTTATATTGCTCAAATTCATGAGGAATGTCACACAATAAAAGGGATATATCTTTTCCCTTATATTCCAAATAAAAAACAGACTTCCGACCATTTCAGTCAAAATAAGGCATCTCATAAAACTATCCTTGCAGTAATTTAGAGAGTTTAAACTCATTGCTATATTGACTTCTGCAAGAGAACAACCTTAACAAACATTAACTTAAAAATGATATATTAGATAATAAAAAATCTAGGGTTTTCTTACGAAAGGAAAGAGAATCCTACTCCGTTGTGCCCCTGAGCAAGGCCCTTAACCCCAATTGCTCCAGGGGCGCCATATAAATGGCTGATCCTGCAGCTTCTCCCAAAGCTTCTCTCCCTGTCTGTGTGTTTCATGGAGAGCAAGTTGGGGTATGCGAAAAGACAAAGTTCTAATACAAGAAATTGTATATGGCCAATAAAGTGATCTTATCTTATCTTTAAGAATTCAGTGTGAACAACAGTGAAAACATAATTCACCATTGGTTGGGGCAGTCTGCAAATGGTAAACTTAATATAAATTAGTATTCCAAGTGCACCAGTGGGAGGAATGGAAAAAAAAACAAGTTTTTTTTTTCTGAAAAATTGCCTTGAGAAAAAAAAGTCATTTTAATCAGTATTAACAGTGAATTATCTGTTTATGCAGTACTTTCATTACCACAGGCCACTTTGACAGAAAGCTTTTAAAGCCTGTAATTATACATTTTCTTATTATTTTCCATTATTTAATTTAGTGTTTGCAATCTATCTTGAAAGGTCTTGAGGGTATTTACTGTATTTTAAAAAACACAAGGATTTTGGCACTTTCTTAACAAATAGTTTCAACACACAAGTGATTCTGGTCCCATTTAATTCTGATTAAATCAGAAAGGAAAGTTCATAATACCTACGCAAGGCAGATATGTTTCCTGCTTCAGAAGAATTAATTTGTGGTGGCAAAATAAGAACAATTTTTGTACATAAAACATTTAATATAAAATCTCAGCTGAGGAGTTCGCTATTCAATGTGTAAATGTAGTGTGCCAAGCAATTTTCCTATACTTCCAGACACAAAATAACACTACTGGGAACAGGTTTACCTGTAAGAAACTTTGCAATACACCATTCTACCAGACTGTTCTGCATAGAATTGCTTTCACACCAGATCATTTTCAGATTAGGTTTTCCCAAACCCTAAATTCTTTTTCAGTATTAACCAGACTGGTTGATGAATGAAAACAATTTGAGTAGCAGATCGTGTGTTGTTGTGATTTTTTTATTCTGAGGTTGGTGGTGGGTACGTCTGAAAGCATACCTATTGAGGAACTTCTCGGTGAGGTTTTGCTGAGGATCTAGGCCGTCCTCCTGATTCACACCTCCCTCCAGTAGCATCTGCTGATACAGCTGTCTCTGCTGCTCCTTCTGCTCCAGGTGCTGCTGCACACGCATCCTCTGGCGGTAATATTCCTGGAACTGCTCTGTGGAGTCGCGGAGCTGGGGAAGTAGCAACACGTCAGGAATGGATTGTTGTTATGGATTGTTGGAGTGCTACAAGGCATCAATGCTAACCATGCCATAATTTTATGCATATTTTTCATTCTAATTTGACCTGATGCATTTCTAAAGTTTTCTCCAGTAATCAAAGTAAATAGCTAAGCATTGATTGCTGACACAAATTTAGAGATTAAGAGATGCTGACTTAAATTTTCTTTTAGTCAATTAAAACTGGATTTAGAATTTTAAAACAATGACATAATTATAGGTTTGCTTTTTCATAGCATTCACTACAACCTTTCCACATAATCAATAATTTGATTAATATGAGTTGCAGAAGAAGAACGTATAAATGATAAGAATCTTATAATATCTTATAATAATCTTTTTTAAGCACTTACATATTGCACAAATGGACTGAAATTGATTGCATTTACCTTAAGAAACAACCCTGTGCTTCCTAAAGCTATATTTTCTTACCACATACCAAATTCTCTCTTTGGAAGAGAATCCAGCCTCCCCCGGACAATGTGTCTGAACCTTCCGTGTAATCAGAGCTAGCACTCGCACAGAATGCAAACCAACAATTTCTAATCCTAAGCAATCTGTGCTAATAAGGATGCCAGCTCTTTTTTTAAAATCATACATTAAAATGAAGTGAAGAACCTACCAATGGCAGAGAAGGTTAATGATGAGTTAGCCTGAGAAAAGCTACAAAAATAATCATTCTCTTTGTTGCAATGCAAGATTTATATGATTAAAAAGCAGTATAAGGATAGATCTGCCAATGAGTCTTCAGTCATAAAAAAAAAAGTTTTTTAGAGCACAAGATTCTTCAAGGCTGCAAGAAAGGTGTTATAGGTAGCTTTGACAAGCATGCCTCGTCATGCCTTATTCCATCCTCTTGGAAAGCTACATGAAAGGCAAAATTCAGGAAGCAGAATCAGACACTGGAAAGAGATTTGCCTGTGCTTTTGATCTCACCTGCTGAAGACAGATAATCGCCTTTCATATCCTGTATTTCATTACTATGATTTGAATTCCTAAATGCCACAACTCAACATTTCCATTTCGGAGAAGCCTAATAATGATCAACATTTGGTTTGCTTGAAACAAACAGATTATTTTGTCTGTGGCTGAGAACAGACTTAAGAATGCCACAGTGTGTCTGGTACTTTATGTAGAGAGATGATCTTCTTCAAAGGAGCTTTACAAGCAAGCCAAAGAAATTAAATAAAAACATATGGGCCAGATGAGTTTGGTACTAAACCTGTCCTTTCAAGGCTATTATCCAATTAAATTTCATTAAACTGTATTAAACAGATGATATATATTTTCCTTAACTATAATATGGTTCAACCTGATAATATAAAATATTTTAATTAGATTTAAAAAAAACAACAAATGTATGTTTTTCTGGATGCATAATACTAGTGTAAAATCAAAGTTTACTGGGCTCACAATACAATCTACACAGATTACATATAAATATAGTTATGTTTAAGGCCTTAGATGACTTTACAAGTAGAACTTTTGTAATGAGACTGTAGAAGTAAGAATGATTCACCATGTCAACCTGGAAATGACAACCTACTTTATGCTGTTATCCTAGCTAGCTTTACATTAATAAGATTTGAGGTTCGTCCCTCTTTGGAGTCATAAAAGATTTAAAGCATACAAAATTCATGGCGATTAATTCATAGCCTGTCCTCTACTGCAGTGTCTCTTGGCATCAACATTCAGATTTAAGAGAAAGAAGGAATACTGATGGGATAGCCTAGGTTACAAATTCAATCTTCAAGGTTTAAAAAAACAGGGTAATATAAAACAACACAACTGAACAGAGCCATAAAAAATAATGTGATTATTTTTATGTTTTCTGTTGGTTTAATTTAAAGAGAAATAATCAATCATAAATCACAAGCTTTGGACAGTATTAATTTGATAGAGGTGACATAGTATTCTTCAAAGAATATCCAAACTCTCAGAATATGCACTTGGTTGACTAACAAAAATATTAAAGAATTTGTAATTTAGACAATCCACTGTGAGGGGATACGATTTAAAGTACTCAAGTCACTACAACTAATACTGCCTTTTCAAACCAAATCAATATAGTCACTCAGAGACTTTCATGTGTGGGATTATATATCTACTGCACATTAAAAAATACTAGAAAGAACGTAGGATCTATGCACACATGCCATTATCAAAAGCTTTTCCAGAGTCTCATCTCTCCTTGTATGAACACACTTTATCCCTCTTTAGATATGCAAATCCAGGTAAATGAAGCTCACACACCAGAACATGGCCTGAACGTGGTCAGGTCAAAACACTCTACTGTTTAAACTAATAATAAAAAGTGTTTTTCAATTATATATATATATATCGCTTATGTTTATCAACTAAAGAAAAATGTCGTGTTATTCCTTTTTTCTGTTCTGAACAATTTAAAATCCTGAAAAATCTTTTGACAAAAAAAACAGATGGAAAAGCACCCCTAGGCTGGAAAAGACTCTAAAAAATCCACAACATTAACAATGACAATAAGAAGGCCATTAAACCCAAAACTATATGCTCAGTCACATTGACTGTTTGTGAATGAAGTGGAACAGCCTGCTGAAGGCTGCACTACCTGCAATAACAAAAGTACTCATATGCTCTATGTGAAAGAAATCTTATGGCTTTCAGTAACTAATTACCTCATTCTTCTCACAAGCTGCTGGGGGCATAGGGTCACCACCTGGGGCAGACACAGGACCAGGATGCACTGCGTCATCGCCAGCGGAATGCAACATCCTGTCAACAGGAGTGTCAGTTCTGGAAAAAAAAAAGTTTTAAAAAATAAAAATCTTCTGCCATAGCTTTGTCATTTTTAGCAGAATCGTCAATTTATACCTAATAAAATGGCTTGTCCGTTGCTCAGTTCTACAATATCTCTTTACATAACACTTTTTTATAGGAAAACTTTAAATACTTAGCCTACCTTTCTGGGGACTCCTCATAGATACTGTGACAGTCTGTGTTTTCCAGCATTAAGCTTCTGCTCAGGTTGTGCGCTCCTGGGTACTGGAAGTTAGCGAAAGAGTGAGACATCGGTGAAGTCTTGTTGGTGAGGTCTGTAACTCTCTTGTCGTGACTGGACAATCCGTAGGAGAGGCCATCCAGCGCTGGGTTGAGAGAGCGAGACATGTAGGCGTCAGCTGACTGGGGCCGCCGCATGGGCGAGGATGGATACGGGGAGAGCTTATTAATAAGGGGGGTTAAGAGGTCAGCGTAGGCTGCCTTGGTGGGCTTCACTAGCTTGTCCACGTGAATGTTGAGCATCTTTTGCTCAAAGGCGCAGGAGAACACACTGGGAGACAGGTTCTGGAGCCAGGAGAGCAGGCTTAAATCGAGGTCGTCGCAGCCATTGCCACACAGCATGTCGATGCCCAGCAGCACCTCGCTCTCCGTGATCTCTTCCCCCGTGGCCTTGCTCTGGCAGAACTCCACGCAGCACTCGTACAGCATCCCCTTGATGAGCAGCTGGAAGAGGCGGTTGTTGCTGGCCCTGAAGCCGGCCTCGCTTAGCTTCCTGTCGGCGGGGATGAACTCCGCGACCATGACACAGGCCTCCTCAAAGCAGTGCACCCTCGCGGTGCTCGGGTTCCAGTCCTTGAACTCGGTGTGGTTGGTGAGCCGGGGCAGAGTGAGAAGCAGGCACAGCTTACTGTAGTCCTCCTTCGAAGGGCAATACTCCTCCAGACTGTGAAGACACTTCACTGCCTCCTGCATAGTGAACTCCAGCTGCAGAGGTAAATAACAGTAAACACAGAAGCTAAAATTAAAATGACATTAAAATGAACTAAATGCATACAGTAGGTCGTCACTAGAATAACAGCATTTACTTAAAATATCCCCTTGATGATATTTTTAAGAGCATGGGCAACTGAGACTTGTTAATTTCATGCATGATCTACTGCTTGCATCTGTAACTTGCAGACCGTAAATGACAATGACTGCAAAAATTAAAAAAGGGGTCTGTGAACAGCATATGTCACAGTATTTCCATACAGAAGGATAGCAAGGTTGCCTCACAAAAATGTAAGTGCGCGTTGGACTTTGAAGTAATACAACGAGTAATGTAAAGTAAGGTTAACGAGCAACTCTGATGGATATATATAGAAAAACCTTATTAACATAATACCGAGTGCACCATTTCTTCATGGTAAGATCCTGTGACACTTGGGTCATTTTCTCCAATTCAAATTTGAATGATGAAGAAAGTTTTAGGATTCTGTTCACAACATTATAACAGTTCCTCCTGGAAACAAGCCCATATACACAAGGGACAGTATAAGAATGGTGCTGTGTCAGCATGCGGCCTGAAAAGGAACAAGTAGAGGTTAATTGTGGAATTAACCTCTCACTGTACCTTCATCTAAGAACACTCCTGTCTAGTTTTTGACTCGGAAAGGAATAATAATAGTAATAAATCACCATAATCATTAGCCATCCATTTTCTAACCGCTTATTCCAATTCAGGCTGCAGGGAAGCCAGAGTCCATCCCAGGC